ATACCTACGTGGCACTAATACTTATCTACTTGATGTGAGCGGACTTGGGCACTCACGATGTGATGAGCGATCGAATACATGTGGTGAGCTTGAAGAGCCTTGAAAAGCAGTATGCTAGATAGTTATCTACCAGTTGGTAGAAGCAACCCTCGGCACCCAGCCCTCCACAGCTGATGGCTGATTATCGTCAGCAATACATCAGCTCCTCCTTAGCTTTCTTGCGTCACCCCAGATCCTCACCACATTGGACATGTGAATGGCTTTGGTGTTGAGCTCCCCTGGAGTATTTTATCCACACAGAAAACCGCCCATCACACCCCTTCGAGATGATCCAAGTCATCGGGAACTCAGCCATCTTCTGACTCGTCCGATTGCCGTATCTACCTACATAGTACTTCATGTAAGCATGTAGGTGTTCATTACTGTGGGCAACGCCCAAAGAAGACGCCCTACACTACTACCTAGGTAGGCTTCAGTACTTGTACGCTACCGACACTAGGCGGTCATGCTAGATAAGAGAACGTTTTCCGATGCTGAATTCGGTCCCGTGGAATGGCCCGATGCATGTATATCCAACGCCAGGAACACACTAACCATGTGTCTTTCCACCTTTTACACGATCAATAGTGCTGGACAGCTTCGCAGCGACGCGCGATATGGCCGAGGGCGAATTGGTGCTCCTGACTAATCAGACTCCGGCCCGGATACAAACGGCGACACAAGTGAGAAAGAATCCTATTTACATATATTTTCATTCCTATGGAGACCTCCAGCACCCATGATAAACTTACAGTATTGACTCCCCACCACGAGCAAGGGTGTTCGATAAGCATCCTTGCTGCAGTATGGGGGTCATCGTTCAGGTCATGACGGGAACTGCGAATCGCAAGATCCAATGCTCCGCTGGACCACAGGGCAGAACGCAGAGTAGTGGATGAGGCCTCAGGCTAGAGAAGTCCTCTAAAGGAGATATCTGGTTTTATTTTTTGTAACCATCCCACGCCCTCGTGCACCATGGCCATACTACTTGACACCAAACAGCATACGTTCTTCCGTTCCACTTCGTCCTTCCCGAGCTACAGTATAGGTAGTGATGTGATCCGGAACAGTCGTCGGACAGGCAGAAGAACCGACTGATTCGAGATTTGGAGGTGATTGAGGGGGTGGTGAAGTGTAGGTACCTATGGACACGTTAAGAGTTGAGTGATGACAATTACTTTTGCTTCCGACTGCCGAGCCATAATGGAATGATCGAGCATGAATTGGGATTGGAGCCATGCTTATCCCCGTCCACCGTATCCTTCTGACGTAGTGTACTGCTATCGCACTAATCATCGCAGAAAGCACCTCAGACGACGGGGGTGCAATGCGGTAAGTACCTCGGTATTTGAAGGTAGGTATTTGATTTACCTATGATCAACATGCCCTGCGCTGTATCTACCTACGTGAGCTGTACGCGATATACATACTCTATGATCAGCCTCTCAGCCTTTTTGTGTTTGGATTTTCTGTAATACGCATAAGCTCCGTTTCATGATCATCTGCGGGGCTGGTTCTTTTCTCCCCGTCATCTCAACTGTGGGAGTATCTATCTAACCACGCGAGCCAGGGGCATCGCAGACTCGGGTCTGCTCGGGCTACATATATGTACTACATACTCTACCCATAAGGTCCCATTCTGAAAGTTTCGTCAACCGTTGTTAAAGGACAGACAATAGAGGCACTTAGGTACAGCATCGTCGCGCACCGACATGATTCAGAGAGACCCGGCATGGCGGATAGCATGACGATGCTCATTAAATTCATGCAATGCATACACCGTCAATATAACCCATCCATGTACATGTACAACAAGTCTACGTAGTACGTAGTAAAGATCTGCCGACAACTATATTATAACTATTATACCTATGCATTATACAGCTAACTCGGGCTTTATACCAGCCAATGTAATCTCTGCGCATCGCCAGCCGGCTTTCCAAGTACATATCGAGCGAAATCCCAATCTCCCATTTACTTCGTATAGGTATCGGACGCAACCTGAAACCCATCTTACATATTACAATTGTAGCTTATTCAAGATGCCTACCTATCCCCCGCTCCATAACCCTCTCACCACCCTTTCCTGTCTACATTCTTCTAAGCAGAAACCAATCCCAGGATGTAATCAGTATCTGATGTAAGTAGGTACTTATCTATCTATCTGCCAAGCTAGGTACATACTTGTGCGGACCGCCACCGCAGGTCGATCTTATCACTTTCCTTACTTACCCTTTCACATGCTTACTTACGCAATAGAAAGGTGCAACTAGCTTCACACAATAGGTATTGTAAGTAAGTATTCCAACGGCGGCACACTGAATTTGAGCCAACCCTTTTACACATGAGCCTCCTTTGAGCCGCATGCTCCGAGCTCGCTGCGCTGGCTTGGAACCTCGGATTACGCGCAGTGCACCAGGTCACGAGGGTAATTCATTGGTCTCATACATACCCAGTACAGGTATTGCCGAGCATTTATGGCAATCCACTCGGACCGACTTCTCCCTAAGTACACAACACATCACATCCGCGCGACCGCCTTTCTACCTAAGCACGTTGGTGAGGTCCAGATCTCCTAGAGCACTGTAGGTAGTGAGGGCATTCGTGGGAGACGGCTTTGGCGAATGCTCTATACTTCCTCCCAGTAGGTACTTATATAGACTATACTTATATGCTATGCGTAACGAAGTAATCATACTTCCTCGGTAACTATTCTCCTGTTAGTCATTAGAGGACCATCCAAGGTCATGCTTTGACCAAGACTCTGATACTAGGTAGCCGTTACTCTTCCCAACAGCACATTATTATGCAGCGACAAGACCATTCAATACCACCTTGAAAAAAGCAGGCTGTCTACACTACTGCCGACAGCATCTCGAAGACCACAACGATGCAAAAGTCCCCGCAACTACTAAATAGGCTAGGCTAGCCGAGATTGATGGCACACGCAGCTATTTATACATTTTCTCGGGAGGTGTACTTTGGAGTGTGACATTCGCACTCCGGATGGGCGTATGAACCCCTAACCAGACCCCAGCCTATACAGCACAGTAAGTATAGAATCTCGAGATACGTGAAGTTATCTTGCCCATGTCAAGTTGAAGGCTCAAACAGGCCTCCGTTCTCTCTAAATCTTATACTTGTAAGGCAAACAAATATAGCCGAATGAACCCAGGGGTTATATACATGTACAGTATAGCCAAACAATATCTGTCCGGAGTGTCGGGTCGTCGGATGTGAAATATACGAGTCTGTTTTTAGTACCATGCCGAATATATAATACAGCAAGTATAGATTGTTTACGTATAGTAGTACGCAGGCATTCCAGTTTCCGGTAGCCGTCTTCAGCCCTCACATCTTCCATGCAGCAGTACCTGTCTAGATCACACGACGCCACCTACTGAGTACTGTAAGATTGGATCCTTGCCAACCAACTGACCCAGCGGCCATCCCTGGAAAGCTTCCCCGGATTTCTCACATATGTACTGAACCGTCAGTAAGTGAGCGAGCCATGGTCCGGCCGCCTCCGTATCCCGCTCAGCAATAATTATATATTACTACCACTGTAAGTACCCTACTTCACCCAAGCCGTTCTACTAATCCCAATGCCTTGATTTGCGAGACAAGAATGAGACTCCAAGAGGCTCCAGACTCGGCCTCAATCAACCCTGGAAGTCCGACTCGCTCAAACCAACCCGACGCCCCATTTTCGACCTACGCCACGCGTCTTGGCTGCTGAATCTATATAAAATCATGACCAACTTTGAGATCATATCGCCAACGTTGTTATCTATAGACCAAGTTGTGTATGCGTATTTCCTGAATATACTTACTCACCTGTGCTTACTTAGAATATTGATCTGTATCCAATTGACGAACATACGTAAATGGCCTACAAATCTCCTAGTCTCGTATATAGATTATGTACGCAATACATAGGATGAAGAAGGAAGTGTAGACAATAATTTGATTACTACAACTGTCAATCACCCCCTAAGCATATTGCTGTCTCCGCAGAAATGGCCTCCTTCGCCTTTATTTTATTCCCTCCATCCTTACCTCGCTACGATCCCCTTACTATGACACGATACCTTAATTTTCAACTGAGCTATGCTATCTTCCAGCATTAGAATACTGACTAAGTACTGAGGTCGATTGTTCCATGGTCTCTAGGTGTAGTATGCAATCTAGTTAACTTTGACTAATTGTAAACTTTAACGGGCTGAGACAACAGGGAGGAGATACTATGCATGCACTCACTCCCATTCATACGTGGCCGTTAAATCCCATGCGTTAGCCTGAGCTGAATCCGAAGCAACTAGCCCGATACCGGTACCCTAAGTATTGACGACCTAGTAATCATCGCTGCAATTTCACTATCCAAAAAGTTGAAAGCAGTTACCACTTCATCGCTCTCGCACTTGTAGGCACTTAAATCACGCACCAGCTGTAGGTACTCTATCGCGTTCGCTACACTTACTGCTCTACATTCGGTGGAGAATGGCATAACAGATGGAAATTTTCCGAATCATGTATCTGTAGGTATCAATGATGCTATGTAGATCGGCTATCCCTCGGTTCGTATAATCCATTGTTCGTACCCATTTATTCGACTCGACTTGCTGGTCGTGCCATTCTACTCGCTTGGGGTTGCTTAGCAAGTAGCGGCTTATAGTATTGATCGGCGACGATCCTACGACCACGGCCACGTGTGAGTGAATGGAAAACAGTACGCTAATAGAGGTGGTGCGGACTAGTAGTCCAGAATCACTGGACCGTTGCATCGGTACTCGAAGAGACGGACAGGCGGGTCGAGGAAGAAAAGCCTTCCTAGCACCAACGAGTTACTCCTCAAAACCAGCCATGAATCATGCTGACGAGAAGAATCGAAAGATAAGAAAGGAAACTAGCTTTTTCTCTATCTGTCTTCGTAGTCGAGCCAGAGCAGTCTAATAGACCATTTATTCCAACCCAATTTCCCCCACGATCCTCTTGATGTAAACTTTATCAGCTTTACCCCAATCGGTACCGAGAAGCAGATTGCTCTTCTTCATCCCCTCTTCTGCTGCCGCCTTCTCCATCTCTTCATAGCCCCGCCTCTCGTTGTTGATCTCTTGCTTCCCGTCGCTCCTGTCACCGCCACCACTAAATTCTATCCCCAATCCTACGAGACTCCACACCTCATCAACGACCATGCTCCTAACTCTAGGCCATGGGTGAGCCAGCAGTGCGGCCAGACGCTTCTTCGCCTCCGCAACCCCCTCTTCGTGCTGCTCCCCCCCCGCTAGTCCGGGATCCGTGACCTTGGCCGTTTCCAGCCGGCCGGCATCATCAATGTCGCCATGGGTTCTTTCAGTCTGCAGCGACGCAATGGCACCGTAGACTTTGATACATGCCTCCAACTTGCGAACGTTGCCAGTCTTGTACGCTGCCTTCTGCACGAGCAAGCAGAGCTGTTTAAGGTTGATGTGACGACCATCTGTACGAGCTGTGATAACATTGTTGGCACTAGCAAAATAGGCGACGTTGTACCAGCGCTGGAGCAGGCCGACGTGGGACAGATATGCGATGACTTCGAGCGTAGGGACTAACACCCGGTCCTGCCCGGCATACAGCTTCAAGTTATACAGCAAGGAGCCATAGACTTGACGCAGGTCTTCATCCGATACTTCACAAAGCTGAGCGAGGGCAGCTCGCGTCTCTACCACCAGGTCGTCATTTCCTGTATCTGCCGATGTGACAAGCCCGGCTAGCAAGCTGGACGTGCAGCCTTCGATGCTCAGAGTAGAGTTATGGGCGGCAAGATCCAGCCGAGTCATATCACGGAGTGTGAACAGAAAATTGAAATAGTCTCGCGATGCAAATGAGAGCTCCTTGAATATCTTGCAGTCACTACACCAGTATCAATACCAAGTCAATCTATATGCAGCTGCCTTCTGATACGTACCTCGGTTGGATAATTACTTCCAGTGCTGACTTTGCCTCGGCTCGTACGCGGTCCAGTTTCTCGGCTGCCAATCGCAAGATCTGAGGGAATAATCGAATTGCAGATTCCTGGTTCACATTTCGAGTCTGCCAAAGTGTCCTTGTGGCCCTGATTGCCTCTAACCTAACGTGGGAACCAATATCACCCCGCGCGGTTGTTGTATAGTTATCCAGTCCTTCTGAAATCAGCCCAAGGACTTCGGGAGATGCCGTCCGCAAGACATTCTTGTCAATAAGGCTTTGTAAGATAGCCGAGTGTGTTTCAACCATATGATCTTTTGCCCACCGTTCTCCCAGGACCGTAGGTATGGAAATATGCTTGGTTTCCGCGTCTCCAGTAGTTTCAAGATAGTTCAAGAACGGCTGACTTCGGGTGAGTGCATGGAAATACCCATCGCCATGATTCCCTCGTGGCGTGTGAGGTGTGGAGATCTTCTCGCACCAATTTTTGATGATTTCACCTCGCCTCGCAGGGCTTGACAGGAGGAGAAGAATCAACGCAGCCTCGGATGAAGGTTGTATGACTTCCGCTTCATTCCTGTCGAGCCAGTCATTCACGCATGCCTCGGCGATTTCGAGAAAATCTTCAAATAGGTCCTGTTTATGAGTTCGAATAACGTCAATAAAGCTGAATGCTTTTAGAAGAAGATTCTGCTTTGTCTCATCCACGAGAACCGATCCTCGCTCTATGAATTCCTTTAATTGGGAGAGCTGCTGCGCATCGCTCGAGAGACGTAGTAGTAACACGGGAGTAGCAGAGACAATTAATGTGCCGATAGCCTCTGCTATCAACTCCGGTTTTCGAAATTTCATGTCTTTCGATTCTTGTAATATTGCTTTGAGGCTGCTATACACCTTAGGAATAGGGAGTCGGTTGACTTGCCCCTCGAGCCCTCGTTCTTCAATAAAGTTTGGGACGCTGTCAAAGATCGCCGCAAGACTTAACAGGAGACCGTGCCGCTCCTCCACTTGTCTTACCTGGAGTCGTTGAATTCTAGCAAGTAGCATTTCAATCGCAGTAGCTATGTTATCGAGCGGAATTTCTGAAGCGGCTCGGGCTAGCTCCGCAGTCAACACCCCAAAAGAAGTGGCGGCTACTCTTCGGGCGCTTGCGTCCATATCCCCAATGCCTCGCCAACCTAGGGTTGCTTCTAAGAGAGCATGCCCATAATGAGGCGATAACCTAGTCGCTCGGAGAGCCACCTCGTGGATTGCTCTAGAACGCAAAGCGACTGCATGATAGTCAACAGTTTGAACCACGGAAATACCTGTCTCTACTGTATCGGGATGACGGCCAATCAATTCCTGCAAAGCAGCAGATGAGCCACGTCGGATATTGCCAGCCGGGTCCAGAGATGCGGTGACGACTAGTTCTGTCGCGATAACCTGTAGAATTGATGCAGTAGGATTATGTCCCCTAGCCACAAGAACAGACTGGGTTTCCACTTGGAGTAATTCCACAGTGCTGTAGCGGCGAGCGAGCGCCCATATTCCGAAACAAGAAGCATCTCTAACATTAGTTCCCATTGAGCTGCCAGAGGGTGTTCGTTTTTCAAAAGATAGACCGATGAGTAGTGTATGGATTATATGCGAGAGGTTTTCTAGAGGCGGTGATCTTCTGTAGAGAAGATGAGATAAAGTGAGCATGAGTCCATGCCATTCCAAGGGGTCAACGGCTGCGAGATCCCTGACAGCCGGTGCCTTTGGGTCTGACTTGTTCTCAACCCAAAGGACATTGCGATTTAGGGAATCGATGACGGCTTCGATGACCTGTGAGGCCATGTCTGGATCCAACTTGAGCGTTATGATACTCAATGCCTTGCTGGCAGCGAATCTAACTGGTGTATCGTTATCTGCGAGACGCTCGAGCAAGTATCCAATCGTAGTTTCTACCATCTCAGTATCCCCGATGCTTTGTTGAGACTTTCGTAGCACTATAGTGATAATTGATCTAGTGATCTTGATCATCACCTTGCGCGCCACGGCGGACCCATTGATGACTTTATGAATATCGTTATCTTCTGCAGGAATCGCCTGTATGGCGTCGAAAACCGTAGCAAGGTGGTTATCCATAATAGAGGTGTCTTCAGCCGCACGCAAGACGCCAGCCAGGAAAGACAGGCTCCCAATGAAATAATATGAAGTCACTTCGGCTGTGTCCTTTGTCGATCTGAGTGTGTACAGAGCCCATTGCACAAGGGCGTTCAACACACCCAGTTCTTGCATGTCTTTTCGCATGGCTAGGCGAACTAAGAGGGCCTTTGCCCCATCTCGCTCCTTTCCGGGTGAAGCGAGATAGCAAATAGCTAGAGGGACCACTCTCAAAGTAATGCGCGGCACGTGCTGTGGCCATTGAAAACCTGGCAGATCTGGTTGCTCAAATTCATCGGCGCCGCCCGAGGAAATAGTAGACAGATCGAAAGGCGCGAAGAACAACTGCGATAGCCAAATAAGGACCACATACCTCTCATGCCATGTCCAAGCATTGACTAGCTCCGTTTTCAGGGCCGCGTCTGCGCCTCGTTCCGAATCTTCGATGGCCTGTAACAAGAGCTCGAGATATCTTGTTTCAACATTGAGAAATCTCACAATTACTTTCTCGCCTCTGACTTTGCAGAAAGTGTATATGATCCTGCAGATTGCATTTTGAAGGGGATATAGCAGCTGAGATCTCGTCGACAACTTGCTTGATTTCCTGCGGTCTTGCAAACACTCCAAATAAGCGTTTGCTAAGACTGGGAGCCATCTCGGAAGATGAGGGTCAAGAAGCTGTGGCAGTTCCTGAAAATGTTCAAGGACCTCAAAACAGCCGATGTTAGTATATGCTGTATAATCCGAACTGGGGAGCTGGGTGCATCTACTTGAGAGATCAACCTTAACGTTTCCCTAGACCGAACACGCCGCCTTAGCTGGCCGTTCGGCTTCCTCAAGAAGGGCCCTAAGGAGCGGTCAAAGTCGGCAATGAAATCAGCCGCATGTTTCTGAATGAACACATCATTGTCCGCGGCATCCATATTCGAAGTCTTGAGCTGTCGTCCTAGCTTCGAAATGTTGTTTTGGCATGATATCTTGATTGTTGCTTGAAGTAGCCTAGCATCGGGCCGTTGACCATAACCCCCGCAAATTGAGTGGTGATGTTCATGGGGTTTTAGGCAGCGACATGGAAGGCGCACATTAGCCGTATCAAGCCATCAAGAGTGTAAATTAATATTTCCCGAATATTTCATTCAAATGAATATTGCAGCAGAAGATGATCGGATTCTCATGATCTAGTTTAATGATTCACCACGAAGTCGCCTGTAATAGGCGAGGCCCGTTCCTTCCAAGGTCCCGCTGGCATTATAGCTAAGTCTTATGCAATATGTGCTAAGCTCCACATACCCTTTAGTCACATATTTCATTATTAACATGCAGCGGTCCATGATTACCTCGAGGCAAAGACCTCCCAATCTGACAGGCAAATAGGTAGGATACCTGCTGAGGCTCCCCATGTCAAAACTCACTGTCATTAAGTGTCATTGGATTCCCCTTGTAGATATAGGCTATCGCGTAGGACATCTAATTAAATATCTAAAGCACGGTTGTCTCCTCTTTGCTCCAAAAGTGATCGTTTACCTCTCCGCAGGAATTGATGAAATACAGAAAGATCAAGAGATGAATAGAACCCGTATGGAGCTGAACATAATTCCTAAATTCACTTGCTCAAACAGCTCATACTAACTCTGGATCTCCACAAAGCCATAACAAATGTGCCACTCCCCGGTAATACCTAATGAAGTGGTGCATAAACTACTCTATCTCGATGTGTTTTTTTTTCTTTGGGGGGAGGGACCTGCTAAGATACAACGTGTGTTCGCGGCAGTTCCCGATGTATACTTACAATATACGTAGATACTTCTGACGAGGGAGATCGGTGTGTTGTTGACATGATTGATTTGTATGTTTGGTATCGGATTGATGGGTGGCTAAATGCTGTGCGACGCACATAAATGAACTACAAGGTTCTTAGGAGAGGCTGCATGCAGGGACTTATGGTGTGCATACCTAATTCCAACCGCCTGCAAGCCTCTTTTTGGAGAATTTTGCGATTTGGAGCTATAGCTACTTATAGATGTACGTAAGCGGTTCATGGGTGATGCATTAGTATTTTCTAACTCGTATTATAGGCATGCTAGGACGATCGGTGGGGTCTGGCGATCGATAGTTCTTTTTCCTTGTAAATGTGAGATGTTAAAAGTCCCGAAACTAGATCCGCGGCGGTTAATGTGTGGATAGGATGTCAAACCCAGTTTGCCATGAAGATCAGCATTCCCGCTATTGGCTTTGGGATATAAAATGTTCGGATGCCGTGAATGACTAAATGGTTTGGGAATGAGGAACGGATATTAGGCTCATGTCATATAAATGTTTATATTATGATATTCGTGAATTAAACAGTAGATTATCGCTTGTGGTGGGTGTTGTAAATCCAAAACCTCCTACCCGAACCTAGAGTAGAATACAACACAATGTAATCCGCGTTGTCAAGTCAACGCTGATCAACACTTCACTTCTGCCAGTTCGGCTTTGGAGATGGGTCCGTGGTATCATAGAAAGCACGCCAAAAATAAAATAATGAAAAGTCAGTTCGATGCTCATGCGACGGCAATTGCAGCTACAAGAGCATCCATAGCAGAGCTATGTGTACCAGCACTTGCAGTCGCGAACGGCCCAGTCCACGTAGGTCCTAGCTGGTTTTGGTTGTTTCGATCCTTGGCCCAGATCGTATCCGCATTCTGGAGAAGGAAATTCTTGAAGGCGTCTTGGGGTGCCGCTTGCTGCAGCTCACGCAAGTTGCGCATGAATATACCTTTAAATTGAGCACCATCAGCGCCACAATCTGGCTCGCAGCCTTCGTACAGGATGCCATCTCGGGTCAAGTGAACGATGGCAGCGGTGGCAATCGACGAAGCTTCGTTGAGGAAGGACCTATCGCCGGTGGCTTTGGACAGCTCAACCAGGGCCCCTAATATAACGCCTTGGTTGTATGTCCAGGTATTTCCGCCGTTGTTCTTGCAATTGTCATTGAGGCCATCATTGATGAGGTTATCTTGGTTGATCATGCCGCTGGTTTTAAACCAATCCCACTCCTTCTTCGCGATGTCCAGGTAATAATCTTTCTGGCCGGGAACACGATTGGCCAGTGAAGCGGCTACCTTGAGGTAGAGTTCGTTGGCGATAGCGTTTGTGTAGGTGCCTACTTTGCTCCAGTAAATGCCGCCACATGTGGAAGCGCCTCCCTTCATGTCTTCGAAGATCCTCATCGCAGCCTGGAGGAACTTTTGATCCCCCAAACCAGAAACTCCGACGTCATGACTCCGAATTACTACGGTCGTCGAGTCAGTGTTGGAGTAAACATACTGGCGGACTGAATGCGAAGCATGGTTCTATCCTACGGAGATGTAGCGGGAAAGGGTAGCATGAAGTGGAAATGATACTTACGAGCTAGGGCCCACCACCCCTCATCATCATAATAATCGTTAAGAAAATCGTCAAAGCCTCTTGCGGTGATACTTGGCCGTCGGGGTATCTTGACGTAGGTCGAGATGGGAAGACCTGCACCGTTCAAAGACTTGATAGCCTGGAAAGAGGTTTTCTGTGCCTGGTCGTATGTATTGAGTATGATATTAGGGATTCCGAGTGAGTTGGCCGAGTCATGATTCTGAACAGCATAATCGGCAAGCACAGTCATTACATTAGCCGAGTTCCACCAGCCCGTGGTGTCCCATAACCCGGTGCCCTGGTTATACCATGCTTGGAGAGTGTGGATAGCGGTGACTGTGTTGGCATCGTATGCCGCTTGAGATTCAAAAGCCTTATGAGAGGACATATAAAAAACAGCCCTTGTGGCTAGGCCTCGCACGGAGGACGAGGAAACCATAGTGACCGGCAATCAATATTTGGTGAATAAGAAAGACAAATGGAAATAGAATGATGAATATCTATTTAGTGGCAAGGGTCATATCGTGGATGATCTCGAGAAACCGAAGGATGCGGCAACTGATTTAGATAAAAGAAAGAAAGAAAAAAAAGTACCTACGTTGCTCGGGGTTTTAGGATGCCAATGTCAATAGGAGTTGGGATCCCCACGGGTCCGTGGATGGATGGACATGTCAAGATTAAGGGAGGTACTAGGGAGGTACCAGCCGTCTCAACCTAACCTAGGTAGCCTTCCCTTGTCGAACCCCCGGCCCGCCGTGTCGACAATTGTGCTTGGAAGCGGATCCCGTCGTTGCTGTTCCTGTTGTTGTGGGACCGAGAATCATCAGATGGTCGTTGGGCACGGGGGTCGATGATGGCCATTTGGTTACCAGCACATGCACGAGATCTTCCTTCGTGAGACGGCATGCATGCCTGTCTTCAAAGGTCTTCAAAGGACTGCGCCTACCTAGGTACTTACTTAGGATGTAACATTGGTCCTGGAGCTTCCTAGAAGAGAGATGGAGATGAAAATTCAGATGGGGATCAGCGCGGCCGTTGTTGATTGGGCCATGTTAGCACCGTTGGTGGTTGGTGAGGGACGACCTAGATCTACTACCGGTACCTAAGTAAGTAGTCGCGGCGCATGCAGTGAGCCTGTGCCTCGCCTGCGACAGGTGCCACCTCATTCTGTACGCGTAAGGGTTTCGCGGCTGCATGTCAGATAGGTACACCAACATTGTACATTGCAAGTACAAAGTATGGTGCGAGCAAGGAAAGGATGCTTTGCTTCCCTCTGCTTCCCTTATATTTGCCAAGTTAAGAAAGCTGGCTTTGGTGTTTTTCTCGCAAACAGGTAGCCAACGCACGCTGATAGGGCTGGGTGCTGTTTCAGAACAAGATTGCCCTCATGCTGCGTCTTGGCTGCGCAAGCAGGGGCTCGTATTGCACCAGGTCGACTTGCACATCAACGTGTGTATTTCATCACATCGTGATGCTAACCAACCAACCTAGAATTTCAATTCCCAACCTATGTTCGACCAGCTTCGATTCGACTTCGAGAAGATGGACATGTTCAAGGTGACAACTGGGGCAGACTACCTACTCGCCTACCTTGGTAGGTAGGCTCCCTTAAAGATATGCATTAGCCATATAAGGTTAGCGGCATCGGGACCTCAGTTTCTGCTCAGGTACCCACTAGACACTAACCCACCTACAGTACCTACAGTACCTACTAAGTACCTACCTACATAAGCATGTACTTACTTACTATCTATAGGTACTCCTCGGTACTCTCTTTTCCTTCTCAGAGCGCGCGGCAGTTGAATACCGAACTAGCCAATGATGGCGCGGGTAGACGACCCCGGAGGAAGAAAGGGGATTGGGGGGATTGCTGTGTGATCCAAATTCGTCGTTTCAACTCTTGTCTTCTCCCCACCATCCAATACTTTTGCCGCGCTGATACGACACAAACACACGCGCTGACCAGACACCCGGTCGGTGCTGTCGGTTCCTATTTACAGCAACGCCATTATTGCTGCTGCTGTTGTTGTTGTTGTCGTCGTTGTCGGCGTCTACGTACGGTACCTAGGTAGGTGGGCTGCGACTCAGGTTGCCAAGTTCATTCATTCATTCACTCACTCACTCATCCGCTCATTTGCTCCCTTCTTCACGCTGTTGGCTGCAAGACGACGTCATGCCCATGACTACTCCAGTTCGTAATCCCGTCGTCGTTGCTGTGTTACATCGTGCGTGCATCTCGCAAAGACACGGGGACATAGCTGCCGGAGAATGGGGCTGGGGGTCTCGGTCGCTGTGATAGCACCCGCTGCACTCGTTAGCGGACTTGAATCAAGCTCACGAGCAATTTGACGATGGCATTCCCAGGGAAAATCTTGGTGCTGAGTTGTCTTGTTACATTGCCGCCATCACAACCGGTTCGGGCCATGGCTGTCATGTGAGTCTACGAAGTAATGCCACGAGGCTTAAATCGATAGGCTGTCTTTTGGAGGATCGGCCGTAGCGCGTGGTCTCGAGGTCTTATGGGCATATTTCTGCACGTCATCGTGCTTTGCTTGAAGCTTAGCTTGCAAGTTCCTCTCTCGTAATCGCTGGGTTAACGGCACGAGACAAACCATTATGCTCGGCTATGCTCGTATATCTTCGTTGTTCGTGACACAACGCGATACAGGCTATCGGCTTTTGATAATAGCCAGTGGATTTGTGAATGCTTGAGCGTACAACGTATTACATCTGGCATACTACCTAGGTAAGCTGAAATTTGAGTGTTATGGGTAGTTTCCCCGCAATCGATCCAAAATGAGATCCCTGTGAACAGGTACAAGCTGATCTCGGAATAGAGCAAGGCTTCCCCGCAATATAGTGATCGCCATGTTATTCGATCCGCTGCGTAGGGACTATCAGCGTAATGATCGGGAAATAGACGGGCAGAGATGGGTATGTAGTCTCCAGCCCAAGACTTCGTTCAACACAACAGGGGTCCGAGTATGTTCCCCATGTTGGTCCCAGGTGGACCAGTGTAACGAACATCTGCGTTCGAGTGAGATGTGCGGTATTTATGATATCAGCCCAATCTCCGGATGCTTCAGAGCTGAACACCGCGCAGTGTCGTGAGGTTGCTGTTTATCGCTCAGTGTTTCATCAGTCGTGCACCTGGTGAGACAGGCGTATGGGTTACAACAAGAACCCGTGAGTGACGTGTTGGATGGGACAAACCGATGGAGTCGGGTGGAGGGGGTTGCCTTCGTTGTCCTCTGCTCTACTATGGCCCCCTGCCTTGTTTTTTCACTAGTAGAGCGGCGGTAAAGAAGAATGAGGCGTCGCTATATTGATCAAAGTATCACATACCAACCCCGCCTCAGGATACATGGAATAACACAAGGAAACTTCAACCTATGTTAGTCCATTCGACAGTACGTGGATTTGCAATTCGGCTACAAGGCTTTTCGATACATACATCGTGGCAGAGAGGAGCTCATGATTTGCGGTGTATCATGGAATTAAGACTTCCCCTCCCCAGGCTTCTCTTGTCTCACGTAGTACAATGCAGGTTTGTGTGACGTGCGGGATCCCGAACTCTCTTTTTAACTCAAATGCTGCTGTATCTCCCCATCGGTGTATACGCTTTTTCTCCACCTCCCAAGAAGGGTGTTACAGGATCACCATGCCTTACATCTGGTTCATCACTCTTCCTTGTTACCAGTAGCATCAAGGATATGGTCATGCGCTTTCCGTCCACTCCACCCTAAACACACACATAAATGATCGGGCTCTTGGTCCCGTAAAACAGCTCCTTTGGTTTTGTTTTTTGAATGAAACTCTAGGCAGACGATGTTTATACAGTATGATTGCATAAGAACTTTATCACAAACACATATTGTATCTAACAAGGAAGAACCTTGCGTATGCCAGCTACCAAACCTAGCTAACCTAGAAGGCGGGTTGAACCCAATACTTACACTGCATGCAACTTTAAAATATGGCGACGGACTTAAGCAGTATGTTGGATCCATATTAGCCATGAGCACGGGAGGGACTTCCGTTCCGTTCGGGTCTGACGGCGGATACTTAGCTTGAGCTCATGTACCACCCTATTCGCATCGGCTACCCTACCCAGGTAGTCGGAATACAGGCGACTACCGCAGTTACTGACCGGATGCCACGCAATCTGTGCCCTCCGAATAATATCCGATGTATTTGGCAGCGGACAGCCTTGACTGTATATATGTTAACGGCGTCGCATTCCTATGTTGGCTAGGACAGTTTTTCTAGTATAGAGATCGGAGCAGCCTACAGCTCAGGAGTAAGATGCTGGTGGAAGAGACAAGACACTTGTCTGCAACACCCGGAATTCGCAGATCGGCAGCGAGAGGACGATTACATTCATCTTCAGCCCGCAAGAGCGAAGTTGTGGGGGAAAAGTGTTTACATGTATTTTGCCGAACCACCTGCCAATCTTAATATAGTTTCCGATGCATGCGAAGAACATGGGCTATTACAAAGGCTCCTGAGATGATTAACCAGAGGCTGTACAGTCATTCTAGATTGAACGGTAAAGTTCTTCAACTCAGCAAAAGATAAGTATATCCCAGAATTGTATTCACTAGGGAGAAGAGGGAGAACATCACTCACGAGTCTAATGCAACATCTGCACACTTTAGAGTCCCGGTTGTCTTCGATGCAAATGGATCCTCAGCCACCTGATTTGATATGCGAGCCTCGTTACTGACATGCTCGAACTCAAACAAGAGAATAACGCCTTTAACTACCGCAATGTCCTCGCTGGTAAGCTGGTGTATGGCCACGGTGCACCGTCTCTGCACTCACGCTGTCATGCTCTTCTCAGGACAATTGAATGTCGGTTACTGGGCGGGGCAGGTCACCCCAAAATCTTCCAAGGGAGGGTTGATGTTTGACGACAGAGAAAAAAAATCCTTGAACAGAATACTGTGAGATATCTCGATAATCGACATCGTTTTCTCCCTCCAAGGTGAATCAAAGGCTTTTACTATTGAAAACCTCCTTGGAGAACTGGATTTCGTGGCTTTCGCTTGACATGAAGGAAGACAGAAATCATCAAATAAAGGCAGATGATTGTGTGCAAATAGACACTGATACCACATACTATATACTGACGACCTGTGTTCGATGCTTCGTCGTGGCTTCCAGAAAGGCAGCAATAGAGCCATCGCCATCACTATTTCCGAGGACTGACTCATGATATTTCAATGTATACATATAACCGTAGGCTAACTAGCGTAGCATTGTCTACGTGCTTACGTTTCTACCTTATGATATCTACGCAGGCATCCTTTGAGCACTTAAGTGTCAGCGTAACGAAAAAAAAAAAAAAAAAAAAACTCTTCCAAAGACACAAATTACCCCATCGTGGCCGCTATCCGAAGCGTTCATTCTGACTATTGCTCATTTTACCACAATCACTTGAGCATTAGGCTGGTGCTATCGAGTGCAAGAGAGTTGACGTTTCATCTCGGCCGAAGTTGAGACATGTTGAGACTAGATGATTTCTTAAAGAGTCTACAGCAAGAGTTATCGGCTAGAATCCTGCTTTTGTTATCTTCCTACTATCATCATATTTGTACCGTTCGCCACAATAACGCTTTCGATAGTGCTCCTAGCCGTACCATCACACTATTGCTCGTATTGTTGAAGCTAGCTCACGTCGCGACGGTGAATTTTCAGTGCATCGTATGATTTTCGAGAAGGAGGGTGGGGGGCATCGATACTTGCGTCGCATATGTCAGTTCAACAATGGCTCAATATGCTCAGTCGGGTAGGAGGAATACCTCAAAGGACATCTCGAAAACAAGATGAAGATACGGGCATATCAGCCTGTTGGTACATTTTCCTCCTTACTTGCTCTTCGATGTGTAGAGACGAGCGCATAGACGAGGTTACAAGCGTATGTTAATATACAGCACTCCAACGAGATATTGGTCGCGTAACTATTACGTTTGAGCCTACTCAGCCTCACGACCAGACCATACGATGTTCATTCTACAGAGTAGTTGAGGCCCTTGCCTGCAACTCAGACATTACGTTCCACAATCGCAAAGAATCCTGTCACAATACTTTACTTCCCCAAGCTATAGAGTGTATCTAGGTCATGACTCGACACCTCGACCTGCCTCTAACTTTGAAAAGCTAATCTGTTATCAATCGACTGCACGGCTGCCTTGCGAACATCCCGGCTCTCAACCGAACCACGTTTTTCGAATAATAAGAGGTCCTCCATCGCGATATTCTGAACGACACCGCTGTCTGTCTGTTCAATGGATTTTCTATTAGCGGGTAAGCTTAAGGCCACTGGTTTAGTATGTCTACTCACCGTCGGAAGTACGACGTCGCAAATCCTGTTCTGTGATAAGCCAGCTCATGCGAGATTACCAGGAAACTACTGTGCTCTCTGCGAGTCCTATTGTGACAATTAAGATGTGCGCCATGCTGGTCTCGTCTCATTCTTGGTACTGATCTCGCCAGTGGAATGCATATCTCAAATCGCGGTTCATGTGTATCTCTACATATGCGTTGCTATACAACGAACATGTCTCTTGATGTCTACGTAGTGAGGTCACGAATTAGTATAGGTCAGCCATTGTTGCTCCTGCATCAGCCCTGAATGGCGGATGACACATCACCAGCCAAGATTCGGTGGGCATCAATCATTGATCATTTCCCAATAAGTATAAGACTGCTGAGCGCCTCCTTCAGTGAAGCCCGTTGTGAAAGACGCGATAAGCGGGGGCGTCAAGATGGCGGCGATAGAATCGACTACATGTGCGTTGTCCCACCACGATGTAGGTAGTCTTGGGTAGCTCCACTGCATCGTTTCCAGAAGTGCATGCATTAACCGGTGCAGAGCCAAATCTCCACATCCAATGATATAACGATACTTGGTGCCAGGTTTGGAGGGGGCGCTCTCTTGGTTGCTGTCCGGATCTTTCGTGACGGTTGGGCATCTTCTCATCCTCCAAACCCTCCAATACTACACTCCCCCGCCACGTCATTTGGAATCGAAACGGAGGACTTTTTGTTTTCCAACTTTCAAACCAGTCTAGTTCGTCTTGACTACAGAAGCGTCGCTGGGATTTCCAAGCATTTCCCTTACTGTTGTCCCAAAGCTCAGCTATATTGGGTTCGGAGCTGTTCGGGGCTTGGTATACGATCGGATCCATCTGACTGAGGCAAAGCTCAATAATAGAAAATTGCATGCATACAATCCCGACCGCGAGGTTATCTTTATTCATCTGTCTCTACATGAAAGTTGAAAGAAATTCCCCTTAGCGAGAAGACAAGAAACGAGTGGCATGAAAGGATTGTGAAGATTTATAGAGCGCTACGTCAACATGAAGATCACAGAGGTGAGATCAGACACTTTAACTTCCCCTACCTATACCCATATGTCAGCAATATTGTACACCCCTTGTCTTCACGGCACCATGTCCCTCGTACTTCAACTTACATGGACTAAAACAAACCAGCTATATATCTACCCCATTAAATCGCTGGGTCCACTCCCGGTGCAGCGGGCGCGTCTGCGACGCGAAAGCGTCGAATATGACCGCCGCTTCATGCTCCTCAAAGTGCAGCCCGACGGGACGTACAGTGAGTCACTGGCACATTTGAACTGAGATGTTACTCCATAAAGCTACCAAGCACTAATCCCAGCGTCTTGACAGAGAACATCCAGATCACGTACTTCCCAGAATGTGCACTCTTCCATCAGCGGTTAGACGGTAGCGATATCGTCGTCACATACCGCGTGCCGTCGCCGCCCATATTCACGCCTGAGAACCCTGAGCAGCGGACCGAGTTACGCGTGCCATTGGCACCTAAGCTCGAGGGCCGGGAACTCGTTGAAGTTTCAGTAGGTCTGAGTCCTACTATTGCGTATCGCAGTAAGTAGTTTGGACCTCGGGGTCGCGCTTTCTTTTCCTCCGATACACTCATTCACACATACACTACCTCTCCGTGTAAGTATGTGTAGTTCTTATGAACTGGCGTTATTCTTGTTGGGCTATCAAAGCATTTCCTCCTCATAAAGCCGCCAAATCATATCCCTGATGCTTTCTTTTAGAGCGTGGGAACAGCTCATGGTCGGAGTCAAGGTGGTAATAATTGCCTAACATCTAATCTAATTTTATAGTGGGATATCCCTACGATCAGTGGTTCACAGCTTGTTTCGGATTTGAGGCGATATTGGTGTACATCGGGGACAAGGGGCGAGAAGTTCTCGCCCATAAGCCCCGCGACCATCATCTCTGGCGCCAGCAGCAACCACGACAGAATGGTTGGATGTCAAGCATCACGGCGCACGTCCCCAGCTTAGGGGGCGGTGGGAGTGAGAAGGACAAGGAGAAGAATGACTTGGATCAGCTCACCTTCAACGACATCGCGCCTTTCCTGGTGACTTCCGGGGCCTCGCTGCGCGACGTCAGCAGTAGATTGCCCGAGGGTGAGGACATGGATATCCGGCGTTTCCGACCCAATATCGTCGTGGATGGTGACACAGGGACTTCTGACGGCGAGAAACTCGCGGCGTGGGAAGAGGATTACTGGGGCGAGCTCACCGTCACACGGAGCACAGGTGCTCAGCACCGGCTCGCGCTCACAGCGAACTGTGGACGCTGCGTCTCTATCAACGTGGACCTCGACAAGGGACGGCCATCGGAGGGCGAGTCGGGGATCGTGCTGAAGAAATTGATGGCTGACCGGAGGGTGGACGAGGGGAACAAGTATGCCCCTGTTTTTGGACGATATGCTTTCCTCGCTCCGCTCAGAGAGGGAGAGGGAAAGAGAGATGACGATAACGTCGTAGAGATTGTCGTGGGCGATGAGATACATGTCACGAAACGCCTGGATTATCGGGATAGTTGGGCTTGGCCGAAGTACTAAGGAGCGCGTCTACTATAATACATGTACCAACAATCAGCTATTGCCAGGCATAAGGTGGAATCTGAGAGCTCGAATGAAGTAAAGGACCGCCTCCAGTTCTACTGTGACCTGGGACCGTGTCCACCATAGGCGTGGGGGGCCCGTCGCTTGGTAAAGGCTTGGATGGGATATGGGTCTATTTGGTAGACAGGCAAGGTTTAATTTCCCGTGACATGTGGGAGTTTGCGGAATGTACTTTGGGGAAATGGTACCATTTTTTTTCTTCGGCTTCGCGAGGAAGAAGAAGGGGAACGTGATGTACTCGACTAGAATAGGTATCCTTGGTAAAGTGATTGGGGTCTCTGCTACCACGTTTTCGCAGCGGCGTTCCCGTAGTGCTTACATATGAAGGCCCTGGATGTAGAAGAGTAAGTAAGGGTCCTTTGCTGTTGTGGCCTGTCTAGGATATAGAATGAGGCTACCACGATAATCCAGTATCATCCCATTTCCCCCAATCGCCCCACGCATCTTTCCGATCTGTACCACGATAGGCAATGTTGTGTACATGTAGCAATGCATGACTGCCGAATGCTTCCTATTCACTCCGCAAGGAATCCTGGCTGCGTGTCATCTGTCAGATTTCCTCGGGAGTTTGGTTGGTTGGGACGGGGTAGGTGCAGGAAAATCCCGGGGAGGCTGACGAGATGAGGTGAGGTGAGGGAGGTGAGTCTGAATCTGGGCATGCGCGGCGTGCCGCGTCACATCACATCCATGAAGCCCAACGATTGGCAGCAGCCTGCAATTGGGTATATTGCCGACCGTTTGGCCAGGGGCTCTCATGTAGAACGTGGGTTAGGGAAGCATTTTAGACATCGGCGTCACCTGTGATTCTCGTTAAAGCCCGAGCCGCCACCGGTAACGTCAGGTACCATTCCCACCTGAATATTGCATGCTCCATCTTGCATATCTAGTGAGCTGAGGGCCGCACCTGACGCGAGACGAAATCCAACGAAATTGAGTATTGTCAGAGGCTCAATATCCATCTGACTATTCAGCTGAGACATAGGGTAATTGAAATGACGTCGCGTTCGTCACGCTGTTGATGGTTGCCAAGACCGGCCTGATTGGACTTCGGCCGGAGATTTTATATCAGTCACTGGCAAATCCAGCCCGTGGGAAAACCATGGCGGCAAACACGCGCGCGCTTCGGTACATTCAGATTTAAAATCGAGAGTAACCAAACACAGGAGAACTTTGGGCCCCAAACGTTTGCGGTTGCGTTAGTTGGTAGGCTGTCCCAAGCGGCAGCGGGATCTTGCAGACCAGAGAGCACACGGTGAAAACACAGACGCATTGGCTGTTACACAACAGGACGGTTGGGCACCTCTACTTTGCCTTGCTTTTTTTGACGGCCGTTGGCGGACGGGCTAGCGTCGCCACGTGTGTTGAACGACGACGACAATCTATCCTCCTCAACCCAGATTGTGCTACTGAAGTGAAGTCATCTTGCTTGTCCGGTCGCTTGGCCGAACACAGGCACTGTAGAGGCGTGTGGTGTATCACGGTGGGTGGCAGATGGGGACAGACGTCGTACTGCTGCTCTCGGACAGCTTTTGGGATCCTCGTCGCATGCATCATGCAGACTGGAAAACTGGCAGTAGAAGCATGGAACCTTCCACCACTCCCCCTGTCCCGTCAGTTACATTGAGGATTGGACACACAACATGCATCATGACATCCAGGCCCATGGTAGACAGTGAAACGATGGAGCGCATAGCGCATTTGTGGTAGAGTAAACAGGCCCCTGGTCTTTTTGGAGCCGTGCAAATTGCGTTGTGAAACATCTTCTACTGCTATCGACAGAACAGGCCGCCAAAACTCAAACGAGGCAGAAAAAAAAACCTGAAAGCGAAACTCCAACTTTGTGTTAACACACAAGGTAACAAACAGTGCCACCCAATTTTCCACTACCCGAGGTATCATTACCGTGACCTGAACCTTTTCCGTTTCCCCCTTTTCCACCTCAAATTCAACCGTTCATGTTACTAACAATATGCCTCCGTATTTTTTTTTTATGTTTTCTTTTGATGTCCCCTTTCTTTTGGGGCCGTCCAAAGCTTGCGCAATGATTGAAATCTATCATGGAACGCCACTGGGAAATTGAACACACAAACTCCTAAAACGAGTGTGACAGTGAGAACATCGATGAGACCGGGGGCCTGAGCGTGCTCCAGAGTTTTCATCATCGCAGATACGGCCAGGTCGTCATAAACAGCCGGCCGCAGATAATGATAACCGGATTTGTTGTGCCTCACCCTCGATGGGCCAAGAACCCGAGGAGCTGAAACAGCGGCCAACTCGCAACCAGAGTTTAAGTGACACGTCGCATGATGATGCAGTAAGGAGATCCGCATACAGACTCTCCGTCGGCTGGCGAAGTGACAAGTTGTTTCGGCGAGATGCCTAATGTCTGCTAGGCAAGTTGAGGGGGGATTTCTCACAAAGTGTTGTTCCAACGTAGAGGCACTGCTGGTCGCAGAATTGACAGCCGACAGTCCCTTGGCACCTTTGAATCGGGGATATCTTAGTGACCACCAGACGAAATGTGATTAATCAAGCCAACAGGTTCTATCAGTGAGAAGTTGTGAGGGTGGATGGCGTCCAGATCGAAGTTCGGTAGGAATGGGTGTGACATGAGCCCTAACAATGTCTATCAAGAGATAATGACGGATTATGAGGTCCTAGAGAAAGAGACGTTAGCCCCTTTCCTACTCACATTTCTTCAAATGCTGATGTAGTACAAGTAGCGGTAGGCTAGTCGGATACTAACGAATGGACTTGGGCATACCGTATCGTATCTAAGGCAGCACCGACACAAGACCCTCGCGGAAAAGCCCTAAGCGCTATGAATGCAGGCGCGGCAAGTGTGAATTTTACAATATCGACACTCGAAAATCCACCAGTGAGGACCCGAGTGGCACAAGTTGCAAGTCCATTGAACCAAAGTGCTGTCCGACTTGATCATCTTGAACGCGTGTGCGCAGTTCGTTGAGACGGCCATGATGAGTTTATACAAGTTCGTGGTCCTTTAAGGCAGAGCACTACGTAGAATGTAGAGGAGCTTCAAGGGTAAAGATAGTCAAGGGTCTGAGTGAGTTGATTCAACTTGTTGGAGATTTTCTGCGTGCTTAGGATCGCTACCTTGGTGACGCAAATGAGTGGTGAGTCTGAGGGAAGAGCGAGGTACTTGAGATCAAAATGTTGCTCACTTGGATGAATGTAGAGGAGAAGGAGACAGATGCTGTTGAATATCCAGAAGCAAGAGCGAGATACGGTGAGAACACATAGGACTTATATAATCTACCAGTGTATGCAATGGGTGTTTGCCATGTATTGAAACATGGAATAAGAGGACTAGTCAACGTGGGGAGATAATGTTCTGTTTGTCCTGCAAGGCTGTTGGTCGTTGCCACGGTTTGCAAGGTATCGGGTATCAGGTATTAGCGGGGAGCATTCAGAACGTCCGGGCGTTGGTACGGAATCATGAGTCGGTGAACAGAATAGGACGTGCTCAACAACATCAGTAGATGAGAGGACAACGGCAACAAGCTCTAATATAGTTGTACTACTCTAGTTTCAAGGCTACGACCGGGGATGTTGTTCGCACGACCCGGGCTATGACGATGTCTCATTACGACGGAATAGATATGGGGGCCGAGGAGGGGCGAACCCAGGTATTCCATGTCAACGACAACGTGGGAGAAAATAAGTAGCATGGGGGCATTAGCATAAAACGTACGAGAACGGGTAGGATGGGCTTATGAGGTTAACTACCGGGGGAGCAACGGTAGTGGATAGTGTACGATGGTAAACGGGCTGCGTCAAAGGCAAGAGATATGACACGGGACGAGCGCCGAAAGGTGAACAAGCGAGCGGCAACCATGCACGCAAGTACCAAGAGCCAGACTGGAGGTATTTTTCAATTAGCTGCTACGATTTTAAGAGGGTCTACCCCCTCTCTCCCATGCTGCTCTGGGTAAGTATTCCATCCTTCTCATGGATAATAATACCAAGGACGATGTGACGCGGCAGCCATTCAGACGGCCGTTAGAGAACCCAGGTCCGTGGGCAGGGAAGAAAATGAGTGGGCTCCCATGTCTGGAATGCTCGGGGCTTGGGCCAAACGAACGAATTACTCAGTACGCTGTAGAGGCGGGGAGTCGAACGACTTAGTGCTGTCTAGAGCCGATTAGACTCCGCGCCGGGAGATATTAGAGCTGAGGTCGACAGTAAGTTAAGATGAGGACAGACAGACGTCCGACTGCCTCTGACCTGGATGATCCTGCCTTTGATCTGGGGAGGACCCAGGACCCGTCAAAACAGCTACGCGTCAGTGGTCTTTTCGACCTACATGTACGTACATACATCTACATGTCGACGTGGATGGCGGCGTAACTGATACGCCGAGTCAGGCAATACGTTAGCAGAGGGATTACACAGATACTAGGCCGGATCGCGGCTCTAAGGTAGTAGTGCCGAAGGCTTAACTGTCAAACGTGATTAGTCTAAAAAGAAAATGCCAAAATGTCAGAAAATAATAATGGCGAATAAGAGGTGGAATAGGCTATGGACTTAGTGGTTTTCTGCTGCTTGGCCAGGGTTGCCATTGGTGGGTCAGTTTCCACGGTGGGCAGATATCAGCAGCAGCCTGTACGAGGAGAGGGCTACTTAAGACATCTGTGGATGATGGGTGGACAGATCTCTGGACAGATGAGTCGCTCCATATGCGCGCGAGGGACCGACGGCCTTCACCACTACTACCTACCTACCGACCTACCGACCTACTTCACGTCTCCCCTCTCCCCTCTTCCCTCTTCCCTCCCGAATCGAGGAATTCCGAGTGAAACCGTGAGTTGGGGAACGTTTTCGGCCCAGCGGCAGGGAGAGGCATGACAGAGGCAGGGCTCAGGCGACTGAGCATGTGGCACGCACGCTCCCAGGAAGCCCGCTCGGGGTCGTTTATGCCTGGGCGGGCCCGAAAGAGAGAAGATGCCCTCACTCTGCTGATAATCTTCTTCTTTTGCTGCACCAATGCTGCTGCATGAACGGAATAGAGTAGCTGGCCGCTCGGGTTTCCATATTGGGAGTCATCAACCAGCTTCAGATGTTCCAGACGTTGAAGATTTCACTTGGGGCCATCGTCGAACTCGCGAAACGACGCACCTTACAGATAGTATCATACACACTGCGACATGTACAAGCAATTGGAAGGAGTAAGGTAGGTACATGGGAAAGAGGGTACCTGCCTAACAATAGGTAGCAGTAGGTAGCAGCATGTATGCAGCTGGCAATCTGGAAGCTCAGCGCATCAATCAGGTCACTGGCCCACCGCCTGCTCTGCCTAGGTAGGTAGTACCTACTTGGTAGTGCGTGCTTCACCCAGTCCGCTTAGTTCTGCTGGGTACAAGTGGGCTCTGCAGTGGGGTGGCGGGCATCTACCGCGAGTGCAGATGGGTGCCCCCCTGCACTATACTATGGAGTACCGAGTACCTAAGGAGGTAGGTACCTCAGGTACTACATCCCTATGTACAGTACCTACCTAGGTAGGTAGGTAAGGAAAGTGCCTGCTTGTGTATGGGCTGAAGGCGCGAGAAACTACCTACATAAGGTACCTAAGCAGGTACATATGTACATATGTGTGTACTACACGGGAGGCTACCAACATAGTACAAAGTACAGAGCTGGGTAGGCAGGTACTACCTAGATAGGGCACGCCACCTAGTATTACATGGACCTAGCAGTGCATGCATGCATGTACATACGCCATGCATGCATACATAGTATCCTTATGTATGTATAACTGAGACCACTTCTCAGCGGTAGTGTAATGATATTGCTGTGTGTAGCGCTCGATGACTTGATTCTTAGTCCCATGTTCCATGCTGGCATCAGTTCAGAGAGCAATCTTGTTGCATGGACTAGCTCCCTGGGCTGGGATGGCGGGAGTCTGTACATATACATAGTACTTAGTACAGAGTACCGGTATGTACGAAGTGTATGTCGGGGGTCACTGTCTATAAGTAGAATCTCATCATACCAGCACACTTGAATGAGCCAGCCCGAATCTCGCTCGTTCTAGATATCGTCTGTAGCCGAACGGCTGTCACTTTTCGCTTAAGGGTTTTTAGGTTGCAAGGCATTGCCGATTTGTGGTGGACAGGGTGCATCTACTTAAGTACATACTATGTATAGTGCACCTAGGTACCTACCTGCCTGTACCTAGGCTAGGTCGGTACCTAGGTTAGAAACAATCTCCTGTGGGCTGTGGGGAGTGCTTACTTCCACATCAAATAGTATAACTATAGTATAGGCTGAGAAGGTGCAAATATATGTAGGCGAATATAGGTGTAATAATATGATGGAGCCATAATCATGCTAGGCAGACTACTAGTACCGAGTAGATCTCTACGTAAGTAGGTATATATATATACACATACCTACACACGCATACTACCTAGGTACTATGTAGCTATCTATATTTATTTATAAAATACGTTGAAATACGTTGAGATACGGATCAAGATGAGTCCGCATGCTCTCCAAAGGGCTGAGAAGCGAGGCACGACCATACATGATAGGTAGGAGCTTTGAAACATGTCATGACAGGAGACTGCTGGCCTACATCTAGAGTAGGTAGTATGTAGATGCCAACTGCAGAGGCATGTATCCGCAACTCGTAACTTTGAGGCCTAGTACATACTTATACATGGACCTGCTGGGCTCCCCAGAGCCGATGCTGATCAGCTGATGGCTCTGTACAAGTGAAGATCCGCTCCCATTGGCATTTCGCGCACACCGGTCCAGGAGCCATTCTTACACCACTCACACACACTCACACACACACACTCACTTACTCACTCACTCACTCACTTGCCCTGCCTTGATGCACGACATCGCGCACTGCGCGTCTTCCACCGCATGGAGATTTTCCGATTTCTCGTCTGATTCTTGGCCAGGTCTTATTTCTCATTGGTGGTGGCCTCTGTATATAAGAAGATATCTACCCGTGCTCACGTTAGACGGCTAGAGGCATCACCGTCAGAGGGCCGAACCAAAAGCGCTGCATGGACCCCGGTCAGCATTACCACGTTTGTAAATTTGCTGTTGCAGGAGTGTGGCATTAAGAGAGGTTGTATGGCGGCGCGGATCATGTGTCTGTGCTCTGGGAACCTCGCTTATGAGCCGAAGCATTCTTCATACCTTTGTTCACCGACGACGGAGCGGTCTGCTACCTAACGGGGCACCTGGCATGGCCGCAATTGACCGAAGTGGATGGACTATGCGCAAGCTACCGTCATCTTCTTCGTGGATTTGGGACGGCATGCGATGGAGCCGGTTGCGAGTGCACAATTTGGGGCCTGTTTGCTCCTCCGCTACTATAGCTCGTCACCCATAGTCCCACTGATGATACCCTTAACCAGACAACTCCCCAATTTGGCGCCCAGCGTCGAATGATAACAGACATCCTCTCATCCACGAGAGCGGTGTTTCCCACCAGCACCGTTGCACTGGAGCTTCTGAACAGCATCATTCCGCTATGAGTCAGCCTCGTAGTCGACCCTGGTCAGCTTTTTGCTCAGGATAGTGGCACCTATCAGGCAGGAGGGGGCCGGGATTAATGACATCTTTGATCTGCTGTCTCCGTTGTTGACACATTAGAGGGTGCCGAGACTGAAGCGTTTGTTGGGTGGATTGGGCCAGCCGTCGAATAACCGGCTCAGGTTTAAACCACCCGGTGTGAGATTGCCTGCACAATCATCCAAAATACCCACGCTAGGGGGTAAGCTTGTCATGTGAAAGCTTCAACATGTATGCAGACATGTCGATTGCATCGCCAGGTCCTTCCCTCTATCCACTTCAATCAACGTATACCTCTACCAACTCTGCGGTGCAACCCCAAGCAGTAGCCAAGTGATACTGTTGAGACGAAACAGCATATCCCAACGGCACCCGAGGATCACTCTTACTATACCGCACACCTCACCTGCGAAAGGCGGGTTAGCAATGACTTTTTTTATTTTATTTTTATTTATTCAAACCCTCTGTGATAGCCAGGGATTATAGGTACAGTAACAACGCATCAGTGGGGCGTAGTCCTGAATATGGCATGGGTATACACCATACGCTACCGCTTACCATCATCCCTGATGACCTATAGGAGCTAAGACAGAGAGGTTGACCACTAAGTACGTGCCCACACCTTGAAGCACGCAGCGAAGGAGGCCCAGTGTAACCGCGGGATAGGTCCCCTACGCTTGGTGGATGCTTTATAAGGTGGACACTCGGCCAGCTCGGGCGGCTCTATCGCTCGACGATGTAATCGCATGATGACGAGAAGCTTTCATCCGAGTACGGAGCTTCAGGTCGGTGACGTATGACTAATATCTCCGTTAACATCTGTTAACACCACATAGGAGCTCGCCATTACCATCAATGTATCTGAGCATGATTGAGCGGCATTAAATAGTTACCGATGATATCGATATCTTAAGTTGGGCATAAAAAGCTTAGTTACCGGCCATAATACAGCTGTAAAAAAAACTAATGCCATGCCCGCTGTGGAAAGCCGGGGTTATGAGGCCGACTCGTTTCTGATATGAAGATCCTGGCACTCCCAGCCTTGTCAGCCTCCTGACGTGTGCTAGACAAGTCTAATGAGTATCAAATACTAAAACCGTCCTGTAAGCGTGTCCCGACTCATGTTGATCCTTAAGAATAACTGACCTTGAGTAATGAGCAGTGGTGGTGAAGAGCGATTACCTCTCAAGGCCAGCGTGAGAAGATGGTAGTTGTTTTGTTTATATGAGGTGAAAGGAGACTTAAGCTGGCTGATTGTGATTGAATCAGTCTCCTTTGAAACATTTGTATCGAGTGATTACGGAAACCAATTACTGAGATGTGAAATGCTTCCTTCATTTTCCTTCCATCCTCTCACTGTTAGAACTACGGGCATGTAAACTGGTTTTCAGTCTGACCGCAGCTGTGGGCCCTACGTCACTGATATCAAGCTCTCCCATCTACGCGTGCTTTTCTCACCAATAGCAGGGGCAGGAAGGGCACTACTACACTAAGGAACTTTGACAGCCATGGGTTTCTAACGTTGCCGTGAGGTGTCTGTTTTATCCCCTGACCACGTCCCGATGCGGCTGTACCTGCGGCCATGATGCACCAACCCTGCAGGACTAAGTATAGAAGTATATATCAAGCAGCGCAATTAATGCAGCTTGGCAAATCCATATCACCTCTTCTTGTATATGATCTTATTTTATAAGCAGAAAAATGCGCTGTCCATGGTGATGTCGTCATAGAAACGTTACAATGGGTTTTTCTGACTTGACATTCTACCTTGCGGTCTCCTTAGCGGACAATCAGCCGGCAAATTTCATGGTAGTGGCATAAAATACTAGGTAGGTTGGAACATGGTACATGTATGAGCGAGCTGGTCTGTCTGGGCAATGTAAATCGCCTAGGCCACCTGGAACCGAGGTACATACCAGTAGGAACGGACGACATCTAACCATAATGTCCAGAGGTGCTCTGATAACCACGGGAATGGAACTCATTTGTCGACGACAAGACATGACGGCCGGCGGGTCGCTTGGGATGCTTCGGGGGTCTCATCCCAAGCACACTTGGGTCGGAACAAGCCAACGGGAAAGACTGCCTAACTATGTACTTACAGTGTATGTAAGTATATGTAAGTATGGATTTCCAAGATTACTTATAAGTGCTGGTATAATATAATAAACTGCTCGTACTAAGTATGCGGAGCATCACCATGTCTGGGCATAATAGGTAGGCAGGCATAGCATGTAGATATATCACGTTATGTTACCTAAGGCAGCCTACAGTAAGGTATGCGGAATTCTGCTATACCTACCTAGGTAGTAAGTAAAGCTCGCACTAACTCGAGCCTACCGGTGACCACTTCCTGTTGGTTACTTTGACATGCACGTGGCCTGAATAGGCAATACTCGTATAGGTTGTTATACCTCTTATGGGAGTGGCAGCACGGGCAGACACGGGGTACCTATACTGGACCTACTTGGTATATCTATTATAGTACATACATACATACAGGAGTACGAAGTAAGTAAGCTTCGACAATCTCACCATCACATCACTCCCCGTCACACCAGTCATGGCCATCTCGTGAAGCCACACTCGGCAGACTCGGGAGGGATAGTACAAGCCCTAAACCTAAACGACTTGTGTGAGACACGGCCCCTTTTATCAGACGAACGCCAGTCTTCGAATCAGGCTAGTCCGTCAAGCCGGCTCACAGACTAAGTAAGTACGTACTACTTTGTATCTTCTGGAAGGAAGTGAGTACCCAAATGGGGAGGCACCTTTGCCTTGTTAGGCTCTTGCTCCTTCGCTATTACGTCCTAAAGAGGGAAACTGGCTAGAGACTGTACCCCACCAGCTCGCACTAGGGACGGTTATGCCACGTGTGTGCCGAGGTACAGAACATTATACTTACTTGCCCATATTACACCACATAAGTACATACATAAGTAAAACATCTACTACCTACCTAGGTACCTAGTGGTATATACTATACTGTAGGTAGTCTTGTACAGCACTTAGTAAGCTACCACTAAGTACCTACTTGGTGTAAGGCATGTACTATTTGGGCTCTCTTGATGAGTGCCGTGCCGGACCTAAGATGGGTGCATAGAGCAGCCACCCTCAACTCAACCCATAGATAAGGTAGGTATGCTTACATTAGTGCTAACCTCGCTAACTACCTAGGTAGCTACATATGTACGAAGTATGTAGCTAGTACATACAGTTCTGATACAATAGACACCTGGGCAGATACTACCTGTAGTACTAGGTCGAGGAAGTATATGATACTAGGATGTATATACTATTTATATACATCCACTACTACCTACCTAGGTACAAATGAGTATGTAGGTACACGTACATGGAACACTTGGTACCATTCTGAACTGCCTCACACATCCATGGATAGGCAGGCACGACAGACTACTAACATAACAGAGATTGTAAAGCACGACTCAGGACATTGACAGAGTCTGCCGAGCGAGCAACAACTGGCAACACCCCCTTTGCACTGCCTTGCACAACGCCCAACCAATAATGAGAAGGCTTCCGGCAACAAGAACAACATCGTTCTATGCCAACACACGATCCAAACTACGACAAGACTCCTGATCGTCTCACGCTCGGACAAAGGATCCAACGACTCGTTTCGGCCATGATGTATGGTGTACCTACCCTTCCTGCATCACCTGCCATCACGTTCGTGGTGACAGACAACCTTGAACCTACCTATTGTAGGTAAGTAGTCAGTATGCGCTCTACGGAAGAAGCATGCTTATTCACATCGTACACGGCCGCTTGCTGTACTATCACCATTATCATCATATCTATATTTACTTATTTACTTGCTTGCTTGCTTGTTTACTTACCTGCCTACCTACCACTATACGCACTGCCTATCACTGCGCGCAGCTCATGGCCACGTGCTCAACTCTCGACATACTTACTTAGATTTACAGCATTTAACATAGCGCAACTAGCGACTAAAACCAGCCTAGCTTGACACCGGATGCTACCTCCGTCGACGGGAATCTAGCCTAGTGCCTTCTCAGCAGAGCTACATCTGGTCATGGCAAGCAATGACAGAATATCCGCCTCGCCTTGACTTGCAGGAGGCAGACGGGAAATTCCTGTCGGAGACCCATCCCGTTAACGCTTAGCCTCCACCCTAGCTGACCCAGCCCGTCCCGGACGAACTCCGAATCAGCGTTCTGACTAAGTCATGGCTCATATTCCCAGTATCTATAATAAGTGAGTAAGTACGTGATCGACCAACCGGTGCCGCTGCCGGTGATGTAGTCTGACCATCTACAGCGTCGAAATAGCCCGACGAGCATGGATGAGGTCGCTACCAGGATTGCCCATTGTCAAGGTTGTGATGACAGGAAACAAGCGGAACCCTCGGCAGCCGGCGCGTGCGAACGTTTGCGGACACGCTCCCTTCGGGCTATATCATGTACATGACATATACACTGCCTGCTGTGCACATGCATGCGCGCGTACACTAGTAGTGTAACTAATACGCTCCGGGCAGTGTACTTATGGTTAAGAACGGCCTGCCAATTTCGCCCGCTTTGACGGCTAATCTCGGCGGTCTGTGCCTTTTTAGGTACAATGAAACTTGAAAACCCCATGTTGAGTATACAGGACCACTATTAGGAAGCGATGCTAACGGAATAACGAGCCTCAAAGCGTTGGTATTATACGAAAATCTCTGTTGGTGATTGACTGTTCCGGTCCTAGCCCCAGGATCAGCCATGCAAGCCTTGCTAAGTAAGCCTACACTTACATTAATATTTACTTAGAGTACTATAGTGCTCTATAGCTGAATTGCTCCAGCCAAACATCCCGAGGAGGTGGACAGTGAACAAAACTAATATCGACGAGGGCCCTCTAAAAACTATAGATTTGTTTCACGACGACGGCGACGACGACGCCACCTAGCGCCCGGGCTTGAGCCTCACTCACGTCATAAGAAGGCTACCTAACACAGGCAGCACGTGCTAGTTGGCGTTGACAGGCGACCTACCCGGCCCATCACTCCCCACACACTTTCGTACGGCGTTATTGGTGGGTGACACAAAGGTTTCGCACCATACTTAGCTGATACCGTTCCAAGTCTTCTCCTGTCACCAGAACTTCTGACCAGGAGAGTACCAGGCCTTGAAATAATGCATCAGGTACGAGATTTGTCTGCCGGTTGCTATGACTTGTCATTCTCACCTTGAACCGCATCTGGAAGTTGTCACCTCTCCTCAACCCCTGCACACGGGTTGGCTTACTTACATCCCAGCCACGGAACAGTAGCCGGCAGTGAAGTTTAGGCTTACCAACGGCGCCCATAAGCCGTGATTGTAACCCTAGGTCTGACTGACCTCTTGCGCTACTGTCGTGGCTCGTACGATAGGCAAAATCATGCGCACCATTCATATTATGTTGCACGTCTCGTGCTATATATACATGCACGTATACATGCTTTTTTGTCACTAGATTCGCCGTCGTTGTTGTCGTTGTCGATTCCTATTGTATGCAATGCAAATCATTTTTATTCCCTCGCTTAGTGCGGTTGCAAGCGACTATGTTATTATTGCATTGTGTGGCCATCCCTGCCGCATGGCCAGAAGCGAACAAATTACCACTTGTTTCACGTCGTCCTCACCAGGCCATAAACCCCATGTGCATGAATAGTAAGACGATTTCGTATCAAGACAGACGTCTACCGGCCCCGACCGGACGTCACCACTGTCGGCTGCAGCGATCTCGCGCCAGACTTGCATGAGTCCCCAGGGTACGGTGTCGGTTACCCAATCATTTTGCCCGCTATTGATCATGATGATGTTATTGTCCTTGTTATTCTTGTTAACAGGCATGCTTTTTGACATTTACAGATTCCAGAAAGAGACAGCCAAGCTCATTCCAGGTCACTTGCCCCATCTCATACGTGGGGGGATATCGTGTCTATCCAATACGGCAGATGCGGCCATTTGCGATCTCGCATCTAGAAACAAAACAGATGGACCACATCCAAATAAAATCTGGTTCCCGCGGCGCTACGGCCCCCACTCAAATTTCGCCGTTGGTATCTATATGCCTTGTCATCGCCGACTTCATACATGAAATTCGAAGAACAATGTCAAAGCCGCTGTTAGCGGCCTAAAAGCTGCGAGCGAACAATCAAAGGTGTCGGTCTTCGGATGCTGTTCGGGTTTCCGTATATAAAATACTGCTTGTCAGCCCAGGACTAGTGGAGATCCTAGATAAGAGGACTGAACGAATGATCGTATGCTTGCTTAGAATCCGCTAAAAGTAAGTAGTCTAGGCCAAGGAAGAGGAAGAGCATCGGAAATTGTACGCCGCAAATATACAGCACGACGATTTTGCCTTACAGCCCTGATGAAATGTCAAAAAGAGGAGACTGCAGTAGACGGGAGGAAACTTAATACGGTTGGGATAGGAAATGTACGCAAGTAGCACTAACGACAGGAATGGCACGAGGTGACAGGGCACATGGGAACCCTGACCTTGACACTTGTCGCATGGCAATTCACGCCATATTCGCTTCTCTCATCCACCGGCCGGCGACATCACACAGATACTTACATATAAACATAGTATCCACTATACCAGATTTGGGACAACAGACGGAGCTGTATCATTTAGGCATGTATTATGGGTCTTAGTACTTTATGGTGTTGTTAGTGCCTCTCTTTCTCTCTTTTATCCTGCGCTATTTAACTATTTAGTACAGAGTTATTGTCGACAAGTGTCTGTGCTGATACATGGCGCTCTCTATGTGTTGGTATTTTGCCCATTTTGTTTTCCCCATGCTGCTGTACTCTAACCCGTAGCCAGAATCCCAGAAACTTGGCGACGTCAAGCGGCAATGCACCTGTGTGTACTTGGTAACGTGCCTGCCGACACCTCTCCCATGCTACATCGCATCACCTACCAATATCACCAGCTAATTATCGCCGCCTAGGCTAGAAGACAGGGGATGGGAGCCCGGCACTTTTGCATTCGTTGCTCACTAGGCTCAAGAGGCGAGTCGTGCAGCACTTGACAGTTTCTCGGCTCAGGGGTCAACCATAATGGTGGTGGTGGTGCAAGTCAAGTCTTTGACCTCGTTTCTGCTCCAAGGTTAGTTAGTACTAACCTTCTTACTGAGTAGCGTACTTACTAAGTACAACTTTAGCAGGCCAACGGGCCAACGTGGAGAATACGAAGTCTGTTTCCATTCTCCATTGACCGGTCCCATTTAGCTGCTGGCTAATACAATTTTACGTGCTAGTCTGTGTTCAGATACGCGTGTAAGATGGGGGGGAATCGTCTAGTCAACTACTGCGTATACATAGTATAGCAAACTATACGGTGTAGGTAGACACTCCAGGGTAAGCTTTGGGAGGTACTGAAATGGGCTTGCGGTACACAACAACTTTCTGTGTTATACGAGATAAGTGCTCAAGATTTTCGTACTAATATGACGTTATATCTCATTGATGAGAGCGTCAGACAAGCTCAGCTGAATTCTGCTTTTTAGTCTCAAAACATACTGACTTGGTAGGCAGGTTAGAGTCTAGGATGGAGTGATTCCGTACTAAATTATGGCAATGTCAACACTAGAGACCCTGCATGAACATTTCGATGCCCAAGGAGGTTTTATTTGTATGATCTATTGGAGGCTCCTGTGTCCTACCCACTCCCATACGCCTAAGTTAACATATGCCAACGACAACGACGCTAGGCAGAACAAGCAATGATAGTATGCCGTCATGGATTATATCATTTCACGAAGTCGGCTAAAATCAACGATGGCGACGATGATGGTCGGATTTCAAAACATACCATTGCGGCCATTTCCGGTCAATGCCCAATCATGTTGCATGATATTCCATATCTTCGCTTACTAGGGTTATCAATGCTGATGCCGCTTTGACAGTTTCTCAAGAGTGGTTTTTTTTTATCTCCTTGTCGTATCCCCAACACACATATGAAAGACGCGGAAAAGGCCCGTCTTCTGGCCCTTTGTTTTCCCGCAAGTGGTAGTGTAGCATGGCGTAATAGAGGACCGATCCCCCCGAATCGGTGGTAAGGGACCCATTCCTCTCACCGAAATTTCTCTCACCGCCTACATGTGAAACAGGGTCCCAATCACTGTCGACGGCGCCGTCGTCCCGATGGGTTAATAAGCCACATCGGCTCGCCTTACGCGAATTCCTCTTTTTAGTGCCCCCAGTAGGGCAGGGCTAGAGGAGACATAATGCATTGCTGCAGAATGTCAACTCGAGACGCACACACCCTCTACGTCATCACGATGGCGATTCCTGAGTATCATTACCTATCACAGGGGGTTTAGAAGATTGGCTAGGTTTGGAGATATAGTTTATGATGAAAGACGCAGGTCTTTAACCTCTGACTATGCCTAGTATGTACCTGATCTGTCGTCCCGCGCAGAGTCTGTCGCCAGGCCGCCATCGGCATCATGCAACAATGATGAATTAGACGGCTCAGAGCCCCTCATTTCCAATACTTCTTCCCGCTCATCGTCCTGATGATCCCTATCGAACACGTCGCCTTCGGAGTTTTGGCGTTCTTTTTCCTGGAAGGTGAAAGCATCGGACAAATTAACTGCCAAGAAAGTTTTCGGCAGTTTGACCCTGTGGTATCCCGTATAAGCAATCTGGACTTTGAAGCCCCAAGCGAGACTGGAAAGAGAGACACTTACTGGTGGAATTTTGCCCGCAAGGTCTCGATGATTTCCTTCCAGTCGCCATGAGGCGTAAGGCTCCGCCGCGGTGCGCATCCTATACAGTGCTTGCTATCCAGTTGAATATCTAGCGGATCAAAGATATGGCAGCCTGGGCTGATCGTAATTCGAATGCTGTAGTTGAAGGCTGGCTGACCAGGCAGTGGTGCGTCTAATGCGCCTTTGTTCTCAGACTCATACAATTCAAAACAGATCTGGGAAAGATAGTCTAGCTCTGGGATGGTACGACGATTGATCTTTGTCTCGATACCCCCTTCAAGAATACAATTGAGTAATGTGTAGATGTGTGACTCCTTGGTAAAGTAGAAGAATGATTTGGCATCTTCCGAAGCCTGCATCTCTTCGAGGTCTTGGACGATCTCCTTGAGAAGAGGCAACGAAGTTAATAGTCCAATCTCGAGCTGTTCTAAGTTAGTTTCTTGCGGAAGATACGGGTGTGGTAAAGCTGACCTTTTCACTGTCTGAGATACCGTACTCTTGAGGACATATAAAATCAAACATCACCTTCGCCAGCTGATATAACTCTCGAAGGGGCTCGAACCTTGCATCGGTTTTCGCCTTGGTCCGATTATTACCCCTCTGAAGATGGAAATATTCATCAGGCTGCGCAATCTCACTAGGGTGCTTCATCCACGACCTCCGTCTAAAGATTCGCCTCATGGCATTTTGCGCCTCTGATCTCTCCCCCCTCTCTTCAGGCTTGTCGGCTCGCTCATTAGGAGGAGAAGCCCCAAATTGGTTCTTCTCGGACTTGTCGTCGTTTGTCCTGCTGCTTTCATCCCCCTCCTTAAGTACGCTCTTGGTATCGCGGCTGAGTGTGATGCCAAATTCTTCCTCTAGCATGTGTTTCGGCGGCGTGAACACCCATTCGAGAAATTGGCGGTTATGTAATGCATCAAATTTCATGGTATCGTACAACTCGGAAATCTTACTTGGGTCAATTTTCTCGTGATCACAGAACTCGGCAAAAAGCTTCTCCCAGCGTTCTCGGAAAAGCTCAGCATCTTCTCCACAGCACCACCGGGTCTGAATATTGTTAACAGTATTAACCTGTGAGAGTGACGAAGCGATTGAAGCGCTGGAGCTTTCGCCAGGAGCTTTGTCTGAGTTATTGTTGTTGATCGCATTGAGTGAATTCACAGCACCGCTATACAGCTTATTGTAATTATGCTGCATCACATCGCGGTGAAAATTCATCAGCTGAACCACCCTTGTCTGAACCTCAGACGGCTCAGGCATGCCCTCAGGCCAAGCAAACTGCGATGGACGCTCATTACCCTTACGGAGTAATCCCTTCAACTTCTTCTTAACTTTGTCCATTTCATCTTTAGCCGCGTTGGAGTCGTCAAGAAGGTCCTTTCGAATTGTGATAAAATCCTCTGGAAGTTCTTTCTGGTCTAGAAAAGACGTCGCCCATATTTGAGCGCTCGTAGTGACCCGACGCTCCGAACTGCTAAAAACATGAACTTCGTCAAGAATATCTCGATTTAGGAGCATATAATCGTTTCGCATATTCTGTGCTAGCTCCTGGGCTTGATACCGTGCTGAGTGGGTCGGTTCACCACCCCATTTAACGATTAATTGCAGCTTGTCTAGCACAAAACTGTTGTCCGCTGCGGTGAACTTGGACATAGTTACGCCAGACATCGAGTCCTGGCGACGTGGCGCGCTCTGTCGACCCTTATCTTGAGCCTTCGTCTCTTCGTCACCATCTACGTCCTGAAAGCCATGGTCTTTCTCAGAAGAATTTGCCTGAGAAGCTAATTCTCCTTCTTTTCGATGCTGGGGTGCGCTTCCAGCCACTAAATCAGCTTCAACTGCTCCGGGAACACCAGCTGTCGACTCGGGCACCGCCTCTGCTGACTTCTTTTTGCTGAACATTGGCTTGATTTGCACCTTTGTGCCAGCCCATCCTCCCTTCTTGATGAGGACATTCCGTAGAGCTTTGAGTTTGTTACGATCTTCTTTTCCCTGCTTGATGGCCATATCAACTGCGTCGAGGACACTTGCAAGCGCTGCCTCACCGACTAACAAAACTTCTTCTTGGTGGCCCTTGAGGAGATCAATGAAAGGCTGCGTATGAAAGGTAAACTTATACTTTTGTTTCGGTGTACGATCAGCGTGGCGAATGACTGAGACAAGGCCTTTGAGCTTCCAAGAATGCTTTGGTGGTGGAGGAGGTGGAGTAGGTCGAGAGTCCGTTTGCTCCTCCATCTCATGAACCGGAGTAGCTGGGTGTGTTGGCGGGGCAGTCGCAGGAATACTACTCGAAGTTGACCCGCCCGCAGCGAGATGAGCAAGAGGACTGAGAATACCATTTTGCAGTTTCGACGCTATATGAGACATATTCGTATCAGATCTCACTGTAGTGGGGCTTCCTGAAGATTTCTCTTCACCATTCGATTCCTTTGTGGGATCTTCCGGGGCGAGGGTGCTAGTAGTGAGAGGCAATGAAGATTGATGCACTGTTTGTGCAGCTGGAAGCGCTTCTTTCTCTTTAGTTGCTAGGAGTGCCCTCGTAAAGGGGTCGTTCATATCACTAAGCGCCGGGGATGGGAGCGGGGGTGTTGGACCGCCTCGCTTGAGCCTCTCCGTGATGAACATTTCTTTGAGAATGCTGGCGCAGTGGTCGTAGTACGTTTCATTATCCTTGACGAAACTCCAACCATTGACATCAATGACACAGCTCTTGCCTCCGGCGCGGAGCAGGTCAAACCCACAAACTCTTTGACCAAAAGTTCTGGCTATCTTGCTAGCCATTTCCTTCTCTTCCGGACTCAGAGCTGTTACATAGCGAATTTCTTTGCCATGTGTATTGCGTCTGACTATGCCGTCTACGACGGGTGATTTTCTCGTCTCGGCATGGCAGTAGTGAGATCCAACCGTGTAGGCCTTGACATCTTCTGCATTATCCACCTGCATGAATTTTTCATATATGAAGCTGCCATTAGGCTCGGTAATTGCCCGGGGAACGACGAGGTCCTCAACGAACTCGGAACTCTTGTTACCGATTTTTCTGAAAAGCTTCCTAGCGCCGCCGCCGGCTGACCGAGGAAAATAGATGATAATGTTGTGATCCTCTCCACTTGTGGGTTTTTCGACAAAGGGCTTTTTCAGAAGTGCGCCATCAACGCTGAGAATATCACCATCGTCGAGCAACTCGACTTTTCTAGGAGCGCGGTACTGCCCAAAATCTGTGGTTTCTAGCTCAAGGCCTGAAACTTCCCTGGTATGTTTAGCAACCTCGGGAGTGAGTAGATCTGGGCCCCCATCACGATTCACCTCTATTCGCTTTGGTGTTGGAACGTTGATCTTATCTAGCATGCGGAGGCAAAGCCGTCGGTCCCATAAGATTTTTTGCATAGGAACATCGTTGACGCAAAACGGCTTTCGCGCCTTAACGTATGCAATAGCTTTGTCCAACGGGAATCCATCTGAATAGAATGAAATCAGATAGTCACATATCGGCCAGTTCTCCACGCCTATTGAGATGTTAGGTATACAGTTCACTCAACCCGACTTAGCTCACACAGTTCACGTGACATACCTTCATCTAAGATAGTTTTATCTCCGAAAACGACAACGTCAAAGTCACGATTGGCAATGATGCGGTTAAGGATATTCCTGCTAGGTTTGCTGCGTGCTTTCGAATCCAGGGCACAAACACCGATGATTCCCCAGGGCGCTGGCTTTGTGTCTTCCTTCTCTCTGGATTGGGCACCTCGTTCGCTACTTTGGCTGTGACTGCTAGTCGCAGTGCTACCGCTGAAACGACGTTTGGTCCTGCTACGATCTCTATTCGTTTGAGATCTAGCGGTGGGATTAGAAGTCGGTGGAGGAGGATGAGAAGGCACCGGGCTTCGCTTTACTACGTCAAGCGAGTGGGTGTGGTGAGTATTCAACGGCGTGAGCTGCGGGCCACTGCCAGCTTGACCTTGGGGATTAGGACTGGAAGAGGTTGTGACAGTGACATTCGAGACACCGGCTTCCGACTGGCCTAGGATGGGGCTCAGACCCTTACCCGAAGCCATGAGGGCCTGAGCAGACACAGAACGCTGCGCAGTGCCACAGTCAGAATCAGCAGAGGAAGGAGCCGACGCCAGAGACAAGAAGGATGAGATAGAAATGCGCTTGTTACCGTCCGAATCGGAGAATGAAGGACGTTGGCCGAAGTTAGGATCGAGTAACTGGCCGTAGTAGTTTGGGTCTTGGTAGGATGAGAGCCGCTTGGTAGAAAAACTTCCACGGCTTGGTTTCGCGCTTGAATTTGGGTTTGGGTTTGCCTCCATCTTTAAGAAAGAAAAGCTAAACCCAAGACCACTTTTTCCCGATCTTGGTGCTGACTTAGTCCACTTAGTCAGTCACGCGGAGCCCTCTTTAACGCCTATGCCGGCCAGTGCGGCCTGGAGTAACTGGTGAATGTCTCACTACGGACTACGGTGATAAGGTAGAATGTTCAGAGCTGTTGGGCGGTAAAAAGAGAACAGACAACGTCGAGGAGGGGGGAAAGGGAGTAGATTCGATATAGATTCTTGGCTGGATTGTCGTAGAGTCCTTGTACAACTATCAAGATGTTGTTCTATTCTCCAACTGACGCAAAAAGCTGTACTTGCGCTTTCGAGCTCCCTATCCCTAGGTGTCTTAGTTGCAAAGAAAACTAAGACTGGGGCCCTAGGGGCTCTGCATACCTAGCTTCGCAGAAGAAGAAAGGAAGAAAGGACAATTGAGCAGACAAACCAAAATGATGGCAAATTGTGGGTGCTGTATTAGGTGGGATAAGGTACGTGCATTTACAGTGCCTTATAGGGTAATGCCAAAACTGGGGCAAAAGACGTAGATCTACTGGGCTCTTGGAAATATCAGCATCTGACAGGTACGTGTCAGGTGGGAGTTGGCAACGGGCTGTCGTTATCGCCAGTCATCAGCTAAATTTGTTGGGTGTAAACGAGCACATAAGAGTCAAGTAGGTATAGCCGTCGGTGAAGCCATGGAGAAAAGGGGATGTTGTACCGAAAGCTGGGTAAAGTGACTGAGCTAGGCCAGTTCTTCCAGGTCGTGTGACTTGGCCAATAAACAAAGAGAGAAGAGACCTCGGTGAAATGCCTATGGTCATTTTACAACGGCATACTCCTGTGATATTGCGATGGCATTTCTCGCGAATTGGATCGATGTTGGGCTCATGACTGGGCAGAGTGATGCAGGTAACGCCAGGGTGGACAAGATGGCGACTGTTGTTTTCTGGCTACAGCCCGTCACCGCCTCTACACATGGTTTCCCGGTGTCCACCTCGCCAAAACACGTATTGATAGAAGCGCCTCGCGACGGCGGAGGGCCAGACAAGAAAGCGGGCTTGTTTTCCACATGGTCGACTGTCCCAATTGTGTCGTATTTCTTGTATCGTCACGCACGTGCCAGGGCGTCGGGAGCAGGTGCCGTGACGTCTGTATTCGTGTGGGAGGATGTCCCCAACAGGGATTCAGCCATCCATGGATCCTGGGCAGGGTTTAGTGAACAGTTAGCGAACGTGCAAGGCAGCCAATGACAGCGCCATTCCTACCACAAGATAACTGTCGTCTTGTAACTACTCCTGCCTTCATGTAGCTATGTAGGTGCCTATCCGTACCTATCCAAATAAAAAAATATTGTGGGAGACAGTCGTGAGGAAGCTTTCAAGAAGCACAACTCGGCACACTTATATCTCTCTGTATCAGTACTTACTATGTAGGTACCTACGTACTGGGCTACCGGCATACCCACATGAGTTAGCGGTGGCTTGCAGGCGCGGTCCAAATTTATGGGAACTGTGGAGGGGTCAAAAAACTGTGGAATGAAACCGCCTGATTGGCTCAATTGGCGACTCAAAATATTTCCAGCTAAAAAAAAGTTAAGCCATACTCTACTTGCACCCATACACGGCTCCCTCAGTCCCTGTGCTGCCGCCCGAACGAACCAGTGCCGTTGTTGCTTCCAAAGCAATGTATGTGCGCTTTCGAAGAATCTAGCAAGCGCCGACAAGTCAGTCTCTGCGGCAATATACAGACAGACTCGTGAACGACACACGGACCCTCTTCAGCGCCCCTGTCCAAGACCACGATGCCGCATTCCGACCAAGATGGACGCCTTGTCAAGCGCCAAAAGCTAGGCTCTGTTGTCAAGACCAAACCCGAGACTGCCAACAGCTCTCGCATATTCGCTCCCTATCGGGTATGTAGATGGCGTGTCGCTCCCATGAAAACAGGTGCTGACTGATATTTGCAGACTGTAGGCTTAGTCTCCCCAACTGGTGTACCCTTCACCTCGACACCCTTGGGCAAGACCACATTCCAGGTCACCACCTCGGCCGGACGATCTCTCCAGACATACGACTTAAAGCGTGGACTTAATCTTGTGTTTATGACGCGGCCACAGACGCCTTCTGAAATCACCGCCACCTATTCATGGAGAAAAAGGGTCTTTGCAGCATGGGGTGATGTAAGCAGCGGTGCCCCCCAACAGGGCATCTGGATTTTTGAGCGGGGAAGGAAAGTTGGTCACTTGGAGCTGCCCTCCGACCTACAACAGCCCATAAAGCAGATCTTGGTGTTCGGCTCCTGGATAGTGGCTTGTTCGGCAACAAGGATAGAGGTCTGGACGATGGCAACGCTTGAACATTACACTACACTCTTTACAATGGCCACTCGGAAAGGTGATAACGAAATCACTGGGGGTATATGCACAATGCCGACCTACCTCAATAAAATCTTCGCTGGGCGTCGGGATGGCTGGGTAGAAATATGGAACGTGTCGACCGGGAAGCTCATCCATACCCTTCTGCCTCCCTCCTCTAACTGTGGTGCTGTTACTTGTATGCAGCCTTCGCACGCACTGTCGCTTATGGCTATATCATATGCCACAGGATCTCTTACTATCCGGAATATTCTTACCGATAAGACACTCATCCAAGTCGATGCCGGTACAGAGGACGCTCCCGTGACAAGTATCTCATTTCGAACAGACGGCATGGGGGCAGGGCATGACGGTCGTAAGGACGGTGTTGTGGCAACTGCCACAAATACGAGCGGCGACATTACCTTTTGGGACTTAAATGATGGGGGGCGAGTTATGGGAATTTTGAGAAGCGCTCACAACCCACCATCCCGAGACGGCACCAACGTGCGTGGCGGCGTGAGCAAGGTTGAGTTCCTAGCAGGCCAACCTGTTATCGTCACAAGCGGTCGGGATAATTCCCTCAAGACGTGGATATTTGACCAGACGCCGTTCTCGCCCGTACCTAGGATACTGCACACCCGAAGCGGTCATGCAGCGCCTGTCACGTGTCTTCGTTTCTTACCCTCAGACTTTGACGGCGCCGAAGCAGGCAACAAATGGCTTCTTAGCGGAGGTGAAGACAAGAGCTTATGGGGTTGGAGTCTTCGCCGAGATGGCCAAAGTACCGAATTAAGCCAGGGCAATATACGAAAGAAAGCCAAAAAGCACGGGATTTTGACCACAGGCGCCCTCGGTCACGGTCCAACAACGACCCTCGAAGATTTAAAAGCTCCAGAAGTCACTTGTATCGCTTGTTCACTAAATCGAGATGGTGGCATGGGCGCTCTTCCGGGCAAGCAACCGCTGTGGCAAAAATCGCGAGATCCAAAGAAGTCCCTTGATGCTGAGATCAGTGGCATGACTGGTTGGGAAAGTGTCGTCACTGCTCACAAAGACGACTCGTTCGCTCGCACGTGGTTCTGGGGACGAAAGCGTGCAGGCAGGTGGGCGTTCCAAACCGGCGACGGCACAAACGTATCGACGGTTACTATGAGCTCCTGTGGAACCTTTGCTGTTGTTGGGTCCGTTGGTGGGTCGATTGATATGTTCAACTTACAGTCAGGGCTACATAGGCAGAGGTTCCCATCTAAGTTAACACCCGCGCAAGCTAGACAGGTCAAGATGCAGCAAGCGAGGCAAGCAGACACAGTTCTCCAGCTACAAGCTCGCACATCTTCCAAGTTCCTTCCCGGAACAGGCAAGCATGTAAAGGCCGTTACTGGTATTGTCGTCGACTCCATGAACCACCTCGTGATAAGCTGTTCTCTCGATGGCCGAGTCAAATTTTGGGAGTTTCTAACGGGGAATCTAGTTCATGAGATCAATTGGGCTCCAATGACTGCGATTACTGGATGCCGCTACCACTCTGCAAGTGATCTCATAGCCTTCTCCTGCGACGATGGGTCTATTCGCGTGGTAGATATAGAAACTAGACACATCATTCGCGAATTCTGGGGCTGTCAGGGCAAAATCAATGATTTTACTTTCTCGAACGATGGACGTTGGATAGTGGCCGCATCTCAAGACTCCATAATACGGGTCTGGGACCTACCTACAAGTCATCTAATTGACGCAATCCGGCTCGAAAGACCTTGCACTGCTCTGGCATTTTCAACCACGGGTGAATACCTTGCTGCTGCATCTGAGGGCGAACTGGGCGTTCAGATTTGGAATAACAAGAGCCTTTTCACACATGTTCCAACAAAACAGATATCTGAGAGTGCTATATCACAAATCTCTGGACCTACGGCCTCGGGAGAAGGTGGCCAGGGGTTGCTAGAAGCAGCATTCGAGGATGAGTCGGTGGACGATGAGGATCAAGTCGCTGCACCCAGCTTAGACCAACTCAGCGTTGACATGATGACTCTCAGCTTGGTTCCTAGGAGTAGATGGCAAACTCTGTTACATCTTGACTTGATCAAGAAGAGAAATAAGCCCAAAGAAGCACCCAAAGCTCCGGAAAAGGCACCTTTCTTCTTGCCATCCACAACTGGGGCGGCGTCGTCAACTCTGATTGCTCCCGAGACAAAAGCAAACGACAACCCGAACGAGTCGAGACTTACGAAATATGACCAAAGCAGGATGGAACAAGCATTCACGGGCAGCTTGCGGGCTGGAGCTGCCAGCGGGAACTGTAAGATACCCTATTTTAACTCCACTTACTCATGACATGCACTAATTTCTCCTATAGACGACGATTTCATTGAACATCTGAAGGCTCTTGCTCCAGCGACCGCAGATCTTGAATTGCGGTCTCTTTCGTCAGATGGAGACGAAGAGTCTAATGAGTTGCTACAATTTATCCGAGCTCTTACAAGTCGTCTCAGGGCAAGGCGAGACTATGAGCTTACCCAGGCGTGGATGACAGTCTTTTTGCGGCTACACTTTGATTTGATCATTGAAAGCGATACCCTCATGAACGCACTCGGGGAGTGGAAGCAGAGCCAGGCCAAGGAATGCGAGAGATTAGACAGCCTCGTAGGGTATTGTGGCGGTGTGGTTAGCTTTTTAAGAAGCCCAAGAACATGATACTAGTCTTCTACCTCAACAGATAGGATATGTAATACTGAGTTGTAGAGTGTGGTGCTCCATACCATGATCCCATGTGCTCCATTTCACATGTCATTAAGTGCGCAAGTCGCCACAGACGCGAATCTCGATGTCGATCACATGTATCTCACCAAGCCTACCGTCAGAGATGTCACGGAAAAGAAAAAAGATAAGTACTTGTATGTATGGGACGTCAATGCGACTCTCGTATTCAGGTCTGTAGGCTTATGGCTCAGTCTTGAATCAGTGCGTTGTCCCACGCAATACGTCACGATGGCTACCAGGCTTTAGACAACCCACCAATCCGAATTTTTGGGGTCGGATAGTGATGAGTAATAGAAGCACTCATTGTGTTCCCCAACTCATATCGGTGGCGCCGAGAAGGCTTTTTGCATTGCGGCGCCTACAATGCTCGACCTAACCATCTATTTCTCACGAGATGTCCGGGGATTCAATAGCAGTTTGGAGATGCTGAGGAGAGACAAGCTAGACGGTTAGATACTACATACCCCTCAGCAACCTCCGTCGTGTTCCCCGGCTTCTTTCATACCACTGATCCAGATCTTGGTACAACCAATTTTTGGCATCAGCTATATATGAGTTCCCATTGTCTACGTCAATCGACGATAACAAATTCCATCATCAAGGACTTCTCTTCTCATACTGCGGAATGAATAAACACGGTTCCGGTGGTAGATTAAACATTCTTCGCTAATTCGACATGGTGTCTCCAAGCCTCATCTACACATTCGTCAATGCTTTGCATATACTTCATTACAATGGCGTGCTCGACGCCTACGGCCACCTATCAATGCGGAACCCAGACAACTCATCAACCTTCCTCATGGCCCGCGGCGGCATAGCGCCCGCTCTTGTGTCTTCTTCCGAAGACATCATAGAATTCCTTATAGCGGATGCATCACCGGTCGACCCCAATGCTCCAAAGCCCGTTATGGAGCGTCATATTCATTCCGAGATCTATAAGCGTTTCTCGGGGATCAACAGCGTCGTGCATAGTCATTCACCAGCCGTGCTTCCATACGCCATCTCCAACGTCCCTCTAAGAGCGGCAATCCACATGGCAGGGTTCGTGGGTACGTTGTCTTTAGCCCACTTAAACTCAATGGGTTTAATTAGTTTACATCGGACAGCTAAGCTCTGATAATAATCTAGGCGAAGAGGTGCCCGTCTTCGACATATCTAAATACTATAGCAACAACGACACCCAGGACCTTCTTGTGACCAACGTACGCCTAGGCGCAGCTCTTGCGGCCGAATTCTCGGCCAACAGCAGCCAGGCAACGGCTCTGCCTAATCACTCTATCGTGCTAATGCAGAGCCATGGTTTCGCTGGTTGTGCTGCTGATATCAAAACCGTAGTGTACCAGGCGATATACACACAACGCAATGCACAAGTTCTGTCGGACGCGTTGAACCTCGAGCACGCATTCGGTGGGAGCACAAATGACATCATCTATCTGACACCCCAAGAGGCTATAGACAGTTACGCAACGATTGGCCAAAATTTCGAACGACCTTGGTCTCTCTGGGTCCGTGAAGTCGAGGTATCGCCATTATATGAGAATTCTGTAAACCCGTAATAGCCACAGCAGGCACTGGAATACCAAGCGAAAGAAGCATCTGATCTATGATTGGGAACATTTCTACAGCTAGGGAATGAGTTAGTAGGCAACACTGTGCACATATTTTAATTACGCTCCATTTTTACCATACTATTGGTTATATTCAATCTATCCTAATTCCCAACTTAACACTCTCTCTCGCATCTTTAAATTTGTACTAAGGTATGAAACAGAGAGGAAAATGAGGCTAGTCAGTTTCAAAGCGTGTAGACCGGGTATGTGATTTAAGCATGTGTTGATGTATGAACCGATGGGCCTAATCCTTGATGTTTTGTTAGGTTTCTATTTCTCCTCCGACTTGGTTATAGACTAAATTGTCTAAGGTTAGCAATATAAAGTAATGACACTTCCGTAATCTTCCTCCAAGGTAAAAGGACATTTCCACCGTTAGTCATATGTAACCCTGCTCATTACGCGGCTCATTTAAAAGCTGCTTCAAATTAGCCAGTTTAATATCTGGAGCCAATTTGTTCGGTCGAATGTTTAATATATCTGGAATAGTATCATCACAAGAAACCCGAGAGTCGGTTGGCCGGAATTATAGCAAAGCAACCTGTTACTACACTATAATTGTGGCAGACGGTGTGTTCAAATGCCTTACCATGATGCGTTGGCTCGAACCTATGATTAATTAAGAGCGAAGCTATATCTGCAGTCAGTCCCATACTATATCTGCAATTGTAGGACCGTTCCCATCGTGCATCATCTGTCAGCATAGTTTAATTATATGCTATAATTATATATATATATAGTGTGGGGTTGACTGCAGAGTAAGCTCTGTTGCAACAATCAAATATTACACTTTTTCTCATCCGAGACCTAAGCTCGACATAATTTAAAACTACTCATTTCCTTTCCTTTTCTACTTCCTTCTTTTATAACAGGGGCAGAGATACTGGGCTTGGAACCGAGCAATTCAGATTATAATGAACAACTAGGGCTGCATGAGTCCTTGACCAACCAACCCCTTCTTGGCTGTTGGTGTCTTGACTCGACTCTATATACAACTGGTCTGCTAGCCCAAACTGCCTAGGTCTCTGAGGTCTATTTCAAGAAGCGAAGTCTGTATAACCTGACTTTCTAATATTGCCCAATATTGCCTGCATGTCTCTGAGAGATCATGAACAGGCTGTAATGGCCTTTCGTACGGCCGAAGTGCAAGGTGAACTGTATGTTCAGCTGGCACAGCGTTTGCACGTGTGACATCTTTCGTTCTTTATTTCTTTATTTCATCTTTCTTTTTCTAAGAGGTATATGATATGGAGGCCTTTCTTTGCTGTATAAATTTTTGGGGGTGCTTCAATTTCAAATTCAGAAACCTGAATATCTAAGACAACAAACACCTCACCTTTTTTTTAGCCCTGTCTACCATTAACTTCCAAACAAGTGATCTTCCCACATGTGGCGGTGGCTCTAGTTACGTCACGTTTTTAGTCGCCGATCATCTTTGCCTAACGATCTGTTCCATTCATTGGGCTGTTGCCGTCCGGTATTGGTTTAAAAGAGCCCAGGATGAAACAATAAATACACGAAGTTGCTGGCAGGTGACCTTGCACTGATAAGAGAATACATGTGGTGGCACAAGGGAGAGGGAGGGGCGAGGCGGGGGGCTGAGCTATCCCTAGATTTGGATGAAACTGTTAGGAGAAAGTGGACGGGGAGAGTAGGACCCAACAGCAAATGTTGTTGTTGTTGTTGTTGTTTCTTTACTATATAACATCAGGGGGAGTACGCTGCGCTTCGTATGGGACCTCCCGAAGGATAGGTGGGACGTGTTAAGCTAGGAATCACTCTTCATTAGAACCCTATTTAGTAACCTAAGCAGCAGGGTAGCCGTGAAGCTATTCGTATTGCCCTACATTCCTCTGTCTAAAGGGCGTGAGCAATAGTGTTGATTTCTATAGAATCATGCCTTAATTATACCGCTCTTCTTAACTCTCTTGAATGTTCACGTTACGGGCTAACCTCCTTTATCTAGGCTTGTACGTTCTAATAATAATGGACCATATAATAAATCAAGTGATGATATCGATGACAGTTTGTTATACAAACTGCCTCCCTTCACTCATGCTCGAGACTAACGAGACCGACGTATATTGATTGGAGGCATAGATAACGATCAAAGGATGACGATGAACAATTCCCTCTGGCTTGATCACATGGACATCAAGCTACAACGCCCTCTAAAAGACCAATTTGGAATGAGGTCATGATATCAGGCCAACGCAAATATCTGAAACGGCTTATTGACAATCTTTATTTCCGGATGGAGTATTTCTATTTGATTAGCTGCTAGTGAGTATCCCCGTCTTTAGAGGCAGCCAAGGTATCATGATGACTTGTGCGCCTTTCGCCTTGCCCTTCTGACAGCCCGTGAAACAGACGCGTCATGGTGTTAGACAGAATGACTTCTACATAAACAGGTGAAATCCTCGTCCCCGGGTCTCAAGAAGTCTCTACTGTCATTTAACCACCACCTCATTCACTAATAGCAAATACAAACACGAAAGAGGCTTTGAATTGGACCAATGCTGAGAATCAGAGAGATTAGGGAGTACAAAGGAAAGCCTCGTACGATTTCCAGCTCCACCACCCGCGTCGGTAAATATCATGAAGCTGATGATGCCGCTTACATGTTTGTTATTTTCTGATTTCCTGGTTCCTCGCCATACTCTAACGAATTAATAAAGGCAGTCTAGCTCCGGCTATGGAACACCTTCAAGTCAATACGACAATTATACGCATGGCGGCTCTACGATAAGGCAACATCTTCGATCTTCGGACAAGCACTCTTACCCTACTCACAGAGAATATTCCGACAAAGAAAGATATGAAAGTGAGAAACCCTCGGTCAGCAAAGAAGACAAGCTCTTAAGGGAAGGGCACAGCTTGCAAAAGGTCTCAAAATTGAAATGGAAAACACAGGACCGAGCAAGACAGAAAATTCAAGATGAGTGGAATCGGGACCATCAAGAGGAAGACGATTATCCAGAGGCAGAGGAGCGCTGGTGGGATGAAGGCGCAGCACAGCTCCGCCGAGCTCCGGACCCAGAAACGAGAGAGGTTCGAAGAACAGTTAACCGATCTGTGACTGTAAGCGAGCGGGATGATCGCGGACAATCTAGTCATTATGGATACTCCGCAACAGCACACTACCCCCACCACTATGGAACACAACTTGCCGGAAGATCTACCTGGTACTACTTTGAGGGTAACGACGATCGCGATAGTCACCGGCACAGATATCATTGATGACCACTATCGATCCCGAAAAGGCTGTCACTCGTTTAGCTGCTCTCATTCCTGTTCACCGCCATATCTCCTCTCTTTCAATGAAGTTCTAGCCTTAGTATGCCGCTGTGCATACTAAAGGCACTCTTCATGGTTTAACTGACACTTCGTATAACTCACTGGAAGCTTTCTAGGTAGAAGAAACAATCTTTCATCAATAGCTGCTTATTTATTATTGCTGTGAGACCTGACGGCTCAAAGTTGCTCTGATTGATCAGACCCAGATTGGGCCATCAATCAGTAGGCGTATACTTAAAGAAATCTGTCCAATGTATCCTACCGAGGCTAAATATGAACAAGTTTGATGTAGTACATATGAATGCAGCCCGCCTTACACCTTAGGTACAGCCAGTACTTATCACCAATCGTATATTAGCCCAGTAGCCAGTCGTATGGTCAAATATTAGGGTAGGTTATCCATCCTGTGTTTGCCATAACGCAAGGGATAAGGTCCCCTGTTACCAGAGATGGTAACATAAAACGGTAGGAAAGGGGACAGGGTAGTCAGTATAGCTTGGATATTATTAAGCATAGGCGTCATAAGCCCGGAGACACACACTCTCACAAGCCCAGTAGACACGGTCATGGGCAAATCAGCAAACGATAGGCACGACCAACGGCACCGGCACCTACATGAGAGAGCTGAGAAACTAAAGACCTTATTAAAAGTTACTAAGAAGCAAAAAAGGAAAAGGGGGGGAGGAGGGTAGCGAAAACGAGAGGTAGAAAAATTAAACATTCCGGAATTGAGTTTCAATGCCCAGTTGTACGTATCTGAGTCCCCATTGAACTCGATGCCCACTATCGAAAATTTGAGGGAACACGCATGCATGCAATAGCATGAGGCATACCGAAGACAATTGAAACGTATAGATATGAACTTCCTACTCGTATGTTGTATGCCAGAGTAAAAAGGATGGGCCTACCTAAAATAAGCCGGCCGACTTTTTTTTATCGTACACTTAAATCACACCCCTCTCTATCCTTTCCTAACCTGATTGAGGCAGAACAAGTTCTACAATTTCCCACCCTTCGAGCCATCCACCAACTCAGCAGCGGCACCAGAAATGGCGAGTTTGCCCGTTTCCTTGACCTTGGCCTGGAAGATGACCTTACCACTTCCTTCCTTCCACATCTCCGTCACGAGCGTTTGGCCAGGGAACACAGAGCCGGCGAATCGGACCTTGACGTTCTTGTAAGGACCGAAGCTTTCGTAGACGGCCTTGCCGGCAATTCCCATGAAGCATAGTCCATGTAGGATGGGTTCCTTGAATCCGCCCATCTTCGCAAAGCTCGGATCGATGTGAAGAGGGCTACAATAAATTCATTGTTAGTCGATGAAACAAATATACTTTCATAGCAGCTGTCATAGCAGTAGGTGAGGCCAAAAAAAAAAGGCCAGGAATGGGGATACTCACTTGTAGTCACCACTCAAGCGGTAGATGGCAGCCTGCTCAGGCGTTGTTTTTGATTCGACAACGACATCAGGGGCCCGTTTGGGAGGAATGTTGGTGGCGGTGGCGGGACCACGGTCAGCGGGCTTCTTTTGGCCACCAAACCCACCGCATCCTCGGAGAAATACTGTTGATTCATTGTAGAAGAGCTCTTCTCCATTTTCAGCATTGACGGTGGTAACGCCGCTCTTTAGGATGGCGGCAGAGCCCTTATCGACCACCTCGATTAACTTGCCAATGTTCTTTGTTCTTGCCGCTGTGGGAATGGGATATTTCTTGACTTCAAGATACTGTTCGCCGTGGAGCAGCATCATAGGTGAAAAGTTAGGGACCACATCGTCGAAGCTGAAGGGCATGTTTGTATCGAACTGTGGAATAACACCATATGTTGGGAGCACTTGAAAGTCCTCATGGCCCTCAAAGACATAACGAAGATCGGTGCGCTTGGCGCCAATTCCCAGATTATACAACATTGAATCACGGTCTGTGTAGCTGAACTCGGTTGGCTCAGATTTCGCCTTCTTGGCCTTCTCCTGCGCTTCGAGATATTGGTTGCTCTCGCTAGATTGCTAAATTGAGAAAATATTATATCAACATCTGCATAATTCGAGCTATTCTAGTGTAATATTTATATATACAGTAGAAGGAGGCATCGAGGAAAAAGAACAGCTCATACCTTAGATTTTCCTCGCTTGTTATTTAGGTTTGCCATAACCTTCTCTATTGAAGACGATGTCTTTTCAGGATTATCTGCCCGGCCATCGTCGAATTCGACGATCTTAGACCAAGTTTTAAGGACTTCCTCGGGCTCTAGCTTCACATCAAGAGGGAAACCAACACCGCCGGAACGCTGCCACCTAGTCCGTCCACACCAACCGGAACCAACTTCGTATAGGCCGCCAGTGGGGTTTTCGGGGATCTTGTCGCTAGAAAGAGCAAGGACAAGAGGGGCTATGTAGTCAGGTTTGAAAGCTTGTACTAGGTCTGGTGGTAGAATTGTGGCTGTCATTGCCGTTCCAGCGTTGGGTGCGATGGTATTAACATAAATGTTATACTTGGCACCTTCAAGCGCGAGAGCTCGGGACAAGCCTAGAATACCTAATTTCTAAAGCAAATGATTAGCACCTAACATTGAAAAATGTCTTGTATTCAACTCACAGCTGCAGCATAGTTCGCCTGGCCGAAGTTACCATAGATGCCACTTGTCGAGGTGGTATTGATGATGCGTCCGTATTTCTGTTTAAGGAAGTAGGGCCAAGCAGCTTTGGTGACCTTGTAAGTACCTCGGAGATGTACGTTCAGAACCGGGTCCCATAGACTGTCGTCCATATTGGCGAATGCCTTGTCTCGTAGTATGCCAGCATTGTTAACAACAATGTCGAGTCGGCCAAAGGTATCAATAGCACCCTTGACGACCTTGTCGCCATCTTCGGAAGAAGCCTTGACACCAGCCGCCTTGCCGCCCATCTTCTTAATCTCCTCCACAACAGTATCCGGGTTCACAAGATCATTGACGACAACTGACGCACCAGCCTTGGCAAAGGCGAGACAGTAGGCACGGCCAATACCTGCCCCACCACCAGTTACCAAAGCTACGCGCCCTGTGAAGTCAATCTTCTCCCCTTGAGGGCTGGGACCTAGCTTCATGGATTCCTCCAGAAGACCTACGAAGTCATTGACCCCAGAAGGATATTGGGGATTTGAGAAGTCGGACACTTTGCTCCACTGCTTGATTATGGCGCTGGCTGTGTAACTCTCGTCGGCCTTGAGCAGCAGACCACTTGAACGCTCCCATCTGAATTTGGCAACGTGGCCACCACCGGCCTCGAAGATGGAGCCATTCTCGCTGGTGTTGTCCTTATGTACTAAGACAGCGACGAGGGGCACAACCCAATCTGGTTTTAAGTTCTCCAACATCTCCGGAGGCATAACAGTCTCAGTCATGCGGCTGGCAGCAATAGGTGCAATGACATTGCAAACAATGTTATACTTAGCGCCCTCCTTAGCGAGGGTCTCTGTGAAACCAACCATGGCCAGCTTGCCGGCGGAGTAATTGGCCTGGCCGAAGTTGCCGAATAGACCGGCAGCAGAGGCGGTGTTGATGACACGGCCGTACTTCTGCTTCCGGAAGTGAGGCCAGGCAGCGCGGGCACACTTGTAGGCACCCTTGACGTGCACAGTCATAATTAAATCCCAGTCGGCATCTGTCATATTCTTAAAGCTGACATCGCGTAGGATGCCGGCATTGTTGATGAGGATGTCAATGCGGCCGAACGCCTTGATAGCGGTTTCGATGATCTTGTCGCCGTCTGCCACGCTGTCGTAGTTGGCTACGGCCTCGCCGCCGGCGGCCTTGATTTCGTTAACGACTACATCGGCGGCCTAGGAAACCATGATTGTGTTAGCCGAGAAGCATTGAATAACTCCCAAGGGGAAAAGCAATGTGTACAGTACCTTTGTCGAGTTACCCTCACCCTTGAAGGAGCCACCGAGGTCGTTGACAACGACCTTAGCTCCTCTCGAGGCGAAGAATGTGGCATATGCTTTCCCCAAACCACCACCGGCGCCAGTGATGACGGCGACCTGGCCGTCGTAGCGCAACTGACCCGACATGGTGTAGCTTTAGCTTGCGAGGCTGGGTATCAACAGAACACAGAAGACAAGATGGAGATAATAACTAGGACAAAGAGAGGAAGATGGGGGAGAAGCGACAGTAATGCTGAGTGGTGAGAGGACGAGGAAGATGATGAGAGCGACGAATGGTTGTTGCGGTTGTAGCCGGATAAAGTATTGGCTGATGCAGACAGACAGACAGCTGAGCTAGGTACGCAACTGGTGGCCGAGTGAACATTGCCGCACTCCGCTGCAGGAATCAGCCGAGGCAGCTTTGGGAGCTGTGGTTGGAATGCCGAGGGCCCCATCCATATTCAGTTGTCCAACGGCCGAAGTACGCGGCACCTGGGTCATGCCCGATCCGGCTAGCCGCTGACCCCCCGGATTCACATGTCAGCAGCTTCAGCAACTTCTGGGGCAAGAAGGAAGGATGAGGTCATGCACGCGACTCGTTATTTTTTTGCAGCTGGGAGACATGGAAGTATTGTGCCGTTGCCGCAGTTTTCTAGACGACACAAGCCAATGAGGACGTTTCCTTCTCAGACATGGCTAAGCACCATTGGCAATTGAGGCTTCGGTGGCTTTGGCGCAGCACAAATGATTGTCATCGTGAATGAGTGATAGTAGGTACAGAGTACCTAAGCATCTATCCCCACATTCTGGGCCTATTTATTCCCCGCAACGTGACACTGACAGAAGTTAAGAGTCTGCTAAGAGCATAGGTATCATCCATGTGCGTGCTACGAGTCTGCTACGAGGTATCAATACCTACGAAGGATACCTACCTATGTACCTACTCGCCTACTTACCTACATAGTTGATACTCATATATTCAGGCATATCTAGATGGTAGGTAGGTCGTTGGTCCATGGCTAGTGCCGCGAAGACGACGACTCTTCCTTCAATGCTCCGCATCATTGTGCGACCAGTCTGTGGATATGGTCCTCAACTCAAAGACCCCTCGGCTACCAGAACTACCAACAGCAACCTGAGCTGGGCAACCAGGAGCTGAGGGCTGAGTCAGTCTAGTCGTCTCTTACCGAGGCTCACTAGGTAGGTCCCTGAAATAGAAAACTGGCATAGAAGTCGTGTGGTTGTGTCAATATAGCCAAAGATGAAGATTATATGCCTCGCCTAGAAGGTATTATACATTTAGAGTCTACGGCGTACTTGTGCTAGAGTCTTCACTTTAATCATAACCATTTCGGCATCTAACATACTGCTACAAAGCCCAATAGTGACGTGACGATAGGAAGACCATAGCCATCTGGACTTCTTTTCTCACAACTTTCATTCACTATACGTGGTGCGGGAAGGAGATGCAAATTGGCCCAGTTATACCTGACGATGTCATTAGGTAAGTAGGTATGTATGTATGTAGACGGTCCACGGAAAAGAATATCCACAACGACCAACAGCAAGTCTCGCCACCAACAAGAGCGCCCACGTCATTAGTAAAAATAGAATAGCAGCAGCAGCAAAACCTAATCTCCCTCAGGCGCGCAATTCGTCTCAAAAGTTAAAACAAATGGCTTCCGCCGCTGGCGCCGAGATACTCGATGACAAAAGCCAGATTTGCATCCCCTTCATACTGGAGCGGCTGCAATCGCACCTGCAGTCGGGGTCCACGCGGCCCTTCATCATCGGTTTGAACGGCGTGCAAGGCGTCGGTAAGACGACGCTGGTTAGTAGGCTCGCCGAGGCATTGCGCCAGGATGAGGGTCTTGAGACCTTGGTATGCAGCATTGACGACTTTTACCTGGCGCACGACGATCAGGTCGCGCTCGCAGAGTCCATGCCGGACAACGCGCTGGTACAGGTCAGGGGCGAACCGGGTACGTCTGTATAAACTCGCATCAGCATCATCTTTGTAGCTGTTCTTCGGTATCGTTCCTGATAGCTCAGGCTCCAAGTCACTTGCTATATTGGTCCCTGCAGTTTTTTGCATCCCGCGCTGGGGTTTGCATAGGCTGACCATCTGCAGGGACTCATGATATGAATTTGGCCAAGGACTTCTTCGCGGCAATCCTAAGCGGCAGCCCTACGCGGGTTCCTCAATATGACAAGTCTCTATTCTCAGGGCAGGGGGACCGTCTACCGCGCTCCAGCTGGCCTGAGGTTAATGCTCCGGGGCAGCCCAAAGTACAAGTCGCCATCTTCGAAGGCTGGTGCGTCGGGTTCCGCTCGCTCTCACCCACTGAGGTGGGCGTCAAGTATAACGGGCCATCACGGACCCTCAAGTCCCACGACCCAATGCACTTGCAGTTCATCAATGCGAAGCTGGGAGCGTACGATGGCATTACTAATCTGTTCGATGCCTTCATTCACATCGATGCCGAGAATATAGAGTATGTCTACGACTGGCGATTGGAGCAAGAGGTCATGTTGCGGGCGCAGCGTGGCACTGGCATGAGCAACGAACAAGTTATACGCTTTGTCGATGCCTATTATCCTGCATATGAGTTGTTTACGGATAAATTGCGCAGCGGTGTGTTCGCTGACAAGCTGCGGTGTCAGCTAAGACTGGTGGTTGGTAAGGATAGACGCGTAATGGAAACAATCATCATCTGAATTTGGAAAGTTACTTTCCACCTCTTCAGAACATCGCTCGATTCCTCCTGTTATTCCTTTAAACTGCTCGTAAGGACCACGAAGGTATATCTAGACTGTGGTACAGTAGCATATTGGGAGCCAAACAAAGCCGGCTAGCCACCTCCATATGATGCCATCTAGCACAACAATCCCTATAACAAGCTGCCATGCAAAGCAGTAGTAGAAGCAAACTCCGAAACGCCGGCTCATGCAGTCGTAAATCGTAATAACATTATATAGTCCCAACCCAAGTTGCTTTGTGATTACTTCACCTCACGGTACTTTCTGATTGTTGTTTTTGTACAATTAGTTTAGTAACATCCGTGGTCGTAGATTTGCGCACACCAGATATGTCTTCTAGGGTCAGATCTCAGTAGAGCTCCTTCCCACAATACTCTCGCCCTCACTCTTCAAATCGGCCAAAGTCTGACCAATCCCGTGGATCTTGTTTCGTACCGCTTCCTCTCGCTCGGCGATCTCGTCTTCGAATGCTCTTACCATTTCCCGTTTTTCCTTGCGGGCCACTTTTAGTCGAGACATAACATCTCCAAATTTCTCGAGGATCCAGTCCCCCGACTCCTCCCAGTCATTGATAGACATCTTTGTGAAGAATTCTGCTTGATTCACTTCGTCTTTGGCCAGAAAGTGCTCTAGTTTTTCGGATAAAGTACCCCGAGGCGGCTCATAAACTGATCGCGCTTCAGCCTGAGCTGGATCAAAATCAAATTCTTCTAGCTTTAGCATCTCATAGTTCATGGCTGCCAATGCTCCATCATCGTAATCTAGCTCGTAGGGGCGTTTATTCGTGGCAGACAGACGTTTCTCTGTCGACGATCGAGGCATAGCACTTTCGCGCAGACTAGCTTTGCCTTTGCTAGATCGAGTAAAAAGCTGCCGGTTCACTTGAGCCTTCGCCTTCGCGATAGTCTTTGCGGGAGGCATAGGCGTCGGTTCTCGCTCAACACTTGCAACTTCTGATTCGTCCTTGTTACTAACCATGGGGGTATCGGTGTCAGCAAAAATAGTTGACCGATGTGGCTGGTGTTCCGGTACTTGCAGTCTGGGTAAGTGCTCCGACTGTGCTTGCACTAGTTGGGCGACTTGCGCGGCTTGGTCGGGCTCTTTATGGCTCGGGTTCACATATACTTGAGGCTTAGTAGGCTGTGGTATTACAACAACATCACCGTCTGAGTGACCGTTACGTTCAGGGTAGGACCCGCGCCTAGTTGGTCGAAGCGGTATAGTCCTTGAATGCTGGAGCCTTTTCCCAGATGGTGTCTTTTCTGGGGACCCATTATATGAGCTTTCGTCGGTATATGGGTCACGACCATTGTCAGAGATGATTTCCTTAAAGCCACCACGCTGACTCTTAGCGTCGGGGGTTGAAGCACTCCTAGTGAGGCCATTTCCATTTTCGTTTCCCATCACATTAATCAAGCCATCAGCACCCACAATGAACGGAGGCGGCTGATCTAGCCGGTCGAACTGTCTCGCAGCAGCGCGATGACGTGTACTTTCATGCTGTTGGTAGCTTAAAGCAGGATGTGCCTGGGCGGGCATTTGACGATAGGCAAACGATGCATTAGAATCATTGTTACTAGCAGTGTCACTAAACGCAGAGCCTTCTATCGTTGACCCCTCCCAGAAGGGTGCTGGCCGCTTAGATTGCTCGGAGGAGATCGTCTTGCTGCGTGTAAGGTTCGTGGGCCCATCTCGGGTAGGGGCATGGATAGATCGAGAGGACAAGGGGATTCGCGCAGCTGTAACTGCGGCGGCGCGTTGAGAATTCGCATGGACTATAGGAGAACGGGAACGGCCTGGTGAGACTTGCTGTGTCGTCGAAATCTTCGGTTGGGGTATGTTTACGTGGCGCATCGGTGCGAGAGCCTGAGCCTGTGCCTGTGTCTGCACCTGAGTCTGAGGCTGAGATTGAGACTCCGGTGGTGTTTGGTTTCGGCCCGGAGTAGGATCGTAGGTCGTCGCAGGAGCAGAAGTGGCAACACCGGGCTGGCTATGGCCAAGACCCGGGTTGTTAGTCACCCATGCCTGCATCTTGTTCCTGGACTGCTTGAAGAAGGAGGCAGTAGCTGGCGGCATATGGACACAAGAGGGGGCGGATTTCGATGACCACGGTGGCGCAGGCAGATAAGATGTCAACACGACACGACACGACGGTCTTGCTTGCTTAGTTGGGTGTGGTAAGGTCTAGACTATGCATTCATGCGATCATTGATAGGAGTACGTGTACGTTCACGACAAGTAACATGTTCATGTGTGTAGATCTGCTATTGGGACTCATGGGGCTTATAGGTGGTCGATTCGAAATGGGTGGATGAGAGAGGTTCAAGCGCAGTAGTTATGTATCATATTCCCATCCTGCCCAATTCGACGACGAGGTTGGGTCGCAACGTGAACGGTCGGCAGTCTGGATAGACCTGGAAGAACGACTGTGTGTCCGGAGAGTCTGATCAAGCTCGGGTGTGGGATGCGGGATGCGGGATGCGGGATGTTCGAATGGCGGGGAGTTGTTTGAGGAAGAAAGCCTCGCACACGGAGGTCTACACTACGCGCGTTGTCAACCTGTCAATTCGCATTGTCAGTCTGGGGAAGTACGGGACCCCTGTTCGCTCTAGGTAGTGCATACCTCCTACGTACCGGTAGAGGGGTCTGGAGGGGGGCATTACAGAGGAATGTGCGCTGTAACAGGCCTAGTCAGAAGCCTACCTACAGTAGGGGTAGGTGCGCCTCCTCAACTACCTACCTAGGTACCTAGTGTAGCGCAGACGTGTTCCACTGTACAAAAGGTAGTACCTACATACAGTACTTACGGTATGCCTAGGCCAACTACGTAAGTCCTTATACCTAGGTAGTATATGTAGGTACCTCCCTACATGTACATAGGTACTTACTTAGGTAGGTGTGTGGCGTATCCACCGGGCCCGTTTTCGGTGGTGGGCGATGGTGGGGCGCACGGCGGACCCTGGCGAGCCCTGGGACATCTCCAATCTCCAACCTCGCCGACTGCTGCATTTCCTACAGGCTCATGAAATGCGATCCAGCAACCTCTCTCCAAACGCCTCATCCTACTCATCGAACCGTGTCAAGTGATAGCCTCAATCTGTGTGCTTGTCTCATTGGCTCTCACACCTTCATGTTTGATGAGTTGTCCTGCATAAGCCACCCGACCGCGTGCTTCGTCGAGCCATTGACATTCCACCTGGCGTCTATCTTATTCTTCAGCCCACGTTGCAACCCTTCCTGGACGTTTCATTCGCGCTTGTAACCCTTGGTCGACATGTCACGTCGATGAGGTGCATTATGGTCTCAACGAGAAGCCGTCATACATCATCTCAATTGCGACCGGAAATATTCAAGATAACTTACTATTGTGCACCTTAGCTTCGTTGGTTCTATCCAGCTCCTCCCGGCTCTCCCCACCATCCCGCTACCTACTCTACTGCGCTCCATATCTTGTCCAATTCGCCCATCCTAGAGCTTACCCAGCTCGTTCAAAAAGACTTCCAATTTTCTCTTATTGGTCTATGTGTTGCTTAAGCCTGGGGTGGCACATTTTGTGTCCTCTCCGTTAATTCTTTTTTTCATATAAGAAACCCGTAGCTGGATGTTGCGTCCATCTGGAGCTTGGTAAGTATAACCATGCCCTTGTCTATATGTCTCGTATCCCTGACGAGCATACCATTCTTCCTTGGACGTCTGTGAACATGTTAATACCTTTCCGCATTACTTGCATGCCATTTCACTTACCACCGGTACGATGTTTCCCATTCCTACGTCAATGGTCATGCTGCCCATCTCCGCCGGCACCTCCTTTGCTAGAGTGTCCAATGCCATCCATTTCCCGTTCATTGGTTCTTGCGCTGCTATGGATTCAACTTTAGCCATGGTAGCAGCGCCATATCCGCCGCCCTGTAGCGCATTTGATATGAAAAGCTGGTGCACCCAAACTGTGCCTGCCGGAAGCCCTAACTTTGCATCCTCCTCAGGGTCATGGACGTCAAGCGCCACATGACCGACAGGCAGGAAGTCTCTGCCCGTTGGCTCCCGTTTTGCGAGCCGTACCTCTTGAGCCGTATCTCGAAGAGGCTCTGCTTCCTGTAGGACTTGAGCAAAAATGCCCCAACCTGCTCACAGGGGGCTTATGAACCTTGGGTTGTGTCGCAATATGCTGTGCTAGTAGCTCGTTCCGATTCGGAACATCTTCCGCCAAAACCTAAGTGTTGTTCTTTGTTTTTAGAATTGCGCCAGTGCCGAAGAACTTCAAATTGACATACAGCCCAGTAAAACATCTTCCCTCCCCTCTTCGCGGACTCTATCCACTCCGGAACTTCATCTGCTCGCCATCCGCAAGCGACTCGTTGGTCATGCATACGCTGTACGTGGTCGGGGCTTGAGTGGTCCCATGGGATGACCTGCTCGGAATTTTGTTATCTTGAGACGATCGCAGTTGAAACACAGGTTGCATGTCCGTAGAGTTCCAAGCATCCATGTTGGATTTCAAAGCCTACCTCGATTTTGCAAATGTGCTTTGACGTCATCACGAACAATTATTGTGTTGGTATTCTTGACAGGAGTTTCGTTCGATCGCCTTTCTTTTCCTCGTCCTACCCCGTCTCTTTTATCAACCTCGGTAATCATAATCGAAACATGCTAGCCACCGGTTTTCGGCCTCATTACGAGCCTACCAATCTACGCAATCGACGGCATTTGATCAACAAATCTTGAAGCGATGCGGTAGCAATTCCGCACCGGGCTTTCAGGGATAGCTTTCCTCAGGTCAACTCATCCCTCCGCTTCTAAGCACCGCCATGTACTACTGTGGATGTATATAATTTCAAGGTTTTGCTCTAAACCCCGATAGATTGAAGCGGGCCGAAAATCGGCAATCGCGTAGCTGAGGTGTGCTATGGTCGATTTACCGAGCTTCGCATCTACTTCGTACTTAGGTGCAGCATGTAACATGCCTGTCTAATTATATCAAATGTACCTAGGTATGATTGCATTTTCTCAAAGTCACTAGACTTTCTTGTGACGTCTACTCGTATGTCTCGGCTATCATCGCCTCCTTGGGGGTTATAGAGATCCCCGTTGTTGACTTGGATCTGCCGTGACGTCCGGTGCAATACCGAGGTTTTCATTTTCCTCCCTAATCACTATTTTCGGTGCGTTTCCTTGCGTGCCCAGTCTAATAAAGGGCGAAATCACGACTCCAGCTGCAGCCAATGCCACCGTAGTCTGGAAGGTCCTGACGTACTTGAGCATTGGATCTGCAATTCCAGCCGGTGTTGACTCGACGGAGCTAAATACCGCTGTTGAGATTCCTAGGACAACCGTGTTCGATAATCGTATTACCACGTTAAATATCCCTCCTGCCAAAGACTGCTGATGACTTGGAAGCGATTGCAAGACGTACATCTATGAGATATCAATGTGACGTTTGAAACAACGACAGTAATGGAAGAAAAGCAACTCACATTGGCGATATTGAACTGCAGATCTGCACCCGCAACATTTAGGACCAGGGCAGGGAAGATAAACGCCCAATAACTACTGTCGTCTTCCATGAAGGAAAATAATAGAGCAGCCGCTAGATAGCTGACGGCACCGAAGATCATCAAAAGTGTATTATTAATCTTATGAAGAATTCGGCCTGCCAGTATATTCCATAGCAAGCCGGCAATGGCCATTGGTAGCAGACGCACAGCTACATTCAAGGTTGACAATCTCTGGACTTGTTGCATGAAGAATGCAAGCCAGAACCCCGTGGCTTGAAAACTCATATTACCGAAGACAACGACGACGATAATCTGACAACAGTTAGCAATCGTAGAACCGGGCTTGACTTAGAGACTCACCAAGCTGAAATTACGGTCTCTCCAGATATGCGGCGGCATCAGGGGTGTTGGGAAATTTCTCTCCCAGAAGACGAAGACTAATACTATATTAGTGCCGTTAGCTATCGTTATATCGAACGTGTCTCATTTACGTTCAAGAGGAACAAAAGATCTCGGAGAATTGGATCTATCCAAAGAGGGACCTATACGATCCCAAGGCAGCTATGATGGGAAGAAGGAACCACGGATATTACTTACGAAGCACAATACCTACCACAATAAGCGCGATCACATGAGCATGTGACCAGCCATCTTGAGGACCAAGTCTATAAATATTAAGCACACAATCGGTGACACAACAAGATGACACGTACGTGAGACCAGCACTAAACATCCCGGTTCCGAGAATCGTGAGGATTGTCCCTACATAGTCAAATTGTCTCAACATACCCAATCTCTGTCTCAATGGGGCCCGCTCGAAGGTCTCAACGTTGGGCACAGCCCAGAACGCAAAGACAGTGAATACGGCCCAGATAATCGACAACAGAAGGAACGCGGCGCGCCAGTTGAAGAGTTGTGTGGCAATGCCGCACAAGATAGTGCCGAACACGAACCCTAGCGGATTGCCAGCACTGAAGCACGAGAAGGCTGCGTTTTTGCGTTTCGAAGGGGCTCCGTAGGCCGCGCCCAGGATCCCGATCGCAGGCGGTACAACCATTGCACTCGGGATGCCAAGGATGCCGGACACAATCAGCATCCAGTACGGATTCTGTGCGAATGCGATGAGGAGCGCGAATAGGCTAAAGCCCGCCATGCCTGCGATGAACATTGGCTTCCGGCCGAGCAAATCGGCTAGCTGACCGAGCGCAAGCTGAAATGCTCCTGCAACCAACCTGATATAAATCACATCTGTCAGCAAGCTTTTTTGCGACAGATGACAATTATACGCATATTTCCCAGAGAGTTGAGCAGGAGGCGAGGAGCACATACGAAGTTGAAGCGCTAATCCAAGAAATCTGCCCCTGCGTCATGTGCAAGTCCAACGACACAGGAACCGTGATAATGAGTGCTGTGCCGGCAAGAAAAGCAGAAGAAGCCATCGCCACCGTCGCCTGTGCCACGAAGGCAATCTCCTGCAGCGTGTTCTTGAAGCATTCCGGCCGTGCCCCAAAGCCCGTCGTGATCCTTTCGACCTGCGACATGGCGGACTCCTGCTTGTTATCTGCCACTCCGCCGGCTCCAATTTCCACAGCGGTCACTTTTACGTCTTCCACTTTCAAGTTAGAGCTCGCCGCCGAGCTTTGCGTCGTTTCTCTGTCCATTGCCCGCTGTTTTTGTGCCATTCTCTGTGGATTCGAATTATTGCTTTTTGCTCTTCGTCGTCGCCCACTGGTTCCCAGCGACGACAGTCACTTGTAATCCCAATGGGCGGTCAGGCATACCGACTGCCGCTGCTAACCCCGATAGTCGCGGAAAGGGCGACTAAAAGGCCAATCATTCCGGCCATGCAGAAGAGACATGCAGAAAGAAAAAAGTATCTGCTGATGCAATGCATAGAGGAGTCGCGCGCTCAAGCTTTATAAGGCTTACCGATCACATCAACGGCGTGGGATCCATCGACATTCTAGATTCATTCACATCTCCTTACAACTCAGGTTAGAGCCTGCTCTAACCGTGGGGGTTCGACAACAGGGTAGGTAACATGAGATATACTACATGTAAAGAATCTGAGGAGGGCATCTATTGTCCTGTAATGTAGTGGGTAGCCAGGTAGGCAAAGCAAAGCTGGATACGGAGTACCCCACAAACTCCTCCAACTATGAGTTTACGCCTACTTTAGATAGGTACTATGCAATTTTATATGTATTATTCACTTGTGAACATCGGGAAACAAGCTTTCAAATAAATCAAAAAGTACCAAGACCAGCCAGTTCCGAACGTAAGGAAACATTACTCCATTCGTTCTCTCAGGTTAGCATATCCTTTCTACGGATTGTAGGAGCTTGATAATCAGCCAGATAAGGCACCATTTTGCTTATTAACTTGAGGACGATCCTAGATAATTCATACGCGGCAATGACCTAGAACCCTAGCACGCCCTTTGCCCGACATTCTCGGAATTAAGACGAACAGTGCAATATATTTGACGTACACGTACTTGCAAGCGTCGTGGCCCAGAGAACACACTTACAGGATTATTGAACATATGGAGCGAGATAAGTTGCCACCATAGGAGCTACTCCTACATTACAATCATGTATAAGATATGGATAGATGCTGCATGCATAATGCTGCTCTGGCTGCCTGGGATCGTCTGTGTTACATTCATAAACACATAGGGGTTACCTAACCTAGGTGCTTACATCGTACGTAGTTTGATCCAAACCATACCAGACCATCCTCTGAATCTTGTCATGAAGAACCAAAATAATGACAAAGCGTTCTTCTTGGGTATACTCCAATCTGCCAACGCCCAACCAATGCAATGCAATGTGTATACCACAGCTTCCATCTAACAGGATAATGAATAATAAGGAAATGGTGTCCTGTGGACTGAGTATTAGCCCCAGATAAACAAACCCCAGTCTCGCCTGGCTACTGTAAACCCCATAACATGTCTCACGACACAACTAAGCGACGAAGTTGTCAACAACGAAATCACAAATCTCTTCCAGGGTCGGAATTCTGCAACCAGAAAGGCCAGAGCCAAGAACCCCCTTCTCTCTGCCAGCAAAGCTCAGCCCATTACCGTGGCCGGCGCCACTTTCGAGGTACGCCTTCTCCGCATTTGAAAGTTCGCGGCGTTCTGTCTTCTTCCATCTCCGCTCTGCATCCGCCTTGGCTTGTCGCAAGATAGCGTCCGTATTCTCTGTTTCCCAGAGATTGCATCTGTCGCACTGCGTACACTTCCTACCATCCCCCTCAGGCCGAAAGTGTTGACAAAAGTGTCGGTAGCCCTCATTCGGAGCTCCAATATCCTTGCGGCATACATAACACATTTTGTAACCACAGGGACAAGTCAACTTGTTGCATCCTTCTGTTTTCACGAAGCACGTGTTGCAGCGCGGACACACACGCTTGATTGCCATGGACATGGCCTGTTCAACTTGCGTGCGCAAGGCGATGAGAGATGACTCGTGACATAGGTGAATGTCTACCCACGCTTTTGAACATGACATACAGGACGCACGCCCACAGTCTGGGTTTTGGCAAACAAATCTCGGCCCACGACGCCGGCGGTGAGAACGACTCAGAGCTGCGGCGAACTGTTGAGAAACGAACAATCTGAACGAACCATTCAGGGCTAGAAATAGAGAGATCAGAATGGCGCTAAGTAACAACACCGAGACCGGGGAGAAGAGAACAACGAGCACGATAGCGGTCGCATTCGGAAGCCCGGTCAAACGAAACCTGGGAGGGCGGGTATTAGCTGGCATATATAGTTCATCGACTTCCGCATAATTGCAGAAGGGACACCGAATTAACGGTAATCCACTGGCGAGAAGGCAATGCTCCGCTAGGCGTTGATCGAGTTTCTCTACTATCTCAGCCCCCTTCTCAGTTCCGTCCATTGCTCGCCGAATGTGATCCGAAGAGATACAACCTTCACAGAAAGTGGAGCAGACAGCAGGACATCGCAATGCGCCTGTATCCTTATGTATACTACGTTGCCAACCTTGACCGAAGACAGCCTCTGTTATAGACTGCTGAACGCAGCGGAAGCAGACCATGTGACCCTCAGCACTACAAGTTGTCATCTCCTCAAAGACGACATCCGTGTAACAACAGGCACATTCATACGTAGCTTCACAGGCCTCGGCTTCTTTTGTCTGTAAAGACAATGCCAGAGCACGATCGGTCTTTTCCCTTGTATCTTTTTCAAGCGTCTTAAGGGGTAATATGAGCTCATCAAATAACTCTCGATCGAGCTCGGCATTCCCCGTCGCTCTCACTGAAGGCACTAGCGAACCATCCTCGGATGTTCTCCAAGAAATTAAGGGATGTGTTTTGGCCTCAGATGATGTCACAGGCTTCCGGCCAAGTATTAGGGACGAGAAGGTAAATTTCCATGATTTCGACGAAATGTCCACCAGGGTTGGACGTGCGTCAAGGTAAGAGTAGTTCGATTCGGAAAGCACGGCGTTGATGGTCGACCTAGATAAGCCTTTGAATTCTCGGAAGGCTAACCTTTGAACGGCGGTCTTGTATTCAGACGTCCTGAAGGCTTCGGTTTTGGGGATTGAGGACTTCTGTTCTGTTTGCTGATCCACGGTGCGCCGGCGGCCTTTGACATAGAGATGGGGATTCTTTAGCAGCATGTCTGTAATTACGAACAATTTTGACTCGTCGGATAGTTGGGAGAGCATCTCGCGGAATACTTCTATTTGTATGTCTGGAAACAGAGATGATAACCTCTCCAGGTCGTTATTCAAGCTAAGGATATCGTGCGGTAGCGGAGCTATTGGCTCAATTTGGGACTCATCAACGATATACCTCGACTTCTGGGGGCTGTCGTATGACTGTAAGTGTGACTGCGACTGCGACGGCAACTCTGACGATGATTCTTCTGATGTCGATAACGAGGGTGACGACTGCCTCGGGTTGCGATTTTTGGAAGACGTTGTCTTTTGTCTCAGAGACCTCGAAGAGGCTCCAAACAGGCCGGAAAGGAACATGTCTGCTGGTCGGTCTGTAATCGAAGCACTTCCGCAAACACCATGGTCGCGTTAGATGGAGGGAGCTCGAGGCAGAAGGGGACAAGGGAAGAGAAACGTGAACAAGGATGAGATTATCGAGCTATATTCCGGCGATGTTCGGGGTCAGCCATCACGCTGTACCATATCGGAACGACTTAAGAAGAGGAGCTAAAGATCACCAATAGACCCCAAAAGGTCGATGGGAAGTGTACGTATTCACATGTGAAAAGTGGTCAAGACGGCCCGCGTTGAGCAAAAGAGATTATTTGAACAGAAATCCGGGCAAGGGTCCATCTACCTACCTACTGTAGTCAGGATTCCGTTCCGCGGGCTGCGACATGCGCATGCTAAATTCAGTACCAGTATAGAGGATAGAGTGTGCTTGGTAGGTACCAGAACCTTGACCAGACTTGACCTTCCCAGCATAAACCCGGTGGATAGTAGGTCCCTATAAGTACCTAGGTACTAATTGCCGCTAGTATTCTACCTAGCTTTACCTAAGTACTTAGTAGGTAGGTAGTGTAGGTACCTGTGGGATCTGCTGTGGGTATTCGCGACCCCCATGACTTCTGCCATGATTGATGTACTATGTATGTACCTGGTAACGTGATGTCTGCAATCATAGAATGGCCAAGGAAGAAAGAAGGTATTATCTACATAAGGTAGCTTTCTATCATGCTTTTCCAGTGAGGAATCTCTCTAGATCTTCAAACTCTCCACTATGTCTCATCATGTCATAAAACTGCCCCTTCGCTTCGTACAAGTCCTTAGGACTGCCCACCCTGCGCAGCAGAAAGAATCATGGTCAGCAACGTATTTCTCTGGAGTTCATGGGTAAGGGTTAGGTTTCCGAACATACTCTAGAACCGAGCCAGCGCTCATAACTACCACGCGATCATAGTCAACAATAGTTTTCAGTCTGTGGGCAATAGTAACAAGCGTCCTGTCGCCTCCGTGTTCCTTTAGCTCTTTCCGCAATACCTCCTGGATGCCTTGATCAGTCTCGTAGTCCATGCTCGCGGTTGCTTCGTCAAGCAGCATCAGCTTGCTTTTACGAACGAGGGCTCTACACAGGGATAAAACCTGGCGCTGACCGTGGGAGAAGTTCTCGCCCTTGGCCTTCACAGTTGTAGATAAAGTAATGCCAGGGCCATGTGGAGCAGAGCTGCCGTTTCCATCCTCGTCGCGGTGGAATTGGAAGGATGCAATCCCGCCGCAGTATTCAAGGGCTTTTTCAACCATCTCCTTGGGGACTTTGTTCGTCGGATCGAGGTTCGAGCCGACGTCTCCGTTGAACAGCACCGCTTCCTGTGGGATGATGGTAATAGCTTCACGGAGCCTCTTTCGCGGAAAGCTCGTTATATCAATACCATCAAAGAATATTTGACCTGACACAATATTGGTAAAGCGAAGTAAAGATAAAACCAGCTAGAACAACGAATCAGCTGTGTTCATTCCAGACAGATAGATTGATATTTGCTTACTGTACTTTTCCCCGAGCCGGTCCGTCCAACTACGGCTACTCTTTCGCCGGCTGCGAATTTAAGGTTGACGTTTTTCAATATTTCCGGCCCGTCCTCGTCATATTTGATGGTGACATTGCGGAACTCGATTTCGCCGCTTCTTGGCCAATTCTTTGGCAGAACTATCGATGGGTCATCCGAGTAAGCGCCTTGTTGCTTATAATCTTCCGGCTTTTCTTCAGGTTCAACCTTGGCGTATTCGTTCACACGATGATACTATACATACCATGTCAGTTTATCTGAAACATTAAGTGATATTTATGGCAAGGCCTACGCTTTGGAGCTCAACCTCGACTTCATTCATTGCTCGAACCAAGATAACAATCAGTGTGTTCAGTGTCTAAGCAGAGTAAGATTAGTAGAGCGAACAGTGATATTTGAAGAGATCACTTACCGTTGCATTCGACAGAGAGAAGCCAACTATACCAGCAGCAACAACACCAGCTTTAGACACAGCAATGGCCCCTGCAGCAACAGTGACAAGAGTCGTCATCATGTCGATCCTGAGCGCTATCCAGCGATTGCAGTTGAATTGAGCCTCCATAGCCTGCTCAAGTACTCGTAGCTTCTCTGCGAGCTGATTTCCAAAAGTCTCTGGCATACCGGCACGAGCCCTGATAACCTGGAGTCCGGCAAGACTGTCTGCGAAATGCGCGAAAACAGGTGACTGTGCAGAGGACACTAATCGCTTGATGGCCACTGCTGTCCTAGTATATATCTCTCCCGCAATAACACCCACGAAGCAACACGCAGCAACTGGGAACATGAAGACCGGTAGAACAGCGCTGACTGCAAAACTTTGGAAACAAAGGCGAACGGCGTTCTCGATGGTCATCCGCAGCATGCCTATGATATTCGTGTCGAGGGAGGCCATGTCCCGCGAAAAACGATTGACGATGCGGCCAACTGGCGTTGTCTTGAACCAAGACAAAGGCACATTCACAATAGCCCGCATGAAGTTATTATGTAAGGTGCGCGCCGCGCGCCAGCCACCCAGCTCGTAACATACGTAGGTCAAGCCATTGAAGAATGTATCACCAAAAGTCCATAGAGCATATATACCTAGATAGAAAGCGACATCATAGGCATCGTCCTTTTCATACGCGTCTACCCAGACTGCAAGCCATAGCGTAGTTCCCACGAAAGACGCATTGCTTAATACGCTCATCATAATAGCCAATAAGGCGTGGAGAGGGCTTCCAAATAACCGCATATAAGAGAAGACTAGAACTAAATTAATATCGAAAAAAGACGAGCATGGAGCAGGGAAAGAGAAGAAAACACTGACATTGTAGGCGCGCAGTTTGACCTGTCTTTAACGCTTCTTGGGTGACTTCATCTTGCCGCTTAGACGCAGCAGACTTGACATGACCATTTAGGCCATTGCCGTTGAGGCTCGTCTCGTTCGCTTCGGCGGTATTGGTAGCAGCCACTTCCACTGTAGCATCCATATTGCTTTGATCGAGTGCAACCTCATCTATACTTACTGTGTGGCGAGTGATTCCTATATTATGTTGCAGATCTTTGACCTGTCCATTCTCCAAGACGATTGTGAGATCTGCTTGGGGCGCGATCCAGGGCAACTGGGTAATGAGCACGACAGTCCGCCCTCTTAGAAAATCGCCGCAGAACGCTTCCTTCCAAAGCATTGCCGATGTCTTTGCGTCTAAGGCGGAGAAGATATCGTCAAGAAGGATAACTGGCGCTTTCGAGTACAGAGCGCGGGCTAGGGCCACTCGTGATTTTTGACCACCCGATAGCGAAGCGCCGTTTTCACCAACTTCTGTCCCATCTCTTTCGGGAAACTCATCCATGCTAAGACACAGAAGGTTAGTAATTTTAATTCAGGGCGTAATTGATGAGCGATTTGGAACCGCTGAAAGCTTGTAAGGAACGATTTCGGCCAGGAAAGAAGTTCTCATTCTCTAAGCAGGGGGAAACCTGAGAGCAGGATTGGCGCATGATTCCGCTACAGGCCAAGAGAATGGCTCCTAGGGTTACTCACTCAACAGTCAGGCCACATGCTTCTATAACGCGGTCATATCTTACTTGCTCAAAAGGGCTATTGAACAAAATGTTTCCGCGGATCGTCTCGTTTTGTAACCACGGGCTCTGGGACGCATAGGCGATATCTCTGGGACAGGTAATCGAGCCGTTTTCAAGTAGAGTTTCGCCCAAAATTGCCAGAAGCAAAGTTGATTTTCCACTCCCGCTAGGACCAGTGATCACGTTCAAGCCTCCTTCGACGAAATTAATAGAAATATCTTTCAGGGAGAAAGTAGCCCTTTTGTGACGCCTCAGTGAAGCATTTGTGATTTTCAGAGGGCCATCGGGGTGGTGCAGTATAGGCGTGACGTTGTCAAAATAACGATCTATACGTCTTAGAGATACTAGCGCTCCCGTGAAATGCCTTGAATATTGTGCGGCCATAGATAGATTGCGCCGTAGCGTCCTGACTAGGCTGATGGATGTGAAAGCAATCTCGTGAAACTAGTTAGTGGACACTGTTCGCAATCTCTTGAGATGGGTAGAATACTCACCTCGGCCGTCAGCTTTTCCTCCCGTACCACAGTATGAAGTCCGAACATGAGTAACAGCGCTAAAGTAGGGATACATTCAGTGAGCTGTCCCAAGCATATGAACCTATACGATCGATTAGTCTTGCCGATGAGTTGTTGGTGTGAGGAGTTAGTAAGACTGACAGTACATTCAGACCCCATATCTTCTTTTGCTCGCCTCGTCGGATTGCCTCGATTTTTTCAATAATTGCATCTTCCCAAGCGAAGTATTTGATGACCCTAATAGAAGAGAGGTACTCGGATACGGCTGAAATGCGGGAGTCCTGTATCTGCTTCATCTCTCGTTGGTAACCCATCATTTTTCGGGAGATGAGTAGCGGAAGCGGCGTCAGAGCAAGCATAGCCGCAGCACCAACGAGCGCTGGCCATCCCATCAGCTTGTATAGCCCAATCAAGACGAATACCGTGCCAGTAGGGACTCCGAAGAACACCATCATGATGTCTCTGCCATACGTGATCGCGTCAACATCAGAGCTCATGAGATTAGCAAGACGACCTGAGGCCGTTGCAGCCTGCAGTCTCCTCGACTTGCCATTATCGCTCCCTGAAGCTGCAATTTCCATGAAGACTTCATCGTCTAGTTCCATAGATCCCATCGCTTTATAGTAGAGTTCCTGAGTTAGAGCGGCTTTTATTCGAACAATCACACGGGTTCCTACGAAAATGTATTGCTGGAAAGCGACGGTACGAGAAAACGGCCCGATAGACAGCATGATTAGCCATAGCCAAGGTCTCACACTAGCAGCTTCGGGGTTGCCTATGTATCCTAATAATTTATACATGGCGAAGGGGGTTAAAAGTTCCACGGTAAAGGATAAGATGGCGAGTATAGCCATCGAGGTTAATTCTGTCCTTAGATACCGCAATATCGTAGAAAAACTCCGGCTTGACTTGGCCCGCGCCACGAGGATCCTCGACAGGAGTACAAAAGGCTCATCGTACCATGGGAGCTTCGGCAACTCTTCTATCGTCATCTGACGGCGGAATCCTCTGAGTAAAAGAGGAGTAAGCCATTCATAGGTAGCATAATATCCAATCCAGCTGCAAGTTTCTTCAGGAGAAGGCTCTCGAGTGGGGATTCTGTCAGAGAGGTCTAAGCTTATGGATGGGGGAACCCATTCTCTCGGTGTGCTTGCGGCGACAATAACAGCGGCAGCCAATATGGCTATGCTGCCTATGAGGACAGCATTTGGGAGGAGGTTGTACGTGACATCCACATATGGGAGTAACTCTCCCGCAACGATGACAAGCAATGCAGTCACAAGAAGAAAGTTCACGTGATGTAATGCGACGTGTCTCCATTCCAGATCGTTAAAGAGCCGTAGGAGGCCTAGGGAAAAGGCATACGTGATGACACCGACATTGGTCCATTTGCCGCCTATCTGAACAGCAGCAACAGCCATCAAAGCCAATGATGTGGCCCGCAAGATTTGGCTACATAACTCATATGGCAAAAGAATGGCAGACGCGTGGGTTTCGGGTAAAGATATCTTTGAATATGATCTCTGAAGTAAATATCTGATAAGAAACAGGAATGAAATAACGATGATAGTCAGCTGCAGATAACCAGTCTGCGCAAACTGCGCGACTTTATGTACCCATTGGACATCCGCGGCGCTACGACAGTGTTAGAGCTCGCTCTTTTCCGCTGTAAGAGATCTGATGAACATAGGGCTTGCTTACTCATGTAGACCGAGACTGAACCATCTGGATTGACGGGTTTCGGGATAATAGCTTTGGAGGTGGAGGGGCGACACCCAGTCACTGCTAGCAAGGAAAAACGAATACATGAGGTAGCATGCCGAGACAACAGAGGAAGCAGACAGGTATAGAGGCGTCTATCTACACGACCCGGTCTATGAGCGAAAAGATGAGAGAAGTAAGCAGGTCAACAAGGCGGTGGCCACTGGTCGCGGCACCGGAGCAATTCCTGCAAGTTGCCTACCTAAAGTGCAATTCCTACCAACTGCAATCTATGACCCCTGCCAAGCCCTATTTGGTAGGACTCCATCTTGATGATGTGCGAATTAGCCTAAGACGACAGACAGCACATCTTTGAGGCGGAAAGTGTAAATACCACGACGGCGGCCAATCATGTTCATCCGCACCTTAATTGCCCACACTGAACACGTGAATGAGAGCTATACCAACCATCTGAGTGTGCTGAAGACGATTTTTCGAGGTGCTCACAGTCAATTACTCTTGCATGCGGAGCTAATTTGCCCTTTTTAAGCAGCAAGGCTAACCTGAATCTTTATCGGATACGATGTCGGGCATTGCGTGATTAGGTGGACAGCCGTGTGTAATCCGCTTCTACAAAAAGAGCACTGTATTACGCAAATGGCCGACCATTTGCTCTGGCTTTTTATATATTGTGCCATTTTCCCTTTGATTGAGGGTCGCACACCTCACATCCCATGCGCGCTATTTCGACCAGCAGGAGAAGCAAGTGGTAATCTCTCTAGCTAGTCCAGGCCACGCTTAGAACATCACAAAAGATCATAAACATTCGTTTAAATAGCGCTTAACAACCACGTTTCTCGTGGAATAGCTAAATATGGTTCGCAAATATTAAGACCTTATTACGCCGTTTCCCAAGACGAATTCTAAATCCAGTGTCGCTGATAAGTAGTCGTTGCAAGCATAGTCTAAACAAGTCCCGAATGCAAGTCCAGAAATCCTCGTCATGATTTCATTCACCTTGGTGCCATCTATATAAAGTGTCTATTTTCCATTAACGCCGTTTGTCCCATTTGTACCGTTCGCAGCCGATAGGACTGCTCTTTCTAGTGCTTGCTGTATGTCATGGACCAGATCCTCAGGTTCCTCGATGCCATTGCTAATACGGACGAGATCGTCAAACACGCCGACAGCCTCTCGTTGCTCCTTTGGTATGCCGGCGTGGGTCATGGCGCTTGGAACCTCAACCAGACTTTCGATACCACCTAAGCTCTCGGCAAGGGTGTAGATCTTGGTGAGTTGGCAAAAGCGCTCGGCTGCGACCCGACCGCCCTTTATGCGGAAGGAAAGCATTCCTCCACCCATTCCGTCCCGGTGCTGCCGTAGTGCAATTGCGCGGTGAGGGTGAGAATCCAAGCCAGGGTAATTAACGGCAATCACATGAGGGCTTGCTTCCAGAGCCTGAGCGACAGCCAGCGCATTTGTGGAGGATTGGCGGGCACGGAGATGAAGTGTCTTGAGCCCTCTATGGGCTAACCATGAATCAAATGGCGAAGGTACGGCGCCACCAGCGTTTAACAAGAAGGCTAGTCTGTCCCGCATATCTTCCGAGTTGCACGCGGCTACTCCCATAACCACATCGCTGTGGCCGTTGATGTACTTGGTGACACTGTGCACGACGATATCGGCGCCGTGGTCTAGTGGGTTTTGGACGTATGGGCTCAGGAATGTGTTGTCAACAACGACGGCGACGCCCCGGGCGTGTGCGACACTGGCCACGGCTCGGATATCGACAAGCCTTAGCGTAGGATTGCTAGGCGACTCGATCCAAATCAGCTTCGTGTCGTCCCTGATATGCTCTGCAATGTCGACCTCGATCTGCGGGGTAAATGTGACTGTAACACCATGCGCCTTTGCAACGCGGGTGAAGTATCTGTGCGTTCCACCGTAAACATCGCTGACGCTGATCACATGTGACCCGGATGCTAAGCTTTGGAGAATGGTGGCTGTAGCAGCACTACCACTTCCAAATGCAACAGCATATTTGGCGTGCTCCAGTGCGGCGACGGCCTTTTCGAAATTGTCTCGGTTTGGATTCGCGCTTCTCGAGTATTCATATATACCTACGGGCTTGCCAACAGCGGTCTGCTCAAACGTTGTGGAAAGGGAGATGGGCTCGATGACGGCGCCAGTGGTGGGGTCGTGTGGCGACCCGGCGTGGACAGCGAGCGTTCCAAAACCATGTAGTGGCGTCGGTGCTCGTGGGGGAGTCTCAATGGATGAGTCGATCGAGACAGTCATTGTGTAGGTTGGATTCTACGGTTTGGAACGGTTGAGAAGTTGTATGTATTCGATGAAGTGAACGAGTGGGTAATAGCTCTGCTTGTCGTGTATTTAAGTGAGGCTATATAGGACAGGGAGCGTGATCGGAGTGCGCGAATAAATCGTCCGAGGCAAGATGAGGCCGAAGTTAAGTAGTCAAAGAAAGGAGATCAAAGGACCAGAAATGAACGGCGGGCGGCGTAGTTCAAATAGTATTCGACATGTACCCTGCTTGTGTACTCGGCGAAAAGCTTATGAATTCGGTAGGTAAGTATTACGCGAGGACTGAGTTGAACCGAGCGGACTGCCACAGAATAAGTACAAACAGACAAACACATGGAACGAGCAAGACGCCAAAAAAAAATTATTTTTGTTTGTCATCAGCAGCCTACTCGCCTACTTGTAACTTATCCTTTAGCGCTAATCAACCTACGTAATGGCGTCATTTCTGACTCAATGAGGCCATTATCGACATCGTTACTCCTGTGCTTATATATCATTTTCCCTATCACACTCAAAAGGGTCAAATAATTCTATCTGTGACACGAAGAATTCACTTACTACATATATGTGACTTACTTATATGTACCTACAGGTCGGCAGTGTAGGATGAGGTCATCTATCAACTCTACCATAATCTCCATTGGAGCTCTATAGCTTCTTTGAATCAACCTTGAAGTATCTTAAAATTCCAACACAGCGGTGGGTTTTTTTCTTTCATAGAGAAAGTTGTTAGTCTGGTATGTATAACTACTTATGGTTACTATCTACATTTCCTCTTCCTAGAAGCGTGTGAGGCAGGGAGATAAGGTGGCCTGCCCCTCCTTGCCCCTCCAGCCCCTCTCTCCTATGCTTATCAATCCCCTCTCCGCCCTCGGAATCCCCTCTATCCCCAGATCCCGCGATATCCACGCCCCCGGCTGCGCTATATTAGCGTGCATTTATAATAGGTACGCACTGCTACTGTATTAAGTAAGCACTTCTAGAGCATGCCGCCAATGCCCGTCGCTTTCCGCAAATTGTAGGGCGCTCCCAGCCTGCGTCTCAAACATCGCTTACCTCTTAGAATACAATCCAAAATGGCCCGAAGAACTGTATGTATCTACAGAGCTAGATACAATATAGCGATGAAGTATTAATATCGTAAAGTATGTAAGCTAGGAATCCAGTGTGAAGGAGATATGGCCGTGCCCCTGCCGCGCCTGCACCTGCATCTTTTTATAGAAGTGTGAAGACACTCGGATACAAGGAAAATGGCAAATCGTGCAAAGGTACGTAAGGTTAGTTACATAAACACGCCAGCAGAATTTCCCAGGGTGCACATCTTGGTAGGTAGATCTCTGCGGATCTCTGCTGCAGTCAAACCAGGATTGAATAATACAATGTAACCCATTCTACAGGAACTTCCGCAAAGGGAAATTCTGAGTTGGGATACGGAGAAGAAAGGAGCGAGTAGAAAGCGACCTCAGCTCAGGTCCGTTAATCTTTTAGGTAAATTCTCCCCCCTTCGTGCTTTTTTCTGCGGTTCACATGGTCTCGAAACGATCCACCTCTTCTAATAATATCACACCTTATCACATGCCGCGGTACGCACACTACGCTCATGACTAAGAAGGATAACTATGGCACGGTATAGCACTTCGTGGATACAAAACTTTACCTGGTTAAAGGTAGTTTGGTGCGGGAGCTTCGAGGCCTCGTGTCCCGTAACGTATATATATCCAGCAAACAATGTTGATTGAGCTACATACTCCTGTCTTCACCGCTTCGTTTACGTATCCTCTATCCTTGGCGTGTGTATTGACGTAACGTAGCTCTGTCTTCGTCATATCAAACCAGGAGAACGAGCTATCCAGGTGCTGTTGTGTTTAAACATTCACCGCTGGCGGGATGTTTGCTGGAGGTTTGACTTCCTTCACTGTCAGCACCTTACCTTTATTCGGGGGCCCCTGGAAATCGCCAGATTTGCATGCATCCTGAATCTCGTAACACCTCTTCTCCAGCTACAGCACTTAGAGTCAGTGAGATGTCGTTTCACTCAAAAGTTCTTGAGCTTGGGATATAAGGAGTTCTTAGAGTGTAGTTCCGGCCCGAGGAAGGTAGAGTTTCTACTTCGAAGTAACCAAATGTGAATCTTATCGGGGGTTACTCACCGCGACACAGCCAGCATCTCCTGTGGGAGGCGCTTCATTGTAGCACGTCCCGACTTGTTTCCAGCAATTCTCCGAGGCTGCCCAGCAACCACCCTCATCCGTATAATCCGGAACTTCCATGCCAATCCAGTTGGCATTTTTGACGATGTAATTGGGAGGGACGACGCCCTGCGTCTGCTTCGGTACCGACGGGCCAGTGGTATCAATGTGACCGTTCTTTGGTAGCGGGACCGCGAAAGCCTTAGGTCCCGGAAGCGGGTATGGGAAAGAAGGAGCGTAGATATTGAAGGTAAGACCAACTTCATTTGCACGGACGTGCCCTGGAATACTCACTCTTTGGTCGCCAGGCACTTCGAGAGGAGCTGTGTTGCTGCTTTTGACGAAAATCTGCACACATCCGACGTAGAATTGCGGATCACCCTTGTTAGCCTCGTGGAGGGCGAGCAATTCGGGCCTGAAGATCCAGTAGCCTGACGGCAAACCCTTAGGCACCTCAAAAGACAAGAGACCGTTATTGTCGATAAGCTTCTCGGTACACCATTTCTTGGTAACTGCATCGTAGCCTTCATCCCATAGCTTGATCCAGCCTGGCCCGGCGGCCTCATCGTTGGCGATGTCGTGGACTTGCTTTGCGTATATCGCGCAGGGCCCTGTTGGATTCTTAGCTATTGCTCCTCGCACCGGGGATATGAAGGTGCTGGCCTACCTTTGTGTGAGCTATCAAGGGCACTGGGTAGCACAGCGTTGGCCCATTCTCGGAACTGGAAAGTGAGCTTGCTACCAGCCGGAGCAGGGCAAGTCAAGGCGACTGGCGTCTGACCATCGACCCCTAAATGTCTTAATCAGCTTCCTAACTTTCCACATTGCTATACCATCTTCGCTCACCGCAGGCCATATCATTGCTAGCGATGCTCTCCACGGGAGAAGTGCAGCTTCCTGGGTCCATAGGCATGCGAACGCAGGTACCCTCTCCCTGCTTGACATCGTCGATAAACAATGTCGTCAAGACAGTATGGGCACCCGCAGTGGCCGTGAGACCAGCTATCACGGCAAAAACGATAGACAATTGTCTCCTCATTTAGTTATTCGACGAATATGTCCCTGAAAAGTTGTAGAGAAATGGGAAGAGATTTCCTACACAGTAGCTTGCGTGAGAAGGGAGCAGCTAAGTCCGGAGAATCACAGGTGGTGAGACGAAGGGCCAGGTTATGATGATACGAACGAGAGGAAAGCCTCACTAAAGATACTCAAAGAATGAATGCGCCAAAATGGACACAAGAAAACGATTGTGATGTAGATGGCAGGATATCAAGTGGTATCTAATGGTCATGCCTGCTTTAAAGTGGAACAATGGGAGTCAGGGCCCCTTTCTTTTCATCCATAGCAAGGCACAAACAAATCCAGGGGAGGGAAGCAAACGCAGTACGACAAGGAATGAAACGCGTAGGTAATGAATAGATTAAGCATACAACAATATCAGAAGTCGAAAAGCCGCGGCATTTCTAGAGCCCATGTCCGGATCATCCTACCTAGCCTCACCAAGTGCTTGCATACCATTCGGTATTGACAAACAACTTTCGTCCCCTTTCTAACTCAAGCCCCTGGCGCAAAGAAGCCGGGGACATTATTCTACATTAGTGTAGCCTTACACGACAGCTACGACACAGCCGAGCGGACCCAATAAGTCAAGTTCGTCCAGCGCCTCAAAGGAGCGAACATACTAGGTATTCTCTCCAATAGAAATATGTTGATGAGGTAGCTGCCGAAGGTGCTTTATTTCAAGATATTCCATTGGTGGAAACTGCACTTGGCTGTTTCTCACTACAAAAATACATACTATGTATGCCCATGCAAACGTACAACCTATGGAGGACAAGGTCAGCCGCCTACCCCTTATTTTCATCATCCGATTGAGCTATCATATGTTTGACTTGGTCGAAGTCAACCTTGAGATCCCCTTCAATTTGACGCTGTTATTTGTCTTACTCTGTACCTCTAGTCCTACGCGCATTTGATTGCTTTTCTGAGCCGGGCAGAGGCCACAAATGATGGCTAGTGACCAACTATCGAGCAACAGTAAACCGGATCCCAAGAACATTACCCCAGATTTCGAGACGCCCCGGTCGTCGGATAGAGTGCATCAGGTGGAGTCGAAGGAAACAGGTCATATGGAGCGCATTAAGGCTACTCTGCAGCGAGTAATGCAACCGAGGGCGGATGAGCGCATTGAGTAGTAGTATCGACTTGTATCCAGATAGAAGAAGCTCCTCATGATTTGTCTGATAGTGCGTATGTAGGGGGCCGATGGCTTGAGCATGTCATGATCCTCCATTGATATCAGATAGGACGAGTAGCTAAAACAAGTCCTGTGTGAACATAATGTCAAATGATATTGACATGGTGATACAGAGCGGCATTGTTGCATGTTATTGACACGGTACCTGCTGCTTTCGTGTCAAGGACATGGATCTAAGATTCATGATATGACAATCGACGAAGTGAGGGTCAGATGAACTCGTGCTGAGAGGCAATCTTTATACTTTTAGTTTATACCTCACCATCTAGCTTACGGTTAAGTCTATCTCTACAAGTACAGAGATAATCCAAAGACAGGTGTATCAATATCAACAATGAGTGAACGCCACCAGTGCGTCATACACAGGTCCTTGATTTGGAGAGAGCAGAGATAGATTCTGATTGTGTTACTGGCCCAGAGCTATATACAAGGCTCCTGACCAGGGATGAGTGTCAAGTACTCTGGTCCCTGTCAAATGTCTTCTCCCCTTGTCCTCCCCCTTCATCTGCGTATTATTGTCATATCTTGGCAAAGAAGACTTTCTTCGACCTCATGCTAGGGCGCGACCATGTTTTTTAGACTCATTTATTCGTTGTTGTACAAGATAATATGGTACATCGTTTTGGCATGACATTCTCGTGAATTCGTGGCTTGACAGTTGCGTGTATTAAATTTTATTTACTCGTTAATCTTGGCCAAAATTCTGAGGTTGCAAGTGTCAGTCAAGCGCAAAAGAGAGGGGATAGATTACCATGTCACATATGACGGGCCGTAAGAATAGAAAACAAGAATACATAAAGGAGGGAAATATTGGAAAAACTTACTCGCTATCGCGGAAGAGGTGGTACTCATCATCGCCAACCTTGACAGGTGAGCCGCCGAACTGTATTGTACAGAGTTAGCAGTTTATTTCGAAACTCGTAGAGCATTGCCTTTTTGTTTGCGGCGAATGAACCGCGCAAGCTCAATCCACGCAATAACCCAACACCCATAACCCAGGTCAAGCCTTACCTGGGGAATCAACACGCGGTCGCCTTGAGTGACACCCATGGGCACACGTTGTCCATCTTTGCTCAGGGCTCCAGGGCCAACGGCAAGAACTTTGGCCTCGTTGAGCTCCTTGACACTCGACTCGGGTAGGAAGATGCCGCCGGCAGTCTTAGTCTCAGCCTTGATGCGCTGGACTAGTACGCGGTCCAGCAGAGGGACTAGGGACTTGATGGATCGAATAGATGTAGCCTGCTCGAGGTGGAAAGCCTCACATCAGCGACAATTCTATCAAATACAGTGGGGAGGGTGTGATTTGCCCAAGCTTGGTATTACAAGTGCTGCTAACCGAGCAACTTGAGAAGAGCTTCTCTTTTTAGGGATACATCATGCTGGGTATGTGAGACTCACCATTTTGTTTGATTGTAGATAGAATGTGTCGATCGGCCAAGGTGGGAGGAACACTGGTGTGCTTTATACTAGAAGAAAGAAAATATGAAGCTATCACGAAGAATAGATGTCTCGGGAAAGCTTTAGAAGCTCCCATGCGACCGGTCCAGACTTTTTCTTCGCCGTAGTTTTTCCGGTCGCAAGTGGATCCTTCTCCAACCAACTTTACCTTTACAATCCCAACCACTTACACGCAAGTAAGGTAACTTGATATCCCAGTCTGGTCGAGGTTTTGTATTAAGGCACACAGCTTTATAGGACCTGATTGAAATCAACGATGATAATCTCGATCATACATCTCGTACTGGTTCCAATGACGTCCGAGTCACGGTAAATGGGCCCCGCATCTTTTGACAGCCCCTCTGTCTAAGTACCTAAGTACCTAGGTAGATATCTAGGTACCGATTTACTTGTAAGATATCAAACACCCCTATGAGACGGCTGTACTGATGGTGTCAACAACTACTTGAGAACTAAATCCTACCATCACGTCTCCTTTTAAGGAAGGCTTTAGCCGCTTGACCTCAGCTGCTTCAGATAGGCACAGAATCCTTTGTCTTGGGGTGCATATGGAGGCAAGAGGCCGAAATTGTTATTTGTCACTGCATTCTTGGGATGGTTCGAATGCCTAGCTGCAGGGATAAATTGCCTGCTACACCACCTGTACATACAAGCATCGGGGTGGAGGAGATATCTGATATTGGTATTGTGACGACTATCGCTGCCTATATCTTACGTTGATACAGAGTAATGATGCTGGCAAATCCAAGGATTATTTCCCATGCTTGAATACTAGATGAAATGGTTTCGTTCAAAAGTCGAGAACCAGCGACTGAGCCTCAGCAAATTACCAAGCGTTGAACCCTATCTATCTTATTTATGGAGAGTGGTAAAATGTAGAACTTGCGGACCTACTGGGTTTGATTGTTCACGGAAAACATTATCTCGCTTCCAATGCTCTAATTCGTGGTGCCAGCTTCATGATCATGAAGCGTCTATAAAACAATATCGAGACAGACCGCCAGTCTACCCAGCCATCTCTTGATCTATACCTGTATCAATAACCCTGTGGATTTGCATTGCTGTGCGCTTTGTATTGGACGCACACGGGCGTTATAGCGCGTACCATTTACCGCCTGAAGAACGCCCCTGTGTAAAAATACACAGCCATTCAACCCAATCCCATGAACCTAAAATGAAAGACCACATGGCGATCTTAAAACTCCCACCTGATCATTTCTCTCTATTTGGATGGAGCAGGTGCGGGAGGCTCAAGAACGTGCTCATGGTCTTCAGCTTTCTCAATCATTCCGGGGCCAACCTGTCTACATATAACTGTATCTGATACCCATGGTTCGTCAAGTATTTCAGCCATGTCGGCTCGTTTCCTTGGATCAATAGTCAACATTCGACCTATGATGTGTCTAGACTCCCTCGGAAGCAGACGCAACAACCGCCATGGCCCTTTGATTACTTCTTTCCGGTCAGGATCTTTGTTATCCGTCTGCGTTGTCGTAGATAACTCGGGTTTGCTCTGTCTCGGACTCTTGGGCGACTCATAAGAAGTGACATCCTGTGAAGAGGTCTCTGTGGAGTTATTTGTAAGTCTTGACGGGAGAATCAGTTGCTTAGGGTCATGACCAGGTGTCGGTGATGACGCAAAAAGTCGGTAAGAATTGTCGGTCATTCGTGGTATCTTCCACGGGAACCGTCGTAATGACATACAGCAAAATATTATGGCCAAGGACCAAATATCAACGGCCTGAGGGTCGTACTTTCGTTCATCATACACCTCGGGGGCCAAATACGGGTCAGACCCAACAATACCTAAATTGTGTCAAAATATCGCCCAATATTATTGGGGCACATGCCACTCACCACTTGCGAGTACTATCTCGCTCTCGAAAGGATATTTAAAAACATGTGCGCTGCCAAAATCAATGATTTTCATAATGCCATGCTCGCTGACGACAACATTGTCCAACTTGAGATCGCGGTGGGCGAGACCAGAACCATGAAGGTAGGTTACACCGCTGAGAATTTGTAAAAAGCAGCAGTTGATTTCCGCTTTGCTCATTCTTCCGGTCATCACTATTGCAAATAGATCGTATGGGGCGTACTCCATGACTTCGTACCATTTTCCTTTCTCCTGAACGATGTCCAATGTTTCGATTATGTTACCGTGGTGGAGAGCCGATCCAAAGCAGAACTCAGCCGTTAGTTTTTTGGTGTATTCCTTTTCAGTTTCGTAAGAATGTCGAGGTCGGAACTCTTTCACCGCGAAAACAGTGTTGTCCTCACTTCGTTTCATAAGCTTGACCGAGCCACCGGCTCCAGACCCAAGCACCCGACCTATTTTACCATACTTTGAAGAAAGACCATGATCGTCGGCAAAGGGAAGGTGGCTTGGACGTGAACCTGCCCCAGAGGCTGGTCCAGCGGGCGAGTGAGGAAGCTTCTTAGGTTTATGACTTCCGCCAACCTTGAAAAACCTCCGAAGATCAGACATCGAGCTCTGGTGGTGATGGTGGTGTGCACTAGAATTAGTCCCCGAGGAGGGGAGATCACCGGATTTATTTCTACCACCAAGGAAGCCGGAATGACGCTTATCAGATTTGTCAGATCGCAAGCTTGTAGTGGAGCTTGTTGGGGACTGCTTGTTTTTCCTCGAGAAGACAAATCGTTGGTCGATGGTGCCAGTATTCTTGGATTGTGCTGGTCGTTTGCTGGCAGCATAAGGATCATTTGCATCACCCTGAGGGGTGAAAGGCCGCGTATAAAATTGGGAAGCGGCATTCCTCGATGGACTTGATTCTCTAGATACGGGGAGTGATTGCCCTCCTTTGTCGGGACCAAACATGCCTCTTCGATGCGACCGAGAGGCACCACGGTCGTCAACGGCTGTAGTTCTCTGAGAGAGATTATCTGAAGACGCCGGTCTGTGTGGCAACCCCAAGCGGGAGACCGGCCTTGAATCTTGGCTTGAGTCTTGAGGAGTGACCTCATAAGAGGGAAAGCCTCCATCGGAGCCGCCGTGTCGCAATGTCCTCTGGTGAGCTTGCTCAGCCGATGTTCCAGCAGGTGTTAATGGAGGCGTGAGACCTGAGCTGCTGGGGCCAAAATGCGGCGAGCGAGGTGCCATAGGACTATGGCTATGCTGAGGGGTTGCGCTAGGCGTAGTCTCGTTGGAGGGTATCTACGAATGGCCAATGGTTAGCCACCAACAGATCTGCCGAATTGCCTCAGGAACCAATTGCCACATATGGTCGAGCCATGTCTCACAGATCTCCACTGGTGAAGTGTGAGAGCGGCCCAGAAACCATTAGTCTGCTATAAGAAAAGAACTATCCGTATTTCTCAGATGCTAAGATCGAACGACTTTTGACGTACTCTGGAGGGTGGAAGCGACATAGGCTGGAAAGCGTAATTCTGAGCGCGTTGCTCTTGAAGATGTGTGCCGTTCAAACACTCTGTCAAGGCTTGGAGTTGCTCGGGCGTCGCTGAGGAATCATTGCGCGGCTTGTCCTCAATGGGCGGACCAATCTCGTCCACATTGCTCGCGAACCGGACGGCATGCGCGCGCTGGGGGGGCGGTTTGGGAGCATCGCGGGAAGATTCTAGCGATCCTCGCACAGCTTTAGTCAACACAATCAAACGGGTGTGACATCAACATATACTTCATGGGGAAATGCAAGGTGGGGATATAGGATTCAGACGATGACGGCGATGACATGGAATTTTCGTACCTTGTGGCGGCTCACCACGTTCTGCCGGGCCCTTGGCCTCAGCGCCCCGTGGTTCCATGGTGTATAATTGATACAACTGCGTAGAGGAAATTGTCGCACCAACGCCGGCACCGGTACAAAAAGGTCTCTGTGGGTGCGATGACGATGACGTGCCGATAGTCCGATAATCCGATAATAAATGGAAAATGAGGGAGGGGTAGGCAAGCAGCGAACAACGCCCGTAAGTGAGCGCGGACAAGTGTTGTCGAGCCCGGAGAGGACAATGGCTGTGGAGGAGAAAGAAAGGTGCAAATATTGGGCAGGCTCATAAGAGCCCACTGATGACGGTTGGGATGAAAAGTTCAAAGTTCTAACCCGAGGGCGTGAACGAGATGTGACAGCAGCAGATACCGTAGGCAGGTAGGTATTGATAGAGCATGGTGGGGCTTTCTGCACTAACGATACAGTCGAGCTAGCTATCCAGGACCTTGCCTGTTTCGAGCTGTGCTTCCATGTACCTACCTAGGTAGATGACGGGTTGGCATCATGGACTTACTTGACATCTACATGTATATACATCATTCCTCAAGAGCCTGTGAAGAAAAATAAGACTTGAGCTACTGGGGATCGTTATCGACATCGACATCGACTGCGGTATTATGGAAAATACTTGTGCGGAATTACATTTTTTTTGTTTGCTTTTTTTGGTTATTAATAACCAGTCTCTCACTTTCCTATAGTACGACCGCCAATTTCTCAGTATTTCATCTTAATAACATCCACAACCCTGAGTCAGGCCTCCATGTTCCCCCAGAATTCAGGATAGAGCCAGAGAAAAGACTACTTAAGTGCCTAACAACAATGCAAGGTGCCTATGGGTGAAGGCTGGGCCCGGGACTGTATATGTAGATGCCGTACCAACGCTTGGGTATGTATGTCTCCCACCCTCTTTTCCATATATCCATCAATATCGCCGAGATGGGATGGTGGGGCTGATTCACTTGTTCGAGTCCGGTGTTGCCCGCGATGGGCACTAGGTTTGCGCCGCTTGTCAGGACCACTCATGACATCCCATCCGACCTTTCCGGGTCAACGATAATACCTAAAATCTCTTTACTGTCGTCTATTTGGAGTCGGGGTGATTTTGCCGCCAGAGTCACGATGTTGGCCGTGGTGCCACGTGCCAAGTGCCAATGATCATACACCAGATTCATTTGTTTATTCCAATATGTGAAACCTGCCACTGAGCCGAGAATTCTAGCGCACTATTTAATGGACTGTTGAACGATTGGATTGGCAAGGGGTTATATTGATGTTATTGAGTTGAAGTTCTAGTCACTGAAGGAATCTACTGTGAGGGGTAATATAGCCACGCCCACCGTACCCGCCAACAGGACAGGAAGTAGGTAAGTAGTCGAGTCTAGATCTTAACCGTGGTCTATTACAACTCAACTCCACCGTTGAAACCCATCTGTAGACCCCTGCTCCAGACTACTTATTCGTTACTTCACGAAAGTTGTTCTGCGACCGGAGTGTTTTTATCTTCTCTCTTATTCAATCTCTTCGACACACCTCAAGGATAAGTGAGATTCCCCAGATCCATAGTAGTCATTCACTACGAACATCATCGATAATAATTTACCAGCTCCCTCCCTATCTTGACTATGCATAGACAAACCTATATGAAAGGTTGAGCGAAAGCATGTTTCTCTCATAAACGTCTTTTAGTACATTTTTCAGCAATTGCCTCCAACCTGACACCCGAAGTATTGCTAACTGTAAGAGAAACTCGCCGAGCTTCCTAGACTTTAAGGCTAGGGCTGTTCATCACTAAGCCGAAGGTAAGAGTTGAGTCTGCGATGCGATCGACCGAAACGATGAACAACAAGACCCTGCCTGCCAAAAAGAGCTTTAGACAAACCAGTTCACTCCCGCTTGATATACAATTCAGTTGGATAATGTGTACACGCTTATATACAGATCGTAAGGGCGCGGGCTAGCCCTAGTTTGAAGCACTCGGGCCCATGCTCATAGGGCCTCTGTCGTCCGGCCAAGCCCGCTGTTGAGTTGAGTTATGCGACAACCGTGATGCCTATGGATTTGGCTTGAAAAATTACCGACTTGCAAAGCCCTTCTAAGGATAGGCCAGACAGTCGCAATTCTGATTGCTTGATTTTGGCGATTTCGTAAACGTGCTTTAGGCTGATCGTGCCCACTATTTCATGGCCCGGTCTGCTCGCTCCTTTCCGTTTGCCTTTCTTCCCTAATGGCAGATCTGCTGCGTTTCGTAGAAGCCAGGAGGTTTGAGGCGTCCGAACGTCGAAGTGGAATGTGCGGTCGCCGCGTACAGTCACCCGGGTGGGCATAGGAGTGCCCTGTGCTATGTGCGCCGTTCGGGCGTTGAACTCCTAAGTCAACATGAGCACAAGATGTTACTTCAACAGAAACGTAACATAATAGTAGCACTGACCTTGCAAAAGTCCATCGACTTAATACCCTTGCTACCCAATGCAGGACCAACGGGTGGACTTGGGCTGGCTTGCCCGGCTCCCACGATCAATTTGACAATCTGATCGGCAGCCGCCGAGGCGCCACGTTTCGACATATTGTTCGGAGATGATTCCTGGCGGTTGATCGGGAGTCGTAGGTAGTATAAAGCCCGGGGCTTCGCGGCTAGATGGATCGAAGACGAAATCCAGAAACCCGTCTTTTCGCAAATCCACACTAGCCACAACAAGCAGACTACAGAGCTTGAGTGGGCATGTCTTGGCAGTGACCAATGCCTATCTCATACTTTATCGATAGATGACGCCACAGCGCCAAAACACCCCGCCAAAGACCACTGCTCTCCCTACTCCTGCATAACCATTGCCAGCCAGACATACAGCTAAGCTTAGGTAGTTCAAGGTCGTAGCCAAAAACTACTTATCTCCCAACACTACATCTCTTCACAGCCAAAGACGTCGGAAAAACTCGCAAAATCTTGCATGACTTGTCATTTCTCCTATCGTCAACTGCACTTATTTCATAGCAGTATCTATCCCTTTAAGCTCCAAATTCGATAACCATGTTCAACTGGGCAAAGCAAACGTTAGCGGGCACCCCCATATTGGTCCCTCGCTTATCCCTTTGCTAATATAATGGTCCAGTTTGGCAAACGTCGTAGGCACTGAAGAGCCGATATACGGCCCGTCAGCTATCAAATCCGTTGCCGAAGATGCCAAGTCCACACCATACACCGAAATATCCAGGGATGACCTGAAATGGACTGCTTTAGATCAGACATCGGTTGAGACGCAGGTGTTTTACTTCACGGCCGATAGCGGGCATGTTGGGCTCGCTCAGATCATATATAGTAATGTAGCGTACGGTTGCTCCGGGCTATCTATCTGTCTACTACCGTTCACAACTAACATGTAGTATCTATCTAAAGTGGTATTCGCACCACAGTTCAGTTCAACTCCAAGGTCTTCTACACCGACAGGTCTAAACCACACCTCTGGTGCTCCAACCCATTGACCGACTATACCTTCAGTGATGACAAGACCTCATTTTACGCCAAAGACTGCGCAGTCGAGTTATCAGAGGATGGCAAATCGTACACGATCAAGTCGATAAACGATGAGCGATCCATTGTCAACCTCAAGTTGACTAGGACAGCTCCCGGCTTCGTGGCCGGCAAGGATGGCAAGACCCTGTACGGCACTGACTTGGCGAACCCTTGGGGGTCGATGAGGCATGCCTTTTGGCCAAGGTGTGAGGGAGAGGGAAGTATTGTGACACCAGATGGTCCTATTGACTTCAAGGGAAAGGCCGTTTTCATCATGTGTCTTCAGGGCATGAAGCCCCACCATGCGGCTGCCCAGTGGAATTTCCTAGACTTTCAAGGTCCGAACTACTCCGCGATTCTTATGGAGTTTACAACACCTCCTTCCTACGGGACTACAGTGGTAGATGTCGGCGGAATAGTCAAGGATGGCGAAATTGTCACAGCTGGTACTACCTGCCGCGCGACGCACACTCAGACAAAGCAGGATACTGTAAACGGCTGGCCTGAGCCGACGGCGGCAAAATACACTTGGTCAGGCACGACCAAAGATGGAAAAGATATCGAAGCTGCGATCGAGGGCCCAACTGAAAGGCAGGATTGTGTAGATGTTATGGCAGAGGTTCCAGGTTTTGTCAAGACTATCGTTGCTAACGCAGCAGGGACTAAGCCGTATATTTACCAGGTAAATAAACGGCCCATATAATCGGCCTTCGCACAGGTTTGCTAATCTCTGGTAATAGTTCGCTTCGTCCAAGCCTGTCACGCTGAAATTGAAAATTGGTGATGAGGAGATCGCAGAAGAGGGTCGCACATTTTCAGAGGCCACATTTATATCTTCTATTGAAGAGGCGAAGTAATATAATCATGCTAGGGCTATGCCACTACATGGGAATTGTTGATGCCCATGTGTCATGCGAATTAGCAGATGTCTTCAACATCTAATGCTGCGGGCCGTCTCTCATGCTAGGCTATTCTGGAAAACGGCACAGTTGATACAAGAGACGCATCCCTATGGCGTTCAGCAATCATCCAGACCTGCATTAACCACTCGTTACTAGAGGATCGATAAAATTTACAGGCATAAACTTGGCATATTTATTGAATATATTCCATGATACATTGTTGCCCTCACCTAATTGGGTTCGTTCCACTAGGTAATTTTGGCTTGAAATGAGTTCGCAGTGCATATCAACATTAGAATATAACATAACACCATCAAGCACACAATGGCAAGCGACCCCAGAGACTATTACATGCAGCTCGTGTCTAGCATTTTGTAATACATTCACTGACATTCCTACACACGCTACCTATAGCCTGTGCTGCTATTATCACCCTATGAAACGCGGACAGCGATTCATTGCCGACCGTATACCGAATCGGAAACTTTGCCCAACAACAACAACAACGATAACGACAAGTAGCTACTAAGGTAGCAGCACAAACCAATCAATCAGAGAGCATTGATCTGATTAAAAAGGCTCGATTAAATCTCGGAGTCGCCTTTGCATCAATGTAACCGCGCGAGACCTCATTTCTCCCCTATCTAGTCTGTAACGTCATCCCACAATATACCGTAACCCCCCCGTCCCGGCTGAGGAGCCAATGGGGAATCAAACATGATCTCATCAGCCTTAGCGTCTATCGCGTAGCGTGGCCGTACAGGGCTCGGCTGAAGGCCCGGGTGTTGGGCATGTACCGGTACTTCATGTCTGGAGGTGGTCGGGTTGTTATGGGGGCGGCGTAAGCTGACCACTCGCCGTTTTTTGTTTACCCCGGCTTGGGCGAGAGAGACGCTGACTGCTTGCGTGCTTGCTTGCTTGCGTGCAGGAGCTGGGGTAATACAGCGCTAATGCGGCGGGCGCACCGTTGGCTTGGGAGAGGTTGGTGGGCTGGGCTGGGCTGAGATGAGACGGCATGGATGGAGTGGATGGCGTCGTCGTTGCGGCTGGATGCAAATGTGTAGGCAGGTACTGTAGCTACTTATGTATGCACGGTACCTTATTCACACCTACCTACTTTGTATAAGAGGCTTCGTTTCAAATCAGCAGATTGCTCTCGAATTAGATACCGGGCGGTTCTTTGCCTACTGCGTGGCTACACGTGTAGGATGTTATGTAGCCGTCGGAAAATCAAATTAGGAGTCCTCACTCTTCTTTCATTTGGCGGGGGGTGACATACTGGTATGGTTAGGCTAGGATTCCAAGGTGACGCCTTGGTTCGAAACGGATCATGAAAGCGCATTCATCGCTTCACTGCAAATCAAATATCCATGTCAATCTTTAGGATGTGCATACATGTATAATGCAATGCATGGAATATTCTTCAAGTTCCATTGCACCTCGGCGTGGACAGCTACTACCTGTCCAACGTAAGTACCTCAACACCGCCATTCACTTATGAAGTCTCGCGTATGCCTTCCATAAGTTGGTAGGTGTAGTTAGCTGACCAAATCAGTAGCCTATTACAGTAAATACCCGGAATAAAAAGCGCTAGGGATGCTACTCGTCCCAGCAGCTATTGTAAGATGTCACTCAGGTTGTTTACCGTATTTGCTTACCTTCTCGTCAGCCGTGGCTGACTTTCAAAACAATTCTCCGAGGTGCAGGGACCATTGCTCCTTATCGGAGGTATTATGTGGCGAGCCCGAGCGGACATGTGTAAGTCTTACAGTACCGGTACTGGCCTGAGCTCATCCTTAGTGTACGCTATGAAATGAGCCTCATGCACATCTGGTGAAAATCCTAAATGGGAGATATCCTTATATGTTGTCTCAGCTATATGGACTACCTAGACAGAATCCTACTCTAAACCATGCGCGGGTATGATGGGAGCTCCAGGAATGGCTAACCTCGCCCATGAAAACTCGCAGGCAGAAGATAAGAGAAGATTGAAGGATCTCCGACTTTACAGGCACGCCTGCGCAAGATGGTGTATCTATGTACGGGCGTTGACAACCTAATCGCAGGCGTAAACAACAAGTTGCACACCAAGAATTTAGCTAAATGGGTTACCGCAATGCCATGCTCCCAATGTACTACAATGTACTAGGGTTTCTTCCTTAACCCCCTCCATCTTCATCTTGGCATTTTCGTCCATGGTTTCCTTTTCTCTTGATGTGAGACGACTGAGCCGTTCCTGATAGTACACGGAGATCTTTGTCAACCAAGACGTTTGAAGGACGAAAATCAGAGGAGTATATCAGATATCTGGATAGACTCTTGCTGTTTTCCTCAGGCTCAGCTTCAGACATAAGTCGCCCGTCAGATGCGAGCTGCCGGAAAAGCTGGCGAGCGACGTATTTGTCCCGAGCATCGTCCTCATCTTCGACCGAAATTGTTGTGCTGGAACATCAGTTGTGCCATATGCATATCAGCTAGAGCAGAATACCAATCGTCGGGGATTTCATACGTTTGTGTTGGAGGCATACCAGTTAATTGGACCAAGCTGTTCATATTTGTGTAAGAGGCCTCTCAGATACGGAAAACTGGCCATCTTCGTGCTCAACCAGAGATCCAATTCTAGAGAATGTTAAGGTAGAAAGCTGCAAGAGAATGTTCGCCATCTGTCCGTAGAGTAGCTCAAGCTTGTGCTCGCTTGCATTGGGATCTAGGATCTGTTCTTCGTCAGCGTTGACGGAATCTGTCAGGGCCTCACCGATCATCGTCTCATGCTCAATATGCTCCATGATGATGAAAGGTCCAGAGTGCCGTGGTGGTAAATCTTGGGGACTGGAATGGTAGTATTCTGCGCTATGTATCGCATTGTGGCTACCTCGTAACGAGCTCTCTCCTCAGGAAATTTGGCAATACCTGCGCCTGTTAGCACCGTCACTCGTGTAAAGGGAATGATATCGGCTGACCGAGTACCCTTTAAAGCGACTCCCGTTCCTGCTGATGGGCCATCTTTACTCTAGACGCCAGAAGACGTCACACCCCCCTTTAATCGGTCGATGGAGTTCGGCGGATTCCCCTGGCCTATATTGCCTGATAAGGCTGACAACTGCATGAAATGTATCTATATTGTTGAGCGACTTTTGCCAGGTCTCCTCCTGCTTGTGACATTCATCCCACGCAGGGCCATTCATTAGCTCTGTTGCACTTCTGAGTTTAGGATTCATGGTGAGATTGAATCGCCTAGATCATACAGATGTCAATTGTTGGAATTCGTGATGAGCTAGGGCAAGATATTCGAACATACGACCTACCTAGGTGAGAAGAGGCTGTGATTAGTACTGGCCGACGCATACAGATTGAAAGGAGAGGTATGGTGGATGGTGATCATATTTACAATAGCGAATAATGAGGCTAAGGCCCTAGAATCAAGTAGGCATAAATATTGACATATATATTTTCCTCGCCTAGCAAAATTCTCTAGACAAGCGCTCGGCAGCTATTTGCCTAGGTAGGCTCAAGGGTCGGGCACATCTTCTTACCCCTATACATTTAATAAATGTGGTATGGGTTCAGGGGATCAACAATCTCGTGCTAGCTAATTAAAATTCAACAGCCATCATCCCTTGTTCTTTGCTCACCCTTTACCTCTTCGTGCTCAGGTAATTTGTAAGATCTCTGGAAAAAGCAACATATATGAACGGAACAGCACGAGAGTGGCTTTTCCCACCGGAGTGAAACCATAAGTCTACCTCTACATAGGTAGGTAGGTCAGAGTAGGTAATTCATTTTTAACCATATACGATCTGTATGTAGATACTCACCTGGATATGTGCTAAGCACTTGAAATATTGTACCTACAGGTAGATGTAGGTACCGTATGTATTTACTCAGGTACAGGCACTTGATGATATGTCATGTACCTCCCATCTGTACCTGCCTAGGTACATGCATACTAGTTAGCTTGTTAGAGGTACTACTACCACTCCGTGCGGTATCCAAGTTACCTAAGTACATATGTAGGTACATTACATATATAGGTACCTAAATGTGCCTCCCCGCATTCCACTCCACTTGTTGCCTGTTACTTTCAATAAACCAGGCCACCTAGGTTGGCAGCACATGCAAACTACAGTGGCCGCCACCTTACCTAAACGGGAGAGACTAGACATAAATTAGGTATAAGCTACCTAATGCTTAGGTCTTCCATATATCTCTAAGTACTACCTTTAATACTATAACTGTATACCTACCTACCTATAAAGGTAAAAATTTAATATATATATATATATAAGTAGAAAATATAACTACTTAAAGGGTAAAGGTATAATAAATGTTGTTGTAAATTTAAAGTATGTATAATATGTATGTATAGTTAGATACTTAGAGAATATATGGATAGTACGGGTGGCCAACGTAGGGTGCATGTGAAGCCAACCTAGGTGGCCTGCAATAAACAATCCAAACTCCAATCGTTATCAACAGTTGGTAGCCTACCTACTTACTTACTCACTAGCGTCGCCGGGCATCACCTTCAATTGCTTCAAAGTTACCCAGGGAGTTATCGAACAGCTAGTAACCGCCACTTTAACTAAATCACCATGTCCGGTGGCAAGGTTCACCCTCGCGGTGGGAAGGGCGCCAAGGGTATCGGTAAAGGGCTTGGTGGGAAGGGCGTAAGTTGCACTATTTCTGTGGCTCAGAATGAGCTCACTTGACCGTGAACTTGTCACGCCGCTGACGTGCGCCGCACTACGAATAGGGCTTGAAACGGCACCGGTATAGCTTCCAATTTAAAGACTCATGTTGCGACGGCAATTACTAAATGAATGTCTGACAGCAAAATTCTTCGGGACAACATCCGAGGCATCAGTGAGTGCGCTCCAATCAGAGGAGGAGCAGAAGATTCACAAATTTGCTTGCACTCGAAAAGTGAAAGTGCTAATGTGTATCACTTTTAGCCAAACCAGCGATCAGGTACGCAACTCTCGCTCTTGACAGAGGACAAGCTATTGTCTTGTCCTCTTGATGCCCCCGCTTTGCATCTTTCGTGCTCCCGGCATAAATCCCGGTCGAAAGGTCAAGGTACGCGTTGTATTCGGTATTGACGCTTAGGGTAACAGACGTCTCGCCCGCCGAGGTGGCGTGAAGAGAATCTCTGCCGGAATCTACGAGGATGCTCGAACGGCCCTCAAAGAAAGACTTGAACAGGTATGGCCCTAACAACTCAACTATCAAGACTGGGCGGAACTCTCGTGTTTGCTAATCTGCATCTTCTCACTAGACCATACGCGATTGCGTCACATACTGCGAGTATCGCCAAGCCAAAACTATTACTATCAACGATGTGAGATTCTCTTCCCCATGCCATTATCTTATATCATCTTCATGCCCCTCATATAATAAAGCTTTCGTGTGAATTAGCGCTGACCGGAGACCGATATAGGTACTTCATTCGTTGAGGCGTCAAGGTCGTCCCATATACGGCTTCGATGACATTAAAGTCGGCATCCCTACGAAGAAGTAGCGTCAAAGTATAAAGCTCACTCTTCTGATTTCGCTTGTACAAACGCACTTCGCCCACCAAGGCGCGGTCTTGTCCTGGTTTCCATCAAGTTGTATTTGCCGACTTGGGGTTTCAGTAAATGCATGGCACGAGATAAATGATTCGTTTAGCCAATATCGCTTTACCATGTTACATACATAAGTTAATAACCGGGGAAATGATTGGAGGAACACCTCTGTGAGAGGGATTGTTTCCTAAATGGAAATTGCACTTTGTGGTTGAACAGTTAATTGATACCCATTGTACCTACACGGACTTCATCACTCTAGGTGCAACTAGAACGTGAAACGTCTACAAATTTATATCTTAACGGTGATGATGAATTCTATTGTCCAACAATGGTAGTAAATTATAGTGAAGGTTTGAAGTCCCACAACGACCGTTGATGCTTGGACCTAGGCATATGAGAGGTGTGGGTATTGATAGGATATCTAAACTAATCTCCGTATAATAAACGAGAGAACACGGGTATTTTGATAAAATCATATCGCTCTACGCAAGCCTATGCAACCGAAAATTCCCAGTCCCCAAACGCCGCCGCCGTCAGAGACGGTGAAGAAAGATGGGTAGAAAAGCCGACTTGGTACTTCTCCGACGCCTCCCCTGATGTCTGATACTGGTCTTATCGTTAAGGCCTCACCTTACCATCGATTGATTTTTGAACAACAAGTGCTGAACTGTTGCTGTACCTTTCGAGCTAGTTTGTTCTTGCTTTTGTTCTTGGGTTTCACGAGTTCACAACTTCCTCCTCCTCCTCGCGCCTTCCCAGTCCGCTAAAACTTTTTCGAGACTTTTAGCAGCCTTGCGCTCGCTACGCCTGAACGGCGTGTTGAACGCTTCCGGCAGAATCATTTTGCTGTTCGCGTGCTCGGCGGCAAACCCGACCTCAGCATCACGACCGCAGCGTTCGCGGGTGAGTCGCACGGCTTCGTGCAATAGGTCTCTAGCGACACCCTGGCCGCGATATTTCAGTTTGACCGTCCAGGCGCGAATAACACCGCGGCCTCCGCGAAGCAGCGAAGTCCGAGAGCGGCGTCTGCCGCCCCCGCCCGATGTATGCGTCGACGACGGCGATGGCTCGAGACGCAAAACTAGAGCTCCGATTAACTGCTCGCCAAAGCGCACGCCTAGGATAAGGTCCTGCTCCGATGGTGACGGGTCTGGAGACGAGGAGGGGCTTAGCCACGACCAGCGGAGCTCTTCTGCCGCTTGGATGTATCCTCCCGTACAGTACCGGATTCCCAGAAGGTAGGTCATGATTACACCGCATACTGTTATTAGTGAGGTTCCGAAATCCTCTCGGTACGTCCACGAATATCGGTACGTGCCCGCCAAGACCGCTATCAAAGGCGGAAGAAGAAAGGGATGAAATATTAGATAATAAGATGATGTTTGGCGTTGCTGCGCGATGGAGTCGGCAATAAGGCGCATGGCATCCTCTTTTTGGGATTGGACCTCTAGGATGCCCGTCGTCAATGGAGGTATGTCGTCGGGTATAGTTTTTATGGAAGGGTCAGCCACTGCGAGGGGTGAAGATGGTGGTGATGACGAGGTGGTCGAGGAGATCGGGTCCATAATGGGATCCATCATGGGTGATGACAGTCCAGAGGAGCTGGCGACAAGGTTGGCTCTCAAGAAGATGAAGAAAGCTAGTTGCAGTTTGCGGCGTTAGGCTCGTAGTCATCAAAAGCAACCTCGTTAATACGAAATAGTCGAGTAGCTTAAGAAACTATATTGACAGTGCTGAGGTATACTACTTAGCAGTACCTTGGTGGTAACTGGGTTTGGTTTACTTCTACCCTTGCGGCTAGGTGGAATGAAACTTAATTGAGCACATAGGGACTGTGAGAGCTTGAGATTGGGGGAAACAATGATATAATAGTACCAGTCAATTCAGAACAATGGCAAGTGTGAAGAATGAAAATGTGGGAATTACAAAATAAACCATCAGTAAATAAATATATATATATAAACTTACCAGTACTAGTCTTCAGACCAGGCACTGCGCTCACCCGTTGTATTATGGTATCATGGCGGCAATAGGCATTTAGATCTAGCTCGCGAACCACGTGGGCCATGCCGGCATAATGACTGGCGAGCCAGTCTGGAAGCGTCACGGTGTGTGCAAGTGGGCGCGGTCAAACGGCCAACCGCTATTGAACGCCGTGTTGCGCTGATGGGGTTGTAGTGCACCCCTCCCCCCTAAAAAATACCAAAAAAAAAATTAAACCCTTGACGCCGACGGTGGGGTTTAACGAGAATTATCGTAGCAGCGCAATTAGTAGCCGAATTGTTGAAATTTGCACCCCAGCTTACGCTAAAGACTGCAACGGGCGAGCCAGCCACGAGACAGCCGCAAAAGGCCCTGGAGTAGAATTTGCGCCCGCAGACTGGGTATTATTATATGTAGAAACAACCACGAGCCCGATTGCGGATGGCGGGGTGGTGGATGTGCCGAAAATCTTGATGTTGATGCGATCAACGCGAAATAGGATTTGAGTAATGGCAATCAATGATGAATAGAATAAATATTTGGATTAGGAGGGGAAAAAATTGTTGAAAGCGGGATGGGAGAAAAAGGGAAGTGGTTAAGAAAAGATGGTGATCGACGAGGAGGGCCCGTTGCCGTGATTATATGGCCGTCTTAAGAATGGTGTTGCTGCTGCTGAGACAATCCTGCAGACGAGCAGAAGATAACCCTGGGAACCACTGATATGAAGAACCTAGCGCCAACGATACCAGACCACTGATTCCATAATCCTGGGGTGGCCGGGCACGAAGACGACAGACAAGATGACGAAAGGAGGGCGAGATAACCTCAGGGTTGGGTTAGGCTTAGCTAGATAGATAGGTATCTGCTAGATAAGAGACGTGGGAGCGAATAGGATGGCGATGATTCGTCGTCCCCTCCCATACGACACCTGCGATTTGCGTCTCGTTGGCGCTTTGCTTTACCGGACTCTTGGAAGGTGTCGCGTGAGACGGAAGCTGAATTCGTCGAATCATCCAGTCCGTCCTATTTCTTTTTAGTCGAGAGTCTCGATCGTTCTGTGGTTGTAATCTATTCCAGGCGCAGGAACCCTATGTACTACTGTATGTAAGAAGCCAGGAAGGCTGCAGCACACAGACTACACGAAAATCAAAGTGGAAAGGATGTCAACGATGCTGTATATGTACTGCGCTATGGTAATGAGGGCCCTTCAGTCCAAGCCTGTCGTCTATCTAGGCAGGTAGGCATATATATATATATGTAGGTATATATTCGTTCAAACACCTCGGAGGGGCAATCAACTTCGTCCCCGAACCGTTCCCTTCATACTTATGCCTCCCAATTCCGGGGAACTCTGGGCAAGTTGACTGAACTAAGTATCGCATTGCCGAAGATGGTAGGAGAAGGGGTTGGGGCCCCTTGTTGGCCATGGGCCATGGGCCGATCACGGTATTACCTAGGCTAGGGTTCTATCTAGGGTTCTATCTAGGGGTCCTGTGTCGTCCGTCTCTTAATACGATCAACAGCAGTGGTAACAGGATATTTGTTATTTGTTCTTGCTCCTTCGTCGATCTTCCGGCCCTCTCTTGACACTTGCCAGAAGTACCGGTAGAGGTTGAGCAAGCGAGTTAGGAGACGGAAGGGAACTTTGCACAGGATTCTACACAGGATTTCGTCCCTCTGGTCACAAAGCAGCAGATCAATGCCATTGGAATGCTGCTTGGCAATACCACCCATTCGAGCTGTTGCGCCAGACGCGGCCGCGGGGTTGGAAGGGTGAGGATCCTGCTGTGGGCAACGCAGCCAATTGAGAGACCCCGTCGTATCAACTTGAAACAACCATTCCAACACATGACGGACAGGTTTGAAACAGCCCCAACGCGGACCAACGTAAGATTCTGCTCGTCAGAACATCCATGCGTGCGTGGGTAGGGGAGTTGGAGTTGGCTCTGAGCCGAGATTGGTCGGCGGCCACTCTAGCGCGTCTGCACTGTGGTTTACTGGCTTAATGCACTAATGCAAGTATTTCCGTCATGGCAGCCGACGCGATGACAGCTGCTGGCATCTGCCATCCATTCTAGTATCTATACCTACGTAGGTAACTAACCATAAGCGTCATTTATAATTGTATACAGTCGCAAGAAGGAAAGTGATATAAGAGATTCAGAACCACAGAGCGTGTTACAGTCATTTGCCATGGTGAGTGTCACGCTGCAATGATTACACACCAAGTCAGCTGACGGGGTACCTACTACCTATGTGAGTACCTAGGTAGGTAGGATGGACATGCATCATGCCTTGATAAGCTTGAATCCCTATCCCCGCACCATGCTCGCCGTTGATAACGAGGTCTTGTCGGTTCGGTATGTTTGATAGCTATGGTATGTAGGTATGTTGGGTCTATGTAGATAGGCTTTGAACGAGTGCCGTATGTGCAATATGCTCAATTTCTTTGTAATGTCGTAGGTCGGTGACTCTTTCTTACACCAGGTAGTTAGGTGCCGTATGCTATACCTACCCCGCAATCTCAAGCTACCTACAATAATCAGAGTAGGTACCTAGTAATAGGCTGTGAAGATATTGTTGAGACAGCAAGTCCGGATTAAACGTATCTAGTATGTACGGAGATACGACCTTTGTCTTTTATAGCCAAAATAATAGTAGAAAATAGTGTTTTTATTTCTCTATTTAAAGCATATCATTGCTAGTTAGTTACCAATAGGAACGGAACCAATACACCGGAACACTTCGCTTCTGCATGGATTAAAACAAAGTTTTGCCAGGTTCTAATCCTCTGGCGTTATGAGATACTTAAGACTTGGCAGTAGAACTCCTTTACAATACTACTTTTCATGAGCAGGCCAACAACTATGATTTGTCCAGCCTTAGGTAAGGCGAGATAAGACAAGCGCAAAGTCACAGTACATGAGGAGGATGAAGGGGAGATCTTGAATGCGATTATATTCCCTGGTATTCTTAAATTTAAGACCTAAATGAGTAGTTGTGTCTCGGTAGCGTCGGTAACGTAATGGTTTAGGTGTACCGAAAAGGCGTCCTGCCCTCCGAGTGACGTGGTTTTCCACCCTTACATAGTTGGACAGCTTTCGATAGTAGCGAAGAAGACGACTGACTTGCGAGTTTCGTCCAAGTTGCCTCCGCGTTATCGTGTCATCCTTTCACATATCCGGTGTGTAGTATATATAGAGTACCTCTAAACGCAAGATGTAGTTGGTTTGAAGTTGCGGGGTGGGAATGGAGTCGGGTCCCTCCATGATTGAGGGGCCATCGATACTTAAGTGTGTGCCTCTTACCGCGCTAATTCCCTGGTCGCATCTCATGATCCCACACGCTTCTGCACAAGTCCTACCAAGCCTCATGTATTCACACCCGTAGTTGCACCTATACAGTACCAGTACACTAGGAATGCATCACGGATTACCTTCCTAGCACTGCTGAATGGAATGTTCTATGCTTATCGACTCATGATTGGCTGCGGCAGGCTCTATTCGGTCATAAGCGAGCTGTCTTGAAATGCGGCAGAGAGGCGTTCCCAGTACAGTGGTTGGTCAAGCCAGACGAAAGCAATCTCCTACTAACCTGTCCAAGCACTGCTACGTTGCCAGTTCACCACTTACTTACCTGCCTAGTAGTGCCTACCTCCTACTTCGTAGCTATACCTACTTACCAAATGTGTTCTACTTTGGGCTGACCTTGAGGGACTATCTACTTACGAGTTTAGATGTACTAAGTAGGTACTTGCAGGTACTACAACACTATCCACACGATACCTACCTCCCAATAGCACCAATTCAACACCTACCAGAACTCCTCCTCTTCAACCTGGCATTCTCATGAATTCTTTACCTCATCGCCAGTTTCGCTTTGCGGAGGGTTGAATTGCTCATCTGCAACAAGTAACCAGCAGAAATCGTATTGCTGGTTTTATCCTTGTTGTCTATTGTTACTCACCGAGCCCACGTGCGTGACGGCTTGCTACACTTAAGAGCACGGAGACTCTAGCCGTTTCCAAACGAGAATACCTCCCAAACCACCGTTGACTCCGAGATCGAGGTCCGTCACCACTTGGAGTGACGGGCTTCGAAAAACGATCCTGAATAGGGGTGACGATGCTGAGTTTCATCTCCTGCATCAATGCCTGCTAAGCCGTCGTCTTCTCCGGCTAGATAGCAATGGAGTGCGCGCTCTCTAGGCTCTCGCCAGCGTGCAATACGTCCAAAGCCGAACGACTCATTTCAGGACTGGATATCAATTTCACAGGACGTCGAATAGCTTCGAGTTCTGCGCTCTCGGTTGTATTCGCTCCGGAACCACCAGTATGGGGACTTTCTGCTGTGATTGGACAAAGCCCGAGTCCTGCAGTCAGCAACGAGTTGCTGCCACTCAGCTCGGCGACAAGGCGCAATGAGCGACCCCTGTCTGCCTTGTTGCCTACCCCTGTCCGCGTACCTCACCGAGTCACTTTGGACCCCAACTCCACAGCTTGCTCATCCTATGCATCATGGTGCGCCGCGAACGACTGTTGTAGGGCATTGCCGACCACAGCGCACGGGATCTAGTCCAGAGGGAGCCAGCTCACCCAATGGCTGTCAATCCTAACCTGCGGTCATTGCCGCGGGTCCTATGTACAGGTACCATTGAACCGTGTTCTTAAGTCCTACATCGTCATCCCCCATAGACTCGGTAGCTACTCCAGATCTTTAAGATAAAGACATGGGTGGGTGGCGATCTACTTACCCGTAAGCTTCTTTTCTCTCTTCAAGCCTTAGTCTGTGCTTTGCCATATCTCTCTCCAATATGCAGCCAGAGAAGAGCCTTGCCACCGGGGCCGAGCCAAAGCCCGTAGAAGATGAGCCTGTTGACACCGACCCACGGCCGGGTCGGCCATCCACCGCACATTCGAATAGGTCGTCACGTATGAGAAGACACTCAGAGGCGAGCGTGCGGTCCGAGTCTTGCACTCGTGCTCCCATATCATGCGTGTGAGTCCATCCCTAGACTCATTTGTAATCTGGAAAACCATACACATAAATTGCTAATGTTCTTAGCTCCCGGGGAAGCATATCTGGAGACGATTGTGCCCGACAGAGATTCATCGTATGGGCTGCTGTGAAGCGAAATAGATCTACCCGCATGGCAGTTAGCGAGCGGCTGCGCTGTCCCCTTCTACGTTGTGGTCAACATTTCGAGTGTCATGAAGAGATGTTAAGGCATCTAGCAGATTGCCAACACCTTGCGACAGGTGAATATGTCTGCTATGACTGCATGAAAGTCGAGCGCTTCAACGATAAGAAATGCACGTGCTGCTTCGGACAGCCCACGAAAAGAAGACGTATCATCAACATGGCTAAGAATTTTTTCTCGAACATCGGCAGCGCTAAAGGACGGTGGGAGAGTCTTAATCCATCTACTAATATACCTCAGTCCTCTCGTCCTGTCCATGAAGCTCTCGTCAGAGATACTCAAGGCCAGTTCAGTCAAGCGCAGATGGGAGAGTCAATACCACAAGAAGAAAGTGTCACAGCCAGTGAGCAGTTGGCATCTGAGCAACCCCAGCTTGAGTTGAATGGCGCTGAACTACTTGAGTTGGACTCGACACCAGTACTACCCACGGCGGAGCTCGATGCCGTTACCTGCAACACACTTCGCAGCGGCATGTTAGATTCGTTGGATTCGTATGCTGAGACGCGATCGACGCCACTATCTCCAATACCTAACCTTGTGCCGAAACCTCTAGGGTCACAAGGTGTTTCTACAATGCTTCGAATACAAACAGGAACTTCGGGCAACGGACGACGACCATCATTAGCTCTCAACACTCAAGTTGACCACTTCAGAACCAAACCGCGTACAACGTACTTATCTCCAAGCTCGCCACTTCGAACTAGTTCTAATGGTATATCTCCGGTAACCCCTTGGAGCACGATTTCAAAGTCTTCGGCTATATGGTCCGCGGACTCCGGTCGAGAAAATATGTTAGCTTCGCCAATAACACCGCTCAGCGCTAACCCACAGCCGACAATACTGCAAGAAGGCCGCATGTTCAGGACCGAAAAGGATATGGATATGCTTGCCTGTTCAGAAGACCCTTGTTGTTATACACAGGGAAATGGTCCGGAATTGCCGGGGAATAGTCAGCTTTCCTCCTCCATACCCCGACTATTATCAGATCCTCTCTTGTTTCCATATGGTCCGAATGATAGTCATTCGTGGTTCTCCTCCATGAATACGGAAATATCGCTCAGCACTTCTGTCAACATGATGTTCACGGATCAGGACGCTAAGCCAACCATATCTCGAGACTTTATAGGACCCCAGATCTCGGGTTCAGAAGCCAAGGCGCTTGTCGAACAGGTGTGGCTTGCTCTAGGCCAACACTTCTCTAACTCAATATCAGAGCTTAGTAGACTTCAGCATAATCCACTTGCCGACAACTTCAGAGTATATACCCCTAGAGCAGTAGCTTCTGAGGGCCTCGCAAGATTCAGGAAGACATTGAGCCACCAGTATTCTGCCCACCCAGACCCTCTTGAATATCTCTGTTTTGTTCATCTAATCTATGCCATATCATTGATCACGTACGAAGAAAGTCTTCTCGCACGATCAAATAAGCTTTATGAGCAAGCTATAGCTTACAGTTCACTATTTGATGGGCCTCAGCGTGATAATTACCTACAGATTGTGACCACTATTTGGCACCAAAATTCTCCAGAATCATCATCACGAGGGCAAATTCGAGATTCTACGAATAGAACCACAGTAGACAAGGGTAAAGAACCAGATTACCAAACTAGGTCGATACCTGTTGCGAATCCTGATCCCCTAGTGATCACGGGTCAAAACTTCTTGGATGGTTAGTAATTGTCATGCCAAAACACGGTACCATGTATTGGAGATCCAGGCTAACCAGAAACAGAACTGGAGAGGATCATGGTAAATGGCAACATCCAGCAACCTCTCGAAGTCCTTAGCTCAGAGCTTTGGTCATCTCATCTTACATCGAATCAGCCTAACTTACAGGGGCCCAATCCTCTGACCATCGCATCCACATTCCTTGTTCAAGATTTGTGCCGCAGGTACCATGACGCTGAAGACTTCCTACCGAAATTAACAGCGATTGGACACAATGCTCGGGCAGGGTATTATGTCACAATTCGCAAGCTTGAACTTGACCTCATACAAACAGGAAAGGTAGGGAAATCGATAATCTCTATTTACTGCGTTGTACATCGGATGCCTTTTATTGAAGATCTAATGCCCCGACAAGACATCCTTCGTTCCCTCCAGACTTATAGGTTTATGCTGACTCTTCCCTAAAAGGACTATTTTACATCAAACGACTCCCTGGACCAGTTTACCTTTCAAGTTCGGCATTCATGTGATCAAATATATTCTCAATCTGGAACTCGGTCGCGATCAGAGTATCATCTGCTCGGTATATCTCTTGTTGATAGTCTGGTTCGAAGTGTTGCTCGTGAGCCTCAGCAGCCTCAACAAGGACAGCCGGAATACCCAATTATGTCGTATCCATACGAGGACGAGTTCTTACGAGAGTTCAAGACGTTTGATTGGAACTACTCAATGATACCTACAACACAGCAGCCGGGAGGAGTGGCAGATTATACTCCACTGGATCTAAGCACACTTCATTCTGTTACTGCAGACACAAGCCATCTACCCATGAGGAGTGACGCCTCCGAGACCCCTAGCGACACTTATACAGTCTCTTCAGCCCCGTTATCGGATGCACCACCAGACATTCCCACCCCTAAGACTTTTAGACCAACACCACCCGCAATGGCTCAGGGCGAGGGCAGCGAGACCTTACGCCATTCTACACTGGCCTCATCTGGGCAAAAGGTAGAGGCAAATGAGCGCTGCGAGATTTGTGGTTATAGGCCGAAAGGGGATCCCCAGTGGTTTAAAGGAAGCATGGCGAAACACAAAAAAATGCAGCATTCGACCAATCCCCCCATTATCTACAAGTGCCCATTCCCGGGCTGTAATTCAGAATACAAAAACCGACGGGACAACTTACGGCAGCACCAAATCGAAAAGAATCACTTTGTTGGCGACGAACGGCAGATTCGCAGAAAAAGGAAAGAACGCTCCTAGACGGCGGTAACTCGCGTGTGTACACAGTTTTCGACTTGAGTGTATTTTTCTACAACGACGTGCAGGTTCAGCGTCGCTCCTAAGATTTAATTTGTTTTTTGCCTCCTAGCGAGACCTAATCTCTAGACTATCGCACCTGCATCTAGCTTTGCGAATTTCTACCTCGGCTACAGAAAATGGGAGTTTCTTCTCGCCCAGGCTATATCTCCATTCACCGCCTCCAATTATGATTTGCAGGTGTCATTGCATAGAGGGACGGTACAGTAGAAGGCACTTAGAGATATCTTCAGAATAGACGTGGGTGGGTGTGGCGGAGTACAGGCTGGGCGCACTTAACGACGAGACAACGACTGGTAGCTAGGACCGACTCTATGCCGGCACACATTTTTTAGAAGAGGTAATCAAGCAGTTGATACTATTCCGGGCCTCCTCTCTGCAGTGTTCGTAGAGCGGACAATTAGAGATAGCCAGATTCGCTTGATTGTATGGGTACATGCAGGGGGGCCGAACCGAATCCCCACCTGTGATCATGACGAGACACAGGCAAGGTCTCAACATTGACCACTTACCTAGTCCTCTTCACCTACAGTAGGGATCTCTATCCTCCCCTGCTCCCTACAGTATGCACTACTGTTGCTTAGCTTCACCGCCTCCTCGGTCCCTGTCTTGTCTTGACTTATCTGGTTGGATCTGCTCTGCGATTTCCGCAATACTAGTATGGCATGGCATGGCAACATATCTATCTATCCCAAGAGAATATCCCACCCCTGTCGCCAGCGACTTCCACAAAAAAAAGAGCCGGGACGAAGGAGAAGAAAACGGTGTACAAAGGTACGTATCTACATATATGTACAACAACCCGGAGTCGAGCCCGCAGAAGATAAAAAAGAGCCGCGGACGGCGCAGTATTACAGTGGCACACTTTTGCCAGGTCTCCGGAATGGGGAGCACAAGAAAGGTCCTTGCAGAGTCCTTGCATGCCAACTGTTTCCACACGGCGGTGGGACGGTAGGTAGTGTATGGTGTAAAATACGCGTCGACAATAGAGACCATACTTACATAGGTAGTAGTAGGCGCTTGTACTACCAACATTGGCGCTTAGATGGTGGAAAGGGGGTTTCGAGACTAGGAACTGCACTGTTCGTAGACCACTTGGCGTAAATGGCAGCGCATTGTTTAGTAAAAGTGAGAGAGAAAGAGAGAAAGAGAGGGGGGGGGGGGAGGGAGAGGCAAGTTGGGTAGGTAGGTAGTTTCTCGTAGGGCTGGGTTTTCCAGACAGAGACAGGGGAGGTTGCATGTTGTTGCATTGGATGTCACGGTACCTCGACCGTCTAAAATGGAAAATGGTACCTATGCTGGACGCCAAGCAAACCAAACAGGGGCTTATCCTGCGGTTGGCTAACAGGCTTGGCGCAATCCTTCGCAGAGAGGGGCCAGCCCTACAGGGCAGAAGAGGGCAGGCCGGGGGATGGTGGGATGATAGGATGATAATAGGATGGGATGATGGGAGGGGGGAGGGATAGGTCTGGATAGGGATAGGGGAGGCAATATTTAGTTTACTTAGCGACGCGCATTTTCGGGATTCACAAATCGGAGGTATTTCAAGGCTTGACTTTAAACCCGGCACAACAACCTTCTTTTTACCTACCGCCGACCGGTACTGAAGGCCCTACATGCATATAATAATGGCATGAGAAATCATCGTTCTCATATTCATAAGTTTGTACTAGGTAGGTAGTAGAACACAGTAGGCTAGCTAGCAAGATCTCCGGGGGTAAGAAAGAGAGGTGACTATGAGGGTTAATTAATATCGCACCGTTATTTGCTCATTTGACCGCTGCGTTTACGTGTAAGTAATAGTTTCCTTCCATTGCTTTCCCTCTTCCCCTGCTCTGTTTCTCGCTTACCCCTACGTACGTACGGCTAACCGACTATAGTACATCTTGCGCGATGTCGGAAAAGAGTGACATGGAATACTGAATACCTAAGTAGGTGGTGGACACAATTTCAGGTCGATCTTTACTGAGACATGATATCATTTGGTTGTCTTACTCCCTCTACTTCGTACCTAGCATATAAGCGAGGATCTGATGAGGCTCCATGTTATGCTATATCAAATCCCCTTTTTTTCCTACTTACATACATGTATGTACCTAATTAGTCTCTTCTGTTCTTCTTTCCTTTCCCGGGCTTCTGGCGCCTGTTTGTAAGGCTATATATACTTACTAAGTATGCAAGTAGCTGCCCATCGTGTACTACCTAGGTTGAGTTAGCACGGGACTTTGCAATCCAGGGTGGATTCTAGATTCTACCACCAGCCTAGCTGGCCGAGCTGGCGTCCATGGACGTTACTCAGCACTTCCACCGTTTTATATCAATTCTACTACTATGTCGTGCTATATCGTAGCCATGCTTTTTGATTTGTCTAATAGTGCCTAGTTATACGTTGATAATCACTTGGTTAGCGACACTACCGTAATAATAGCATTCCGAACTCCTGCTAATTCTTTGATTTCGTATGGAGCGAGCATTGAAGATCCGCACCATGCAACCGGCATTGACGGTTGGCGCCGTTCCCGTTGCGTCAAATCACCTGTCGCATGTCTCGTGCGACTGCGTTACGGTATCCGCGCAGCTATGAGGCTGTTCAGTGTACTACTACGTATGTAATGCTAGCATTGCTTGTGACGTGCTGAGAGGCGTTTGAGAAGGATCGCATTGCAGGGCGGAGCGGAGCTACATTATAGTACACGGACATGGCGGGAGGCACAGCGAGCGGGCTAGGGCATCTGTAGCTCGTACCTACACCGTACCTAAGTGGGTAGGGAGCGCAGATAGCGCGCCTAGCTTTCAAGAACAGTTTGGTTTGTGGAACGACACTCGACGGACAGTCTCGACAGTCTCGACAGTCAGACAGTTAGACACGTACTACGTAAGTGAGCGAGCGGGTAGGCAGGCAATAAGGGTTATGCACGATGAAGATCCGGTGCACACCTATCTACCCCATGCACTCTCGCACGTAGGTGGCTGCTAGGAATGCGACTCAAGACTGCCCTTAACGCCATCCGGAGAACTAAAACATTCCATTTCTCGAAGCTTTACGAAACGGGTCGGACTTTTGAGCCTCGCCACGCGCGGCTCGCTCTCCGAATACTTGGTAACTACTTAGGAGAAAGAACTTGTTGTGAGTCTTGAGACTGCACTCCTTACCTCGGTAACAGCAGGACGTCCCGCATACATAGGTACTACACACGGCGGGACACGGCACATACACTACCTACCTAGTATACCACGCACATATCTTTGCGGTGTGGTGTAATCCGCCGACCTTCCTACACGACGTGCATAGGGGAAAGGAGGGGAGAATTGAGCGCCATTGATCGGCAGTCTGTCATTCCGGAGCTCGAACCGGGTGTGGAATAAGGCAATATTAATAATGCGGAAGATATCTCGGCTCGTAGTCCATCAAATAATAGATAAGCAGCAGCCCAGTGGCAAAGGAAGCCAACGAAGTTTACCTTATACTCATCTACCTTGGGTGTCTATGCGCGCTTACTCGCTCACTAATAGACATCTCATACAGTTTACTCTATGAAAACCCCCTCTTTCGTCTTCCTCTGCTAAAGCAAATTGATAAAAGCCAGACTGGAATACCAACGTACCTTCTGTAGTAGTCAAGAATCGAGCCAAGTTCTGTCGATATTGTACGTAAGAATCGCTGGTTACCGATAGAGCAGGAAGGAGTGTAAAGTCATGTCGTAAACAGATACGGCGCAGCAAAGTAAGACGTCCGAGTACACCAGCCCAGATGCTCCTGGGGACGCGAAGATACATAATATAACGCAGGGTAAGATGAGAATAGCCCGTACATTGATTCTGTCTGGCTCGGCCATGCCGGCTGCTACCCTGTTTCTTGCGCATTGATACCTTTACCGTAACTATCATTCGTTCCACTCCTCCAGGTGCTTCTACCATCTATGCGATATGCAGTAGGTAGTATGTAGTCGGTGAAGAAGGGGTCTATACGCAACAGTAGTAGCGGGCTATGTGTGGTATAGTATAGTATAGATTATGTCGGCACTGAAGGAAGAGAGAAACCTCAGACGACCAGATAACAACCCGTCGAGCTATTTTGGCTGGCTGAATATTGACGCGGAGCAGAATTGAAACCTTCATTGTTGCGAATACCGTAAAACCTCTCCCGTTCTTTCATTAGCTACCTACTCGTGTGGAGTATGCTCGCTGCGTCTTATGCCTCTCTCCTGGTGTGTGACACAAAGTCCATGGATGATGCCGACATAAATCATTTCGGGTGAATAATTCTGACATCACGTAATAACGGAGACCACAACAGCCGAGCGGTGAGCGTCACGCAGCTCATAAAGTAAGCTTAATGTTTCTATCCGATACGTGCCTTTGATTTGCGAAGTAGCTAACTTGCTAGCTATGAATTCATCCGTCCCTTCCGTTCACTTGAATTTAGTATTCATCATGTGTTTGACTGTAAGTCATAGCCGCAGCTACTGCTAGCGCCTATTTGATCGAGACATTTTTACTGTATCATTGTGAACTTACAACCGGACGAAATGTAATTACATGTTGACTTCCTTCATAATAACCGACCTTAATAGAACTAGGTTGAGATATCTTGATGTTCCCCTTGCTGGTTCAGCTTGCACGTGCATGCCTGAAGTACAACAACAGACCACGAGATATATCTTAGATAGAACGGGCTGGATGTCGACAGCCACCAGTTGTTTGAATCCATTGCCTTCTCCGCTTGAAACTCTCCCTTGAGCCCCGTTACTTCCTTACCAACCGAAGTTCATATCCACTCCAACACACTTCCTTGCCATATATTGGGGTCTGGATGTTTGCGAATAAGAGGGTCTATATCATGTTAATCATAGTAGTGTCTGCATTCTCTAGCTACATAACTTACTTCGGAAGCCACACTTATAAGCATAATTGCGGTCAATGACCCAATGCTCGTATTGGACCAAATCTGGTTTGGAACCATAGTGGAATGCGAATTTGTCAATCTATTGAGGAGTATCAACGGCTAGATACCGGCACCTTCCGACGAGGAGCTAGTTGTTCAAAGGACAGATGAAAAAGAAAAACACTTACCATATTCACAATCTCGATGTAATTCCTCAATTCGAAGTCCCAAAGCGTCTCGTTGTCGATATTGCTTACTTTCATCATGACATTCATGCGAATCAGAGAGTTCCGCCCACACATTGCCCTCAGCACGTTCTCCAAGACCTGGAACCAAACGCGGCCGCTGGAATACCTCTCGCCTTCGCCGAGAGATAGCCTGATTTCCATGAAGCGGACATTCTGGAGTGTGGCCCTACTTATCAAGTAAGTAAGAGGTAGTGGTCTCGGGCTGCCCATAATCCACGGTGGAATTCGATCGATAACGAAAGGGCGTAGCCGGAGGACACTTAATGTCTCCCGTGTAATTTGCTTGCAGAGGAGGAGTACAGTTGGCGTAGAGAGCCCCAGTGTGAATCTATTTGGTACGCTATTGAGTTTTCGCGCTCTGGAGGCATCTATTTGGTTGTAATAGGCGTCACAAAGCTGCCGACACGTAGGGTAATCGATGGCATATTCGTATATGGCGTTGCGGACCTCTGCTGGGAAGCTACTCAAGAAAGAAAACCCATGCACCTTGTCCGCTGATAAGCACGTCGGTGTTGCGGCTGGGCTACAATAAGCTGGGAAGCAACTCAAGGCTGGTTGAACTTCATCATGTCGCGGCCGGAGCAGCATAGGACTCGGAGGTAGTATCTCAGCTTGGAGCCTCGCTCTGGCGTTGGGGTCTTTGGACGCCTTATCGACGCGTTGCCTGCCCCGACGCTGCATGGTAGTCCAATTATCATAATCGTAATCAGCCTGGTCGTCGCGCATAGCTGCTATTCTACCACGCTAGCAACCGAGAGAGTTCCTATCGGAGGGTTAAGAAAAGAAGCGAAGGTTGGTTCGTGCAGGAGCACGAGAGGCGATAAGATGGCCACTCAACAAGGTAATGACCACCTCTCAACACAGACGTAGCTTCTAAGCCAGCATTCCAAGCCGAACTTGATATGACTACCCAGATAGGTGAGTGCGTTATATCTACCATCGCCTAGATGTATGGCCTTGTCCTGTACCTAGAGTTCTTGGTAGAATCGTAATGCATAGGTGCACACGGCGCTATTTCTCGCAACGCGATTGCCTGTAAGCTACAGACAGGCAAGTAGTACCAGAACAGCTTGATGGCATATGCTAAGCTTCTCTTTCTCAAAAGGTACACTGAACTCATGAAAACTGTTCAGGAAGCCCGAGTGGAAATGATAATCGACGAGAGTTACTGCGGTTGAACACGATAGACAAGCGTTTCTTCAGCTTGAGAAATTCTAGCACTGATTCTGAATGATTGGGAGACTTGTCGCTACCAGGATAGAGTAATATCAAAGGGGATACTCAAGGCTTCCGGTTATCTACCTCCCTCAGCCAGATAACACGAAACCAGTAGTTTCTGATAGAAATATAAGCATGAGGGACGAAATGAGCATTGAGCAGCGAACTAACGAATTCAACTTTGGGATAGCTAGACTTGGGTCAGGTCAAACGTCTAAGATAGAACGGGCGGCAAACCATACTGAGGGAAGGTCAAAGAGACAACGGGGGATTTAGCAGTATATCAGCACTTCTCCGGCAGGTCTCAGGCGTCCAACAACATAGGAATGCCTATCGTGCCGGCCCAGAATGAGGGCGACGATGAATGGTATGGTGCATGCCGCCTTCTATTGACGTGCAAACAGTTTCCCTGGCCTGAGCTCAGGTGTATGCCGGCTCTACTAGGCACGAGCTTGGAGGTCCAATGATGACGGAAACTTCAAGTCTCGAGTGGAGGGCTTCCGCCTCCACCACTTGTTATCCTGTCACACCTACCTTTCCGAGACCAATAAAAGCCACTCATCGTTTGATATGTGGCTGGTCGGCTGTGGCCATGGCCATGGCCATGCTCTCGTATCCATGCGCAACTGACACGATTCTTGTCTGGTACTTTAATCGGACATTATAGACAATTATACCATATTCAAATAATGGCAAATGAAATGGACATGGGCAGCTTCTTTCAAAAGCAGTCAGTGTCCTCAGCTCTGTAACTGATGATAGGTATAAATTGTAAGTCCAACAGTTAGTACAAGACATGCCCGCATGGCTAGGTAGACTATATATAAGACCCATGACTAGTAGGTAGTAACTTAGGAAGTACCTATGTCTCCTTGATATGAACAAGCACCCTGGTTCGCACCGGGGTGAGCTTGTGATTCAATTTGCTGGCACCAAAGTGTCAGCGGAAGAAGTAACCGTGTTGTACATACCTAGGAAGTAGAACCAAGAAGGCTCTACTGGGGCCTTGCTAGAGAGGGGCATATTATTTATATCTATTTCTAGGTATTCTATCTTAACTTACCGCTTTGTTAAGATATAATAGGTGTTTCATAAATTATGCCTTTGTATGATTGGCAGGGCAGTGATGGCGTTGAAACAGCATACATGCCTTAAATACTTGAAATAACTGATACCAGATTGATAGCTACCTACGTAGCAGCATTAGGATGCATTAGATATGATAACGTATCCCAAGTCGTACTTAAAGGGATATGGATCTACCATACACTACCTACGTATACCATGTGGAATACCGGTAGGTATACATTATCTTCTTTCAGCTCTTGGAAGAGGTCCAGTTTCCCGTTCCACATACAAGGTGGGTACCTAAGCAGTATACTTAATTCTACAGCTTTTGAAGGCCCTGTGTAGGTACCTAGAGATTCAATTGCTAGGTATAGAGGTATATATGTAGTAGCCTGAAAGCTAACAAAATTCTACCTACCTCTATATTTAATAGCAGGTAGGAACCTATAACTACACATACCTAGCATCTCATACTACTATGTACCTACCTAGGTTAGGTAGTTATGTAGAGACCTACTGCGGGCAGCCAGCGGCTGGAACCGCTAAAAATAAAATACAAGATTAGCTGGCAGGCGGGATCGCCCACCCAGAGACCGCCCACCCTACTACCTGACCTTTGAACTAGTCTAGCAGCCCACTCTAGGTAGGGAATTCCCACCCTTCTCTCTTTTCCCACACCACCACCCACCCACACTGACCAGCCCGCAAACCCCCCCCTTGGAGCTCTGCTGTTGTTAGGGTGTGCAGATATCACGATCGATCAACCTTTCACGTCTGCCCAACCACCGGCTGATGGTTGACATCACATCCATCGTCGAATCTTTGCATTCCCATACCGACCCGGCCGCGTTGCTGTTGCCATCGCCGCCTTCGTTGCTGTTGGTGTTGTTGTTGTTGCTGTTGCTGTTGTCGTCGTTGTCGTTGCCGTTGCCGTTGTTGCGTATCTACCCTGCCTTTTCTGTAGTATATTGTGCTCTGGCATGGTTCCTGTGCCGTTCCGCCTCTATCGCGTGTCAGGTACATGTCTCCAGCTTGCCAGGCCTAGCTTCTTTTGAATCCTGCCCGTCTTGGTCAACTCCGGCTCCGCGCACCATTATTACCCGTTTCCGCCGCCTCCGCCGCCGCCGTCTCTACTTCACCGATCCTCGCGTCATGTCGAGCCTCGGCCAGCCGGGCTCCAGTACCCATGCAGGCCTCAGTTTCCCTCAAGTCAATGGACTTCGACGTAGCTATCACTCTTCCACGCCGCCGAAACCTTCCGTGACCCCTCCTTACCAGCAACAGCCCCAGCAATATACATCACAACAGCCGGCTCAAGCATATCCCCACCATCTATTCTCGAATAACACACCATCCCCTGTCCCGAATGTTGCGAGCGTCTCGAATCTATCGAATGGGGCATCCAGACATACTCCGGTAGTGGCCCAGCATGCTCAAGCTGCTGTTCAGGTAGCGAGGCAGCAGCATCAGCATCAACACCAACGTGGCAATCAACAACGTCAAATGCCGCCGCAACCGGGCCCTGCCTCGTCTATGGCCTACCTTCAGCAGGCCATGAACCAACAGCCCGTTCAACAAGTCCCACAACAAGTTGCGCCGCCTGTACAGCAGTTACCCCATAACCAAGCTATACAACAGCAAGTTCAGCCAGTCCAACCGGTCCAACCGCAGCCAGTCCAACAAGTTCAACAAGCTCAGCAGGTTCAGGTCCAGCAGAACGAAGGCAATCTGATGCCTCCCAATCAGCCGCATCATCAAGCACATCAGCAGCCACGACCGCAGCCTTCGCAGCACCAGCACCAGCAGACGCACTCGCAAACCCATCATCCAACTCATCAACAACCTGGGACGCTGCAGCCGCAGTCGACTCCTCAGCCACCAGCCCAACCGCTACCCCCTCCACAATCCGAGGCTAACGTCCCGCCGCAACACGGTCACCAAGAAGATGATATGGAGGTAGACAGTCCTGGAGAGTCGGGAGAAGGAGATGATCGCCTGACTCCTAAGCTTCTAGATGGCACACCATTTGTACCTCGATCTCCTATGGGTACAATGATGTCGGCTCCGCCAGAAGGTGGCAGTTTTGCAAGCCTCGAAACCATACACAGATACGTACTCGAGTATTGCACTTCAGTTGGGTATGCTGTGGTTATAGGACGGTCGAAGAAAACGGTACCGGGCTTAAAAAAGGTTCTCTTCGTCTGTGATCGTGCCGGCAAACCGCCAAGCCGAGTCAGCCCAGAACAAAGGAAACGAAAAACCTCTTCTCGAAAATGTAATTGTCCGTTCGGATTCTTTGCCATCGAACAACGGACCCAGTGGACAATTCGTTATCGGCCAGACCAATCGCACCTACAACATAATCATGGCCCAAGCGAGAGTCCTTTGTTACATCCGGCTGCAAGGAAGCTCGACAGCAAAATGGTTGCTGCGGTGAAGAGTTTGAAGGAGTCAGGTATTTCCCGCATTCAACAGACTCTCAATGTAGTAATATGGTGGTGTTAACGATGGCAATAGGAATCGGGGTTACTCAAACGCTTGAGATCCTACAACAACAGAATCCTCACGTGCCCCTACTTCCAAGGGACATATATAATGCTCGGGCTGCGATCAATCGCAACCCCCAGAAGGTTGAAGCAGGTATTGCCGAGCAACGTCCTGCAATTTACAGTAAACCACCACCAACCGCCGAGGAGCGCATACGGTCTGACTTACGCAAAGAGCTGGCCCGGGCACGGGAAGAACTGGCCAAGGTTAGAGAAGATAGCAAAAAGGAGATTGACGAGCTCAAGGAGAAGATTCGAGAAAAGGACAAGATGATCCAAAGGTTTGAAATGTTTATTGATATTTGCAACGAGCGTGTGATGGTACAAAGAGAGCGGTTGAATGACACAAGCGGGCCGAGCCACAACAATGGCGTGCCTACGGCAAACTGAGCTTGACGATGGAGGGAAGAACATGCATTGATTAGAGCTGGGTAGGAAAACTTGAGTGAAAGCGGAATGGGCTACGGATCATCTACAGCAGCACAGGCGTTCCGGGAAACCAATTGATAAAAGCCGATAAAAGTGGTTGATCTATGTAAGCGGTTTGGCGTTGGGATTATTGGGTTCAGGGATGGCATGGGACTGGTAAATAAAAAAGTACAGAGATGATGGATCGTACACGATTTGATGATAATTGGCTAGGCGTATGGAAAAGGCCGGATACAAAAACATACCGTATAGAACACCAGCTACTTTATTGCTAAGAACGAAATGATGCTCAGATATCTTGTTATTAACGAGGGATTGGATTCGTGATGACGAGCATCTTTCCAAGAAAGGATGGCTTTCCAATTCAAAACGGAGCGAGTCACCGGGGGCCATACAATAGCCTCAAAGGCCATTCTATAAGTTGGCAAATGCAAAGTCCGGGAGGGCATTCGTGATAATGGCCAAAGCCGTGAATGAACCCTCTCATGAGACGCTGGTGCATGAATGAGGGCTGGGAATATACCTACCTATGGTGTTGTAAATCATGTGAAATAACATGTGGTGAAATGTACATGTATGTACATAGTAGTACCGGTAGTATCACGGCGCATTCAGGTACATGATAGAAGTACATAGTATCCAGACCTACAGTTTTGGAGGTACCTAATGGACGGAGGAAGATACCTATAGGTACTTACCTAATCTATTTGCAAATCTATGGGTCTCAGGTACCAATGCCCCACTCAGTCACCACAATTGAAACAGTGAACCAATTGGAGCGCGACACGGGAAGAGACCCCCTTGCTAGAGACGTCGCACCCTGTCTGTCATGCCAGGCATGCCAGGTCGCGACAGCCCGCTGTTCATCGCGTTAGTGTACCGTACCTACCTAAGTGTACAACATTTAGGTAGGCATTACTACACTTTTCGACTGATATCACAACCTCAACACATTTCCATATCTCCTGGGCGACCGTGCTAGCCGACAACATCACTCTTTTGCGCCTCGATCTTTCCTCTCTCTAATTATTACCGCCTTTCTAATCGTCTCCATTCTCTATTCCCCTTCGGCGGCGTCCTGGTTTTAATCTGATACCCCGGCCTGTTATCCTAGATATTGCGAGATATGCCACCCGCTTGTAAACCAACACAATAACTCCTTCAGTCTTCACCTTGCGCCAGGATGGAACCCGTGGTATCGCCTCTTAGTTCCGAAGGCGCTGGCGCAAACGGCGTCCCCCCGCCTCCTTTCAATATCATCGACCCCAAAGTCATAGTCGATCATCTTGCCTCAGTCATTAGTATCGCTCTTGGAGCTACCCGTGCCGAACTTGAGCGGCCTGGGAGCCTTCTTTCTAGCGATAATTACACGGACACCATTCATCGGTGTAGCCGTTTTGCGACCGACACCCAAGTCGTTCTATACATACAAAAAGATGCTGAGCCCCTGGATGACATTCCAGATGGACCAGCCGATAATGGTGGGTTGTCGCTCCTATTGTACAATGTTCCACTCTCACGTGGTCAACGCTAACTTCTGGAATATAGTCCCCGTCTCTTACACGTATACGATTACTTCTGAGATCTCCTCGTCCCCGACTACTATTGCCTACCTTGCGCTGTTAAAGCGTCCTCAAGCCATCGACCCTTTACTCCCTTTAACCTCGCAAATCCAGATCCAGACTCTCCCGGGTACCGCCTCCCTAGCTAGCCTTGTTGCTGAGCAAGGTCCTTCTGCTTCTCCATTCGAGATCCTCCACTCTATTGTTCATAATGCGCTGGCGCCTTATTTTGATGCCAATACCAAGATCCCTCAGACTGTTAATGGAGTTAGAAACCGAGCAGACGTGGACGCAAAGACGGGCATCCCTATTACCAAGAAGCGGATGACCGAACTCGAGCTGAGTTTGCTACACCTCCAACAGAATGTGGAGATCCCGGAGCTATCCCTCTCCTTCCACCCGATCGTGCAAACCGCTTTAGATGATGCTGTAGCTCGTGGCGTACGACCGTCGACCGACTTGATCTCAAATCGTCTGCTTGGTGATAGCACTTTTATGAATAATTTGCAATCGACCGTCAACAGTTGGATCAAATCCATCCAATCTATCACAAAGCTGACCCGCGATCCCGTGACCAGGACGGCGACACAAGAAATCAATTTCTGGTTGTCAATGGAATCTGCATTAGAGGGCATTGAGGCTCAACTGAGAAGTGAAGGTGTCATGTTAACCTTGGAAATTCTCAAGCATGCCAAGCGTTTCCAGGCAACTGTCAGCTTTACAGCTGACACTGGATTAAAGGAAGCAATGGAAATGGTACAGAAATACAACCAGCTAATGCGTGATTTTCCACTTGATGAGCTTCTCTCCGCGACGTCATTACCCAAAATTCAAGATGCTGTTGCGCAGATATTTAGCCATATGAACAAGAAAATGAGGTTCAGCAACTACCCCATTGCTAGAACGCTGCATCTGGTTGAAGCCATTTCTGCCGATTTGGAAGACGTTATGCACCGACTTCTTCCAGGATCCGAGTTAGTCGATTTGGACTACAAGGATTTCAAGGGGCTCATGGCTACCGCAGATGAGATTTTCAAATCATGGGATACTCAGATCAAAGAATTTACGAATATAGCTCGAGACACCACACGTCGAAGGCAAGAGAGGTTCATTCCTATCAAGGTCATGCCTAAGCATAGCGAGTTGCAGGCACGCTTGAAATATATCGACAATTTCAGGGATAATCATGAGCAACTCCAGAGGACCATCATCAATGTCCTGGGTCCAGGCTCAACAACCAATGGGCTAGGTGAAGAGATTACAGCAAACGGTGTTGCTCTTGTCGAAGAAATAGGCGATGTCGATGCAGTTGGAGAGGTCAAACAAGCATGGGAGGCATTGAAAAATGTCGATCTACTTGATGTATCTCCTGAAGGCACACAGAGATGGGTCAAGGCGGAAAACACCTACAACGAGCGGACCTCAAGGGTAGAGAATTCTATCATTGCGCGATTGCGCGATCGGTTAGCAACAGCGAAGAACGCGAATGAGATGTTCCGTGTTTTCTCTCAATTTAATGCTCTCTTTGTTAGACCTAAGATTCGAGGAGCTATTGCTGAATACCAAAATCAGCTCATAGAGAATGTCAAACAAGCCATAGCAGGTCTCCACGAGCGATTTAAACAACAGTATGGCCACTCAGAAGCGCATGCGATGGCACAGCTGCATGATTTGCCCCCAGTTTCCGGTGCCATCATCTGGGCACGCCAGATTGAGCGACAACTTGACGGATATATGAAAAAGGTTGAAGACATCTTGGGGTCAGATTGGGCCCTACATAGCGAGGGGCAAAAGCTTCAGACGGAAAGCGAGCTATTCAGGAAGAAATTGAACACGCAAGCGATCTACAAGGCATGGGTTGAAGACGTACAACGAAAACATATTTCGATCTCTGGCCGACTTTTCAATATTAACAAGATCAGGGCTGCCAACAATGCCTTGGAACTGTCTGTGAACTTTGACGCGCAGATAATTGCGTTATTCAAGGAGACTCGAAACCTTGGTTGGCAAAACTTCAATGTTCCCCATGCCGTCAACAACGTCGCAAAAGAAGCTAAGCGGGTTTATCCTTACGCTGTTAGTCTAATGGAGAGCGTAAGAACTTTTGCTCAGACAACCAAGCAGATCTCAGATATGTCTGAAGTTTCCATTTTACTCAGCGGCTACCAGAGTGATGTTCATGTCCTAATCGCTAAAGGCATCCCCCTCAAATGGGAAACGTTTGTCAATACGTGGGAGGCATATCAGAAGCCGACGTTGCTGCCAAACGGTGCTATTGAGCACTCTGGAGGTCGGGGAACTGAGAGCAAGCACGTTCTGTTTGTCCGAGAATTTGCGGCAGCCGCCTCTTTGTTGCAGTCCAAGACTGTGACGCTCATTAATATCCATATAAATGTCCAGAAAGCCTTGGCAGAGTTGGCCAGTTGCCCATATGAAGCGTCTGAGTTTGAGTCGCGATTGCAAATTATCCAAGCTGCTGTTGACCAACTGAATCTTGAGCAATACGTGAACTTAGGCTTCTGGGTTGAAAGAATGAATGAACGGATCAAGAGGACGCTCCTGACTCGCTTACAACATGCCGTCTCCAGCTGGATAGAAGCATTCCAGGATGACACTCCTGTTAAACAAATCGAGGCTCATCGTCGAAAGCAGCTAGCCCCTACAGGAGAACCACTCTTGTCAGGTAAGCCCTCGATGGCACCATTGATCCATGAAATCACCATGCGTAACCAAGTAATCTACTTGGACCCTCCTCTAGAGCAGGCCAGGGCCAGTTGGTTCTCACAACTACACGACTATATTGGCATCGTATGCAACCTACCCAAGATCAAGGCATCCCGGTACCAAATGAGCCTGACGCTAAGCACTGTTGTGCTCGAAGAAGCGCGCTTCAATGATCTCCCAAGCGACTGCACTGATATATTGGGCAGAGTCTATACCTCGATCGAGACCAAGCTGCAGGGAATCAGTGAATATGTGGACAAGTGGCTTCAGTTCCAGTCACTATGGGACTTGCAATCTGAACAAGTCTACGAGCTATTGGGCGATGGGCTTTCTAAATGGCTGCAGTTGTTACAAGAGATTCGAAAATCTCGTGCAACTTTTGACACGTCGGAAGTTAGTCGCACATTTGGTCATATTACCATTGATTACGGGCAAGTACAGGACAAAGTCAATGCGAAGTATGATCAGTGGCAACACGAGATCCTGCTCAAGTTTGCTGGACGCCTTGGCACTCGCATGCGGGAGGTGTATGCTGAAATTGAGAAGGCGCGGCGTGACTTGGAGACAAAAGGCCTTGATGCCACTTCGACTGCGCAGGCTGTGCAGTTCATTACTATTGTGCAAGCTTGTAAGAGGCAGGTCAAGGCTTGGGCCCCCGAGGTTGAGACTTTTCGCCAGGGACAATCAACTCTGGTTCGAAATAGATACAATTTACCCAGTGATTGGGTAGATGTCCAACAGGTCGATTCACAATGGGACGCTCTCAATGAGATTCTCGCCAAAAAGGCCAAAGTAGTACAAGACCAAACAGATGCTCTCAAGGCGAAGATCTTGGCTGAGGATCAGGTAGTGACGGACAAAATTGCCGAAATCGGTGTTCAATGGAATAAAGAAAAGCCTGTCTCAGGCACAATTGCCCCTGATGTTGCATCCGCTACGCTCGCCTCGTTTGAGACTCATATCACACGACTTCAAGAAGATTTTGAAATGGTTTCCAAAGCGAAAGAGGCTCTCGATCTTCCCCCAAGCCCCGAATCATCTCTCGCCATGATTCTAGAAGAGGTTCATGATTTCAAATCTGTGTGGGCTGCGCTCTCCACCATCTGGAAGAGCCTTAACGAGCTTCGGGAGACACTCTGGACTAGTGTGCAGCCTAGAAAGATACGTGGTTCAATTGATAATCTTATCAAGATGACGAAGGAGATGCCTAGTAGAATGCGACAATATGCTGCATTTGAACATATCCAAAACATTCTTCGCCAGCATTTGAAAGTGAACAGTCTTCTGGGCGACTTGAAATCAGAGGCTATTCGAGATCGTCATTGGACGAAGATCTGGAAAGACATCAAACCTGGACGACGTTATTCGCCTGTCTCCATGACTCTTGGAGATGTCTGGGATCTTAATTTGGTTGCTACTGAGGTCATTGTCAGAGATATTATCACACAAGCACAAGGCGAAATGGCACTGGAAGAATTCCTGAAGCAGGTCAAGGAGACGTGGAACAACTATCAGCTTGACCTAGTTGCTTATCAGAACAAGTGTCGTCTCATCCGTGGCTGGGATGATCTATTCGCGAAATGTAGTGAAAACTTGAACTCCTTACAAGCGATGAAACACTCGCCATATTACAAGGAGTTTGAAGAAGAAGCCTCCACTTGGGAGGACAAGCTAAATCGCGTGCACGTATTGTTCGACGTCTGGATCGATGTGCAACGCCAATGGGTTTATCTAGAGGGTGTGTTTACAGGTAACGCCGACATCAAACACCTCTTACCCATTGAGTCCTCCAGGTTTCAGAATATCAACAGTGAATTTATGACGGTGATGAAAAAGGTCTACAAACAACCAATGGTAATGGATGTGCTAAGCATCACTGGCGTCCAAAAGTCATTAGAGCGTTTAGCTGAGCTGCTAAACAAGATTCAAAAGGCTCTTGGAGAGTATCTTGAGAAAGAACGCGTTTCATTTCCGCGCTTCTATTTCGTTGGTGATGAGGACCTTTTGGAGATGATTGGTAATAGCAATGATACATTGCGCATTGCCAAACACTTCAAGAAGATGTTTGCTGGTCTCACGGGTCTCGTTATGGATGAAGAGTCCATTATCTCCGGCTTCACCTCGAAAGAAGGCGAGGTTGTCCGACTCAAAAAGGAAATCTCTCTTGCCAAGGTGCCTAAAATCAATGACTGGCTGGCTCTACTAGAAAGCGGTATGAAATATTCTCTAGCCGAACTCCTAGCTGAAGCGGTTGAGGCATACACGCCGATCTTTGAATCCGACAACATCGATCACGCAGCAGTTGATGAGTTCATGAATACATACCCTAGTCAAATAGTTGTACTAGCAACACAGGTTGTGTGGACTACCGCAGTTGAGACTACGTTAGCCGCTGGGGGTAGTGGTCTCCAGCCTCTGTTTGAACGAGAAGTTCAGATCCTTAAGCTTCTAGCAGAGACCGTCCTGGGAGACCTCGAAGTCATTCAGCGAAAGAAGTGCGAGGCTCTTATCACAGAGTGTGTTCACCAGCGTGACGTAATTGAAAAGCTCGTCAAACTCAATGCGACTTCAACGACACATTACTTTTGGCTGCTGCAAATGCGATACGTCTACGTGCCAGAGGGAGATTTCATGCAACGCCTCCATATCAAGATGGCCAATGCGAGACTCAACTATGGGTTTGAATACCTCGGTGTTCCTGATCGGCTGGTGAGAACACCTCTGACGGACCGTTGCTTTGGTACTCTCACCCAAGCCCTTGAGCAGAGACTTGGTGGATCACCATATGGACCGGCTGGTACTGGCAAGACGGAATCTGTCAAAGCACTAGGTGTTCAGCTCGGTCGTTTTACCCTCGTATTTTGTTGTGATGATACTTTTGACTTTCAAGCCATGGGTCGCATCTTCCTGGGTATTTGCCAAGTAGGTGCATGGGGTTGCTTTGATGAGTTCAACCGTCTTGAGGAGAGAATTCTCTCTGCTGTGTCGCAGCAAATACAAAACATTCAACTCGGTCTTAAGCAAGGCGCTGAAAATGACACGGCCCAGATTGAACTTGTTGGGCGCCAGCTTCGTGTCAATGCAAACACGGGTATTTTCATAACCATGAACCCTGGCTACGCCGGTCGTTCCAATCTACCTGACAATCTTAAGAAACTATTCCGTAGCGTTGCTATGTCAAAGCCGGACAAAGAACTTATCGCAGAGGTTATGCTTTACTCTCAAGGTTTCAATCAGGCTAAACAACTATCGAAGCAAACTGTGCCTTTTTTCGACCAATGTTCTGCGAAATTGTCCAAGCAAGCCCACTACGACTTCGGACTTCGGGCCTTGAAGAGTGTGCTTGTAAGCTCGGGTGGTCTCAAACGTGCCCGTCTCCTAGACAGCGACGGACTTATTGGCAAAGAGGAAGTCGTAGAGCCCGAGATCATCGTTCAGAGCATCAGAGAAACTATTGCACCTAAACTCATTCGGAAAGACGTCGAGATTATGGCTGATATTGAGTCAAATTGCTTCCCTGGTGTCCAGTACGTACCAGCTAACCTACTGCAACTCGAACAAGCTATTCGCCGCCTTGCATCAGAGAGACACCTGGTCGTCACAGACACTTGGATGACCAAAGTTCTTCAGCTCTATCAGATTCAAAATATCCATCATGGAGTTATGATGGTAGGCAGCTCCGGGACCGGCAAGTCTGCTGCTTGGCGGTTGCTGTTAGATGCATTGCAGCAGGTTGAAAGCGTTGAGGGCATTTCCCACGTCATCGACTCCAAGGTCATGTCAAAGGAAGCTCTATATGGTAATCTTGACTCAACTACTCGGGAGTGGACTGATGGTTTGTTCACCAGCATACTCCGCAAGATAGTTGATAATCTACGTGGGGAAGATTCTAAACGACACTGGATCGTCTTCGATGGTGACGTTGATCCGGAATGGGTTGAAAATCTGAATAGTGTGTTGGACGACAACAAACTTCTCACACTTCCCAATGGTGAACGTCTCAACTTACCACCGAATGTCCGTATTATGTTTGAAGTAGAGACGCTGAAGTATGCGACCCTAGCCACGGTCAGTCGATGCGGTATGGTATGGTATAGCGAAGATACCGTTACACCTAGCATGCTTGTTGCTCATTACCTTGACACCCTAAGATCTGTACCTTTCGAAGATTTGGATGAAGACACCGCCGCCGCAGGACAAAGTCCAGCTAAGACGTTACAAATCCAAAGCCAAGTTGCTGATTTGTTGAATACCTACTTGATGACCGATGACTTCATTATTGAAGCTCTCAAACAGGCTGAAGCATTCAATCATATCATGGAGTTTACTGTCGCTCGTGTCCTGACCACTCTATTCTCGTTGCTCAACAAGGCAGTTAGAGATATGATTGAATATAACGCATCACATATCGATTTCCCCTTGGATCCTGAGCAAATTGAAGTCTATGTATCGAAGAAGCTTCTACTCGCTCTTGTTTGGGCTCTCACAGGCGATTGTCCACTCAATGATCGGAAGACATTTGGCGACAAAGTCGGGACTCTCGCAAGTTTTGGATCACCTCCCTTGGATGGGACCAGCTCTCTTATTGATTTTGATGTTTCTCTACCTCAAGCCGAGTGGACGTCATGGCAGAACCAAGTTCCAGCAATCGAAGTTAATACTCATTCTATCACCCAAACTGATGTGGTTATTCCTACCTTAGACACGGTCCGGCATGAAGACGTGCTTTACTCCTGGCTTGCGGAACATAAACCACTCCTTCTGTGTGGCCCCCCCGGTTCAGGCAAGACTATGACTCTATTTAGCGCTCTTCGCAAGCTTCCCAATATGGAAGTTGTTGGACTCAATTTTTCTAGTGCTACGACTCCGGATCTCTTGATCAAGACTTTCGAGCAGTATTGCGAGTACAAGAAGACCCTTAATGGCGTTATGCTATCACCGACGCAAATTGGTCGCTGGCTTGTCATCTTTTGCGACGAGATCAACCTTCCTGCTCCAGACAAGTATGGCACCCAGCGAGCTATCTCATTTCTTCGACAACTCGTTGAACATAACGGCTTCTGGCGCACTTCTGATAAATCCTGGGTGACTCTTGATCGAATACAATTTGTTGGGGCATGCAATCCTCCAACCGATGCCGGGCGGACACCTATGGGTGCTCGTTTCCTTCGTCATGCCCCGCTCATCATGGTCGATTATCCTGGTGAATTATCTCTACTTCAAATCTATGGCACTTTCAACTCGGCAGTTCTTAAGATAATATCTTCATTACGAGGATACGCTGACGCACTTACACAAGCTATGGTTCGTTTCTATCTTGAGTCTCAGCAGCGCTTCACGCCCCAAATCCAGCCTCACTATGTCTATAGTCCCCGTGAATTAACGCGGTGGGTTCGTGGTGTATATGAAGCTATCCGTCCCCTTGAGACCCTTTCGGTTGAAGGACTTGTTAGAATCTGGGCTCACGAGGCACTTCGGCTTTTCCAAGATCGTCTAGTTGCCGAGGAGGAGCGACAGTGGACAGAACAAGCCGTTCACAGAATTGCGCTGGAATACTTCCCCAATATGGACCAATCTAAGGCGCTGGGTGGCCCCATCCTATTTTCTAATTGGCTGTCGAAGAATTACGTCCCTGTCGATCGCGAGCAGCTTCGTGATTTTGTGAAAGCTCGCCTGAAGACATTTTGCGAAGAAGAAGTTGATGTTCCTCTTATCCTTTTTAACGATGTGCTCGAGCATGTTTTGCGCATTGACCGTGTCTTCCGGCAACCCCAGGGGCATTTGATTCTAATAGGTGTCAGTGGTAGTGGGAAAACTACATTGTCGAGATTTGTTGCTTGGATGAATGGTCTCAAAGTCTTCCAAATCAAAGTACATGGCAAATACTCAGCAGAAGATTTTGATGATGACCTTCGAGAGGTGTTGCGTCGTTGTGGCTGTAAGGGAGAGAAGATCTGCTTTATCATGGACGAGTCAAATGTCCTCGACTCAGGCTTCCTAGAACGGATGAACACCTTGCTGGCTAATGCTGAAGTTCCTGGCCTTTTCGAAGGTGACGACTTTGCTGCACTAATGACAGCTTGTAAAGAAGGCGCTCAACGACAAGGCCTTTTATTGGACTCCCAAGAGGAGCTATACAAGTGGTTCACACAGCAAATTGTCAAAAATTTACATGTGGTCTTTACCATGAATCCTCCTGAGGACGGATTATCCTCGAAGGCCGCTACTAGTCCAGCCCTGTTCAACCGCTGTGTATTGAATTGGTTTGGTGACTGGTCTGATCAAGCACTCTTCCAGGTGGGCAATGAGTTAACCCACTCTGTCGACCTGGACAAACCAAACTTTGTGGCTCCTGATAGTATACCTGTGGCCTATCGCGGCCTCAATCTGCCACCCTCACACAGAGAAACCATTATCAATTCCATGGTATATATTCATTACTCTTTGCAACGATTCAACACCAAACTCCAGAAACAGCAAGGCAAAGTCACGTTCCTCACCCCACGCCACTTCTTGGACTTCGTTGCACAATATGTCAAACTTTACAACGAGAAACGGGAAGATCTCGAGGAGCAGCAGCGACATCTCAATGTTGGTCTAGACAAGCTCAGAGATACAGTCGAAAAAGTTCGCGACCTGCGGGTTAGTCTTGCTGAGAAGAAAACACAATTGGAGGCAAAAGATGCGGAGGCCAACGAAAAGCTTCAGCGCATGGTTGCTGACCAACGTGAAGCCGAACAACGCAAGAACACATCACTAGAGATTCAGGCGGCCCTCGAAAAACAAGAAGCAGAAGTAGCAACCCGAAAGGAGGTTGTCTTGAGTGATCTCGCCAGAGCTGAACCAGCTGTTGAGGAAGCTAAAGCCAGTGTCAGTAACATCAAGCGGCAGCATTTGACAGAAGTTCGATCTATGGGTTCACCTCCGCAGGGTGTGAAGCTCGCCATGGAGTCTGTGTGCACCTTGCTGGGTCATAAGATAACAGACTGGAAGAGTATCCAAGGTATAGTTCGACGGGATGATTTCATTGCAAGCATTGTCAATTTTGACAACGAAAAACAAATGACCAAGTCTATGAGGACAAAAATGCGATCCGGCTACCTGAACAATTCCGAGTTCACATTCGAGAAGGTCAACCGTGCCAGTAAGGCCTGTGGCCCTTTGGTTCAGTGGGTAGAAGCCCAGGTCAATTATTCTGAGATCCTCGACCGCGTTGGGCCATTGCGAGATGAAGTCGAACAGCTTGAGGAGCAAGCCCTCCAGACTAAGGCTGAGGCCAAGGCTGTGGAAAACACGATTACCAGTCTAGAAGAGAGCATCGCTACGTACAAGACAGAGTACGCCGCTCTCATTAGCGAGACTCAAGCCATCAAAACTGAAATGTCTCGCGTACAGTTCAAGGTGGACCGAAGTGTGCGATTATTGGATAGTCTGTCATCAGAGCGAACTCGATGGGAAGAAGGTAGCAAGTCATTTGAAACCCAGATCAGCACATTAGTTGGTGATGTTTTGGTCGCTGCCGCCTTCCTCGCTTATAGTGGCCTGTATGACCAAACATTCCGTAAGTCAATGATGGAGGATTGGCTGCACCAGCTTCATCTTTCAGGTGTCAGCTTCAAGCCCCACAATCCCATGACCGAATACTTGTCCACTGCGGATGAACGACTATCATGGCAAGAAAATACACTACCAGTGGATGATCTTTGTACAGAGAATGCGATCATTCTCAAGCGTTTCAACAGATACCCTCTCATCATTGATCCGTCCGGCCGAGTAACCGAGTTCCTGCAGCGAGAATGTCAAGACCGCCGATTGACAGTCACTAGTTTCTTGGATGACTCCTTTACGAAGCAACTTGAGAGCGCACTACGATTCGGCAACCCAATTCTCATACAGGATGCAGAACACCTGGATCCTATCCTTAACCACGTTCTTAACAAAGAGTATCAGAAAACGGGAGGTCGTGTTCTCATCCAGCTTGGCAAGCAGCAAATTGATTTCTCCCCTGCTTTCAAAATATTTCTATCCACCCGCGATCCTTCTGCTACATTCCCACCAGATATCTGCAGCCGCACAACATTCGTCAATTTCACGGTAACTCAGAGTAGTCTCCAGACTCAGTCGCTTAATGACGTCCTGAAATCCGAGAGACCAGATGTTGATGAGCGACGATCCAATCTTATCAAACTACAAGGTGAATTCAAAGTACATCTTCGACAATTGGAGAAACGCCTCCTACAGGCTCTGAACGAGTCTCGTGGCAACATACTTGATGACGATAATGTTATTGAGACACTAGAGACACTGAAAACCGAAGCTGGGGAGATCACTGCTAAGATGAGCAATACCGAAGGTGTCATGGCCGAGGTGGATGAAATCACGCAGCAGTACAGTATCATCGCACGATCTTGCAGTGCTGTATTCGCCGTTCTTGAACAACTTCATTATCTCAACCACTTCTACCAATTCTCGCTTCAATATTTCCTCGATATCTTCCATTCTGTTCTCCACGGTAACAAGAACCTTGCCAACGAAACCAACCACAATATTCGAAGAGATATAATCATCCGAGATCTCTTCGTGACTACTTTCAAGAGAACCGCACTCGGTCTAATCCAGAAGGACCGAATTACTTTGGCCATGTTGCTCGCCCAAGCGTCCCCATACAAGATGGACAAGGGACTCATCGATGTTATTCTGGATGACAGGATTGACGGCAGGGATTTGTCGACTGATATAACTGAGAGAGAATCCACCTTTGCCCAAGCAAAGAGGCTTAGTGTCTTAAAAGACAAACTTGACTTGGCGCCCCCCGATGCCTGGGAAAAGTTCTTCTCTGAAGAATTGGCCGAGAACGTTGTCCCCCAGATTTGGCAAGCTGACAGTGAGCCATTTGATCAGGGCCTGTTGTCACTACTCTTGATCAGGGTGTTCCGTCTTGATCGCTTTGTACCCGCTGCTGAACGCTTCGTCACGTCGGTCTTTGGCCCTGAGCTGTTTGACATTGTTGAGGATTTGAAGGGAACTGTTGAACAAGTATCATCAACACATCCCATCTCACTCGTTTCAAGTCCTGGCTTTGATGCCAGTTATAAAGTCGACAACTTGGTAGAACGAATGCATACCAGGTGTACCAACATCGCCATGGGATCGAATGAAAGTCTTGCCAGCGCCGATAAGGCTGTAAGCAATGCAGCACAAGTTGGAAACTGGGTCCTCATCAAGAATGTCCATCTTGCACCCACCTGGCTTCAGTCTCTTGAGAAACGCATGGAATCTCTCAACCCGCACTCCGATTTCAGGCTGTTTCTATCCATGGAATCAAGTCCCAAGATTCCTGTCAACTTGCTCCGTGCGTCTCGGGTCCTCATGTATGAGCAGCCAGCTGGTGTTAGAGCGAATATGAAAGACTCAATGTCCTCACTCGCTACTCGAGCGACAAAGAGCCCTGTCGAACGTACTAGGCTATATCTACTTCTTTCGTTTCTACACGCCGTGGTTCAGGAGCGACTACGATATGCACCCAACCTTGGATGGAAAGGCTTTTGGGAGTTCAATGACAGTGATGTAAGTTGTGTAATCATTTCAGCATAAGAGTTATTTCTAACATATGACCAGTATGAATGTTCAGCGTTCATTATCGATACATGGCTTGATTTTGTGGCACAGAACCGTTCGAACATAGCCCCACAGAATATACCATGGGAAATGATCTGCTACCTCGTCCGCGAGACATATGGCGGCAAGATTGACGACGAGGGCGATTTCAAACAGCTGACAACCTTGGTCAACCAGATCCTGACGCCGTCGGCCTATGATATCGGGCACAAACTGGTGGAAGGATCTGAGAAAGACGGGCAGGAATCCAGCTTGGTGGTCCCGTCAGGCACGTCACTACAAGAATTTATGGACTGGATTCAGAAGCTCCCAGAACGCGAACCGCCAACGTATCTAGGCCTCCCCGCCAATGCGGAGAAACTCCTCCTCGTCGGATTAGGCCAAAGCCTGATCCAGAACTTGAAGAAGGTGACAGAGCTGCTAGATGAGGGAGAGCAGCTCGTGACAGAATCTGGAGAGAGCAATTAAGCGTACCAGAAATGACGGAAGAAATGACATCGCCGCCACAATGATGCTGCCATTATTTTTCTTTGTTTACCCATTTTTGTTTGCTCTAAATGTTAGCTTATTTTAGATGCTGTACCAAGGCCAATAAATATCAATGCTAACTGTATATACAATGTGTACCGCGACCTAGGCCTCGTCAATTAAGTACCTAGCTGCAAACCTTCGATTCACTACCTACTTGCTATTTGATTAGTAATATCTACTGTATTCGCTTAATATCTTATAATACATTATACTTACAGTACATACGTTCGCTGTTCCGGATCGCTTCCGGTCTCCATAACCGTACATGTTATATCATAGATATCGACTATTCTGACCAATTGAAGCCGGCCCGATGGTCAGAAATCCTTTTTTTAATAGTTACATGTACAAGTACGCGCTAGAGAGCACATCGACGATGCTACCTACTGGTGCTGCTACTTGCTAGTGCCGGACTGATGAGGTGGAGAAGCAACAGGACTGGGGAGGATCATGATAGGCAGAGAGGCAGTATAACCTGTGTACAACAACTCGATTCGGGGCTTACCGTACTATAGGTAGGTACATGGCAGATACACGGCATCCACTGTCTCTGCACTACCCACCTGGGCATGCTTGGTATGGATGCATGGCTTCACAAACCAGGGGTCTTGTGGATGCGATGTCCACAATGAGTCCGCCGACGGACCAATAGGAGGGAATGTAATAATAATCATGGTGAGATCAATCACACAACCGATCCCGGACTGATGCCACCATGATTATCTACTCAGCATCTACATCTGCCAAGCCCACTCTCATTTGCCTAACCTGGATCTGCCTAGACACGCAACTGGGGGACGAGCAAGGCGGGAGAAGAAGACAGACATAGGTAGTCAAGCGAGAAAGAAAGAAGAAAAGAAGGAAAGTAAGAAAGAAAGAAAGAAACAGAATACCATGACCGTGCTGATGGGCTGACGGACTGACGGACTGACCTACAATATCTTGACACCTACTGACCACACGGGCTGTTGTCCATGTTCATGCCAATCCCCAAATTGCACTCTGTCTGTATCTACAGGTACCTGCTGTAACTCATAACTTTCCCTCCATCTGCCAGGGCTAGGTAGTCGGGCCCGTGACAAGAGATAACGTACCGACGAGCATTGAGCGGTGACCTGCTCGCTCGCTGACACCACCAGACTCGTCAAGCCACACACACACACACACATACGCGCGCGCACACACATCCCACCATCCTGCCACTATCAACCTCGAACATACTTACCACAGTAGGCAGAACATCTAGTAGGCCCGCGTCTTTCCATCCAGTGTCGTATGTTGATCGTCCATCTCTCGGCACCCCGCGAACCCACACTGCCCTACCTACCGGCCCTGCCCGTGCTTGGCCTTCCTCGGCCACTGATCCATCTCTAATCGACCTTTGACACCTACTCCGGGGCATCATCGCCGTTGTTGTCATCATCATCATCCGCTGAATTTCTCCACCGCCTCGGCACGACCGGTTACACTACCAGCCGGTGGAACCAACTGCTAAGCTCTCTCAACTCTGCGCTGCACCTCGCTCCTTTCTTTTCTTTCTACGACGAACATCCAGCCACACGTGTATCAAAGAGCGAAAGCGAGTGTGGATGTCCATTACGAGACGAGGCAAGTAAATAGTCCAGCTATACTTTCCTCCCCCCCTCCTCTAACACAGTGGTTCTATATCACTAATATCTCCCTTCCCTGATATGCACTCTCCTTTCACAATAAAGAAGTCTTGCCGTGCTGGTTGTTGCTTGTCATTTCTGGCTCGAATACAGCGAGCCATATGCGCATATCATGCTTCGTGGTTAGGCGGGAGAGACAATGCATTGGCACAATCGTGGATGACTGTATATGGGGAAGATATTGTATCCCTCTTCGATGACTGAAGAGTTAGCTCCGAGGTTTTCTAAATCCGAGCTGAGTCCTTCGTATATACTCTTCGCTCATACTGCCATAATTCTCGCATTTGCTGTTAAAAACTTCAACTCACGACAAAAGCATAGGTTATACCCGTTGCAATCTCGCCTTCATCTGCCGCGGTCGACTACCCTAACCTTTAAATCCACGAGGCCTAGATACGGTTGACAGATACTATGATGGAGATTGCGCCGCATTCCCAGCCAAGGCTTACTAAAACCGAACCATCGTCGACAAGGAGGGCCCTTCCTTCACGCCCAACCATATCAAGAGATAATTGTGGTCGGCCTTCCGAACGTGTCGCATTCAAAAGCGCCTCACCTACAGGTTCAACAAGTCCTGCGGCCCAGAGTGTAGGCATATCGTCAGCGGACCCTAGCCCCTCTTTGAACGGCTCAGAGAGGCTGTATTCTAAGAGCCCATCCCCATTCGACGTAACCCGGCAAGAACTTCCTACGGTCACAAGCCCATCTCCGGCCGGAGTGAATCAGGGTGGTCAAGTGTGCAGGTACGGACAGTCACTTTGCTAACACGCTCTCACGGATGCTAATCGAAAGTAGCAATTGTGGGACAACAAGAACACCGCTCTGGAGGCGCTCGCCCCAAGGAGCCACAATCTGTAACGCATGCGGGTTGTATTTAAAGGCCCGAAATTCCGCCCGACCGACAAACCTGAAGCGTCCACCTTCCGTAGTTACAACAACACAGACTAAAGTTTGCGACAAGATTACATCTACAACATGCTCCCAAGGAACCACAGTAAATATGCCAGGCGCCACTTATGTAGCAGCGGACCAGACACCGTCAGGATCATGTCCAGGCGGTGGGCGGTGCAACGGTACTGGTGGTGCGGAAGGTTGCAGTGGCTGTCCAGCCTACAATAATAGGCTTGCCAAGAGCGCCCAACTTCAGAATCAGTCTCCCAACACGAAGATGGATGGTATAGCTGGGGATGGTCCAACACCCATCGATATGAATGTGCAGGAGAATAAAGGGCCTGCTCAAAACACAACCGTGGTGATTGCCTGTCAGAATTGTGGAACAACCATAACCCCATTGTGGCGTCGAGATGAAGCTGGACATACAATCTGTAACGCATGCGGTAAGCCACTACATGCAAAAGGTGTGATTCTCTTCGCTAAACTCTCTAGGGCTATACTACAAACTCCATGGTGTTCATCGGCCTGTGACAATGAAAAAGGCTATCATTAAACGGCGAAAACGGGTGATACCAGCAAGTCAGGAGGAGGTTTCAGTGGACGCAGAAGACTCGATGGTTATGGACTCTGTGGAGCAACAAAGCCAATATGCGGAATCCGAGGTCGAAAGGGGTAGTATGAACGAAGATGGCTCTATAAATCTCGGGCTACGCCGCAAGACTGATCATCATCTTACACTCCTTCCCGAGCCGATTCACACGGGTCAAGGATCCACACCGATACCATCAACGAACCCCACAGCATATCTTACATGTCAAACATTACAACCTTTTGGTGGTCGTGATTTGATGAACGACGAGAACAGACTACCACCATTGGCGTCTATCATGAGTGACCGACAGTCATCTATCTCGCCTGCTTCCTTTCTTGGTCCGTCGAGTCGGAAACGATCGTTTTCAGCAACTGATTCCGATGTCCCAGCCAGCGAGTTCAATCCCGAAAATACCAAGAGACTGTCTTCTATAAAATCAATACTAAATCCAACCAGTGGATCGAGCTCCAACTTTGGCTCGGTAACAGATGATACATCGGATCTGCTACGACTACGTTCTCCCGCCAGTACGTTGATGTCAGCCCCGAGCCCCAGTGGGTTTTCGATCATGTCCAGCATAATTCCAAGTATGCGTTCACGGGAAACAACAGTCGAGGGTGACAGGTCCAAAGCAGACCGACGGGCAACCCTACAACACGAAGCAGAACGTATGCGTGAGATGCTTGCAGCTAAGGAAAGGGAATTGGCCGCGCTTGAAGATTAACAGGTTCTATGGTGGCAACCATCCCAACTAGGACAATTGTTCAACCCATGTACAAAGATTTTATGGGTCTCACGAAAGTTGCAGTGGCGCATCACATATCAAAAGGCAACATCTTCCCTCTCAGTATGACCACGGAGGTAGTTTGACTTGTTCTCATGATAATGGCATTTATAGCGTGGGTGGACTATGCATACACAGGCGTATACGGATTGTATTTATTTCAAAGTCATGAACGTCCTCAAAAGGGGTCAATATAGGTGCCGGATCCTTCTACGATGGCACGGCACAAAACCCAAGAAACAAAATGTAGCGGTATAGCTTTACTACTACTGGGAATTGGCAATTGCATTGCGCTCTCAAATCAATACTGCATTATCTTCTCGCTTTCCGGGGGGTATTTGTTACTGCGGGGTGTTACCAATCAACTTATGATATTAACAAAGTATAGAAACTTGGGTCTAAAGCCGGGTTACCTAACGTCCACAAAGAAGGTTAAGGTAAGGGGGACTTAGGGAGATCCCGAGCTTTCTATAATATAATAACTACTCATCTTGCGGAAATTAGTGTCCAGGAAGCACCTTGAAGGTAATTATAATGTGAAATGGGTTTGTTTCCATGATCGATCTATCATTGCTTCTTGTGAGAAGAGAAGGAGAGCGAGGCAGAGAGGGCTGGAACCAGTTGGCTTATAGATATGGCTAAGGCAAGGTGAAGGATGTAGTGTAAAACCAGACTTCGAACCTTGTTTTAGTACTTTTGTACGGTTGCGTTTAGTTCGGCTTAGCTCTTGAGCAACTCCCGCTCAACTCTTGATTGGTCCCTTGAATCAAGCTATTTAGTCCAACGTTCTATCCCTCACCTCACTCCAGGAGTACTTCAGTAAGGCGTTTAAGAAACCGATATAACAGTTTTAAGCGCCCATGAATATAGAAACAGGTGACCTTGGGCGCCAAGCCTTTCAAATTTACACTGAATACGTAAATTTACAATTAAAGCCGATACAAGGTGAAAATCTTACCATCTACCAAATCCTTTTCATATAAGTCGTTTCCCTGCCCACTCCTCATCGAGCCGAGCCATTACCTCAAGTCCATGTCCCATTTTTTTTACTTCCTTTTGTTTCGGTTGAAAACTGTCTTCAGCCTGAAAGTTTTCGCAACTTGTTGACCTCTGACTTTAAGAAACAAATGCAACCTCTACGCCAGGAGCGAAAGCGCAGCCCCCACTTTACATGCGCGAGTGATAAAAGAACTTTTACCAATACAAGATAGAAACGCAAGTAGGATTAGAGACGGGTCCCTTTTATTTGCTGGGAGTTTAGACTTGCTCGGCACCCCAACCCTGGTCGGCCTCGCGCATGTTGGCAGGGGGCTCGATCGAGGGCACGAATTCCAGAGCCGCGTACACAATGCCCGTAAGTCCGATGACGGAACCAGCTACGTAGCGTGTCCAATGGTCAGAGAGCAAGATGGAGCCAATGAAGATGTAGACTGTGGCTGGTTAGTATAGATCGATCAATTGGGTAATCACAAGTCAGAGCTAGCATGCGCCTCAAGACAATACCATTCGTAAGTGTAAGGGAACTAGGCGGGGGAGGTATACGTACAGATTCCACGGCCGATGAAAGAGAACATGAAGGACGCATAACGCGATACTTGGGGCGGAATCTGGAATTCGAGGAGCCCGACACAGGCGCCAAAGATAATGACGTATACGCCAATGACAATGGAATGGCTAGTATAAATTATTGTCAGCTATATTTCCTGGCTCTCTCCTATCCCTCGCGTATATGTAAGGGAATGCGATCGAGCTGTCGCGAGGAACACGAGCTGGTGCGCGCAAAGCCTAAGATAGAGCTCGCAAAGGTCCAGACTCACATGCTAGCGTTGAAGAACTGCGATATTCCTCCCAGGATCATTACCACACCTACAACGAGGTTGACGATTCGGCTGGGGATGCCAGAGAAGTTAGCGCGAACAACGTTGAAGTCGTGCAAGTTCATGACGCCGAGGTTGGCTGTAGAACGTACAAGGAGTCGGAGAAATCCATATTGCTGATGTGTCTGTCTTCTTCTTTCCGGAGCTAATATCGTGACTCCCTGTCTCTCTGTGTGTGCGTCTCTTGTCCTCTCTCTGTCTTGTCGGCGGTGTGGTGAGACCGGAAAATAGGAGGAAAGGGCTCTTGGCCTGGGTCGCACGAGAGATGTCTCTAGGTGGCTGTGGTCAAGATGTCAAGATAGCTCGGTTTGGCGTTCAGGCTGGCGGGTGAGGGATGTAGGAGGCGCAGATGACGAGGATGATGAGGATGACGAAGATGGTCTTGTCTTTGTCGTGGATTAGGCAGATGCGATCGGGTAGAGCTCGGTTGCTTCGTTGAGAGAGCGCGTGAAAGAGACTGGCTGACTGGCGGGTCTAGCTGGCTACTAGTGCAGCTGGCTGGCTGGCTGTATCCAAGTCATCCAAGTCCAAGCTTTGGCGAAGCTACGCAACCCGACTCTACTCTGTGACAGGGGCTAATGGCCAAGACTGGGGGCGCTTGTCGTCATCTCTGTCGCGCAATGCAAGAGAGAAGCTCCAGGCAGTCGGCAGTAGGTACCTAGGTAGTATCCAGGGGCTGGCTCGCTCCACTGGCTCCACTGTATTGTAGGTACCTACAGTACCTAGATACCTACCTATACCTACCTAACTATAAGCGCACTAGCCACAGTCTGCCACAGCTGTAAGTACGTACCTACCTACAGGTACGTATGTACATAGTAGTAGATAAGGTAAGCTCCGCGTTCCCGGTCGGGTCATACGAAATCGCGAGTAATTTCCGTCTCCCCAAAGTTGTTCTTCAACTTTTTCGCCCTCCTCTCTCCCGATCTACTCTGCTCGAGTGAATGTCCACAGCCACGCGCTCTTTCAGCCTCCACGCGACCCACGCAGAAACAAATCCCTCGTCCGTTCTTCGCTCTTGATCGCCTCGCCCATTGACTGTGCTAGCTGCTATTGCACAGTCACGCCGTCATTACCCCTCGTTTCCTCTACACTACTTTATGCAACTAGACCTTCCCAACACCACCACACGGCCTCAACCACGAACCCCCTCCCAGTCTTCTCAATCCTCCCATCAATATGGCCTCCAGCGCTGTCATGCGAGTCGTTCGCCCCGCGGCTCTCAGCCAGAGCGACATCGCGACATGTCGTCCTCGTCCCGCTCTGTCAGCGATGCCAGCGACACCACCTCGCCCAGCGCCTTTGGGGAGGGTGTCCACGCCGATTACCTCGAAGAACAACTGCTTCGACTGAATCTTCGCCACTCGTCGTCTTCCGAACGACCTCCACTCGCTGGCCACCGCATTGCCGAGTATGAGAATGCATTGACACCCTCTATCCCTAGACAAGCTCTGGGCTTTAAGGTCATCAAACGCGCTGATAACGAGCCAGCCCGTGTCAACATCGACGACTTCCCAAACGGTATGTGCTCGCTTACACGCTCCTACCGTCCCTACCATACTAATTGGATCGCTCAGAAATCTTGACCCATATACTCTCGCATTTACATCCCGACTCGCACGCCTCTGTGGCCTTGGTGTCTAAGCGGTTTTACTCCTTGATTACTAGCCCTCATGCATGGCGCATGGCTTTTCAGCGCTTCTTCCCTGCCCAAGATGCTTTGATCATACCAAACCAACCACAAGGTGTAGCATGGGGCGAAGATGACGATGATATGGTCCGGTCTAACGTTCGTGCTTTTGTCCGCTTAACTCCGCATGCCTCTTGGCGCACCGAATACCTTCTGAGGACCCGTCTCCTCCGTAGTCTTGCTAGAGGCAAGCCCGGAGCAAACTCAGGTGGCATCGGTATGTCCGCGCGTTCTGGTCAGTCCGGCAAAAAGGCTACCGCAGTCTTGACCTACAACACCAAGCTACCTTCTGTCGTCACTCATCTCCATGCCACGTTCACCAATGGAAAAAAGCCACCGAGGGTTATTCATGGCGCTACCGACCTGGGTATTGCCAGCACAAGCGATCCCTCAGTCGGAAAGGTCGAGAAATGGGGCCTAGATGATCCCCTGGCCTTTGCTCAGCTAGATGAGGTAATGCCGCAACTCATTCCCTACGGCATGGGAGAGGGACCTGCAGCCATGCCTAACGTCATGGATGTAAGTCAACCTTATGGTCTAGTTGGCGGCGAAGGGCTTCCCGGTGGGCGTGTCTTCTTCAGTGCATCCGGAGAGTATCGAGGAAAATATCTTGGTCCAGATTCTAGCCTAATTGAGGCATATCCCGATATCCCTAAGATTCCCGAGCTATCTGAGGGCATTTGCTCCGTATGGATTGCTAAGTCTTCCTCGGTACCCACCGTTACCAAGTCCATGGTTGGTATTATGACTGGGTCTTCCTTGGGAGTCGTGACTACATATGCCCTCGGCTATGATCCCTCCGGCCCACGATACACCCCTGGTGAAATAAGCGCGCGTTGGGTGTTGAGCCCTGGCGTACCTATCATCTCACTCAAGGTTGACGATAGTTATAGCCAGAAAAGAAAGGCTCTGAACCGTGTTTGTGCAGTGGCACTCAATGCCTTAGGCGAGATCTACTACTTGACCCTGCCTCCAACTCCTCCCCCTAGCAAGACGAAAGCCGACGATAGTACCAAGCTCGCTTGGCACACTGGTCGCACAACCTATTGGCACCTTGTAGAAGCTACTAGGCGAGAAGCACGTCCTGACGAGTCCGGAAGAAATGCGATCCGAGGTAGCTATTCTCCGAGATCCCCTTCTAACGCGATGGGCTTGACGCGGGATCAAACGATTGCTGAGGCGCGAGAAATTGAAAAATTTCTTCGCTACAAGCCCGCGCATTTCCGAAAGGTTTGCTATGGCTGGGATATGCGTAGAAAGCTAGAGGTCGACTTTGCTAGTGACGACGAACTAGGTGCAGGGGAAAGCGTCTTCATCGTCGGCTGTGCAGTGAATGAAGACGAATCATGGTCCCTGACACGCTTTACACGAAGTATTGCAAGCCAAGCCCCAATAAATCCACAAGGCACCGAGTACTTATCGGACACAGCGCCGAAACGTTCTATATTTGGTGATAGCGGTGTTGGTACTACCTCGCCCAATTCCCCTAGTTCTTTACCTGTGCAAGCCTCGTCTTCTGGCCAGCGTCCGCCATTTTCGATTTCTGCCTCGAAAACTCTTGACGACTGGTTCAAGACTATCTTCTCCTCGAAAGAGATAAGCAATAGTACGGTCAATGCAAGCGCCATTGATATGTCATTAATGGCACTGACCACATCATCCGAGGATCCTTTGAAGGCAATATCTATCCCCTCTTCTAGTAGCCCGGCGACTCCATCTGGACAATCTCCTTCAGATATCCCCGGCCGGAGAGCAAGGCTGATTGGTTTGGGCACCAACACAGGGAAAGTAGTATTGTGGAATATGAGAGCGGGACATACAGGCGATGGCATATTCCCAGTCCGTGTTATCGAAACAGAATCACCCGAAGTTACCTGCTTGGCTCTGTCAGCTCTCTACTTGGTTCACGGCGGTAGTGATGGACTGGTTCAGGCATGGGATCCTTTGGCTTCCACAATGGATCCAATTCGCACACTAAACTCTCGTTCACCAGGTCGCATGCCCCGACACCACGCTCTAAATGCAACTTTGGGTGATGCAAACTACACCGCCATTGGTGCCATCTATCTGGACCCCGATCCAACTGTGCTTCACGGGATCGTAGCATTTGGTACCTTTGTGCGTTATTGGGCTTATAGCTCTTCCAACCATGGTACTGGTCGCAAACGGAAATTACGGCATTCTGATGTCAATGGCCGCCTGATTGGACGACGTCACGGTGGGGGTGTCAAAGGTTACATCGCTGCCGAGGCTGAGGAACTTCGCGATGAGCAGCGTCACAAGGCTCGGGAACAGGCTCGCCTTCGATCTCGTTTCGGGGTGGGGATGAATAACCTGAGCGAAGAAGAAGCTCTTCAATACGCGGAGATGATATCTCAAGAATCTTTTCTGCTCGACGAACAACGGCGAATAAGCGTTAGCGACACTGGCTCAGCTGCAGACCTTGACACAACATCAACATCGGAGAGTATGAACACCATTACCCCCGACCCTAGCGTTGCGGATACGACTCCACCTACTGGGAACACTAGCACTGTCGTTGAGGCTATGAGCGAGAGTGAATACGAACTTCAGATTCAAACTGCTATCCGACTGTCCCTTTTAGAAGGTGTGAATGACCTCGGCCGCTCTCCAAAAGGCTATGATTCGGGCGAACTTGATGTTCCCATCATCTTCAAAGAGAAGAAAACCAAGCGTTCATCCTCTAGTTCACCCTCATCGAGCCGCACATCTATGGTGAAACAGGCTGGGTCATCATCAAGGGTGATGGCTATGCCGACAGTTGCCGATGATGACTTGGAACTTGCCTTGCAGCTAAGCCTGGCCGAGGAAGAGAGCCGAAAGGAGATGGCTGTTTTGGAGACCAGCGAAGAGGAGTTTCCTCCACTTGGTGGAGATGGATGGGGAAAGGGGAAAGGAAAGGCAATATAAGTCTTAATATGGAGAAAGGAGAAGCTTGTGCTTATTAATTTCACTTCGTGTTCTGTTTGTTTGATTCTAACCTTAGGGCATAATGGTCATATCTGACACTTGAAAATACAATTCACAGCATTTTAAAGAAAAATAATCTACCTTCTTAAGACAACAAGTTAACTATAATTGATTAACGTTCTCCACTTGCATTTAACTATATCTACTTTGATTGTAATATGATATATGGACGATTGGTATAGATATATGAAAGCTTTCTTCAGCTGTTCATATAACTTTAAGCTATGAGAGATATAGTTAATTATACAACCTGCGGAACCAATAATAAGGTCTGGTGGTCTAGTGGTATGATTCTCGCTTAGGGTTCACCCTACAGCATTATATGCGAGAGGTCCCGGGTTCAATCCCCGGCCAGACCCGTTAAATTTGTTTAATTGATTCGTTGTATTTTTATGCTCTATTATTAAGGATACCTTCATTGGGAAGTTGTTTTTGCCTTGAACTATATATCTGGCGATAACCTGCTCTAAGCATTAAAATACAACCTTATTTTATTGTCTCTAGTTATAACTTTGCTCTTAAATCCCTATAGTCCCAGGACTATCTAAGTCATGTCTTCTTGGAAGGGACGAAGTCTTCTAACAGGGATTAATTGAAATGAAGGGACGGAGAACCTGCCATAGTATGGTGCCTATCCTTCAATAAATGCCTATTAATGCACACATCTGTAGCAAGACTCGGGGCATATCTCCAAGCTGAGCATGAAGGCAATACGATCAATACCATCTCGTCTCCCTATCCTTGGATAGGTACCTACATGTTGTTGGTACGCTATATATCAAGGGACGCCATATTCTCAACAGAGACACAACTATCTATCTTCTCGCGTGCTATCCGATTAGCTATAGCTCCATAGACACTCTCTCCCCAGGGAAATAAACCTAAAACCACGAGTATATAAACAATGAAATGATTAAGAGGAAGGCGAGCACTATACACTGGCAACTAGGGCTCGTATCTGACTGGCCTTCCCTTTCGGATATTTATGTTGGCGGCGTGAGGGCGCCGTTGGGAAAGAAATAGGTGCGTAATATGGCACCATTCTTCTACCAGACCGCGGACCACGAGTAGAAATGGCGAACTATACTTGCATATAATCTTTTCGGGGGGCTCTTCGATATCGATATCAATCCACTCTGCCGCTGGTTGGACTAATTCAAGTCAACCCAGATCTCATGATCACATATAATGAATAAAACACGGGCAACTATTTGCAACGAAAAAGTGACTCAAGCAAGCGTTATGAATAGTATGTGCCTTCTGTATTCAAGTCAGGAGAGCTTTCTTCTTCCTTTTGCTTCTTGATTTAAGTTTATACACGACTGATCATGTGACCCTTGGCAAATCGGTCTCGCCTACATGCCTCCTTAGCATGTATGGTGCAGTAAACTGCTGAGAGCGGAATCTATCACCACCATCCCTTGCCTTACACGAGTAGACTGTTCGACCTTCCTCCCAACTCAGCTCACCAACAATGAGCTGACGTGTGAACGTTGATTCAAAATACCAGACCCATATACTGACATATCAATCATTATGGCCATTTGGTGGAATCCCGAATGTCCTGTTGGCCGTGCCTCCCTTCCCCCTTCCGGTCCTTTTCTGATTGTTTGCTCATCAACTTCGTGATCTTAGGTCACTTTGTTGAGCAACACTCATTCTGTTTCGAGGTGTCCCCCACCCCTGTCTCTCTTTTAAATGCATGAACTTCAGGTTGAGCCAGAACCGCGAAATGTCACAGGAAATGGCGATTGGTACAATGAGATATCCGAATAGCCGTGAACTCCATCGCTGGCCTACATATCTGTATAGGCATCCCAAGGTATATATATGTATGCGAGAATGAAAAAAACACAGAAAAATATAGACAAAGCAAGAGAATGAAATAGAGAGATGCGTCTAGGGGTAGATTAAAGGACATAGTGCATATAAACTCCGGCATCCGTGGTTTCGAGCGTCGCGCCGAGAATATGCCTTCAGAGGCAATGCTACGCGAGTGGGCATGTAGTTAGTGTCACCGTTCTTCTTCTTCCCAGCTATAACGTCTATGCGCCATCTGGGGAACATGCACAATATCAAAGCCATCTATTCTCCCACAAGCGGCGTCGCCCCGAGTCACTGCTGCTACTCTTGCCTCTTCTTCGAGCGTAAAATTGCTCCCCAATGTGTCAGCAGTAGAGTGCCGTCTTGAAGGGTTTTCAGAGGCAATAGTGGGCATTGTGGGTAAGACGAGATCGTGGTTCTGGGAGCCGGGTGGTCGTTGCACCATCATCTGGTGTGGAAATCGAACATTGTCGGGCAATGGTCCAAGACATACGACATTTGTAGAGTCAATCGGAGTCCTCTGGATCGGCGGCTGTGGAACAGAGACTGTTGCCTGGGATCTAATGGATGTGACTGAGGAGGCTGAGCGCGCAAGCATTGTCGAATCGCTGGCACCTGTTGGTGATGGCGGTGTATAAGCCATAGTGGGGTTTGAAATAGTAGATCTAGATAAGGTTCGGGCTGGAAAGAAGCCAGCTATAGGAGAAGGATAGTCTCCGAAGTAAGTGGAGCCGTCGCTACGAGGTGTTATGGGAGAAGGCATTCTGCTTATGTCATTCTCCTGAGTTGGACTCGATGTAGGTGAAGGGCTATCCCGATATTGCGTGTTAATGGGCGGTGGTACGTGAGCAGCCCTGCTATTGACGCCCGACGATTTCGATTGGTCTTCTGAATCAGCTGGCTGAGTCAACTGAGCCCACTGCTGTGGCCGTTTATAAGAATTTTCGCCAAGGGTGTCTTCTCCAGCGGGGACTGCGAAATATGCACTCGTCGTTGTATCGGTTGCGTCTAGTTCAACAGGCATTTGAGCCGGCATTTCGTAGCGCTCGTGGCTCCAGTCCGCACCTACTTCATGTGCGTCAACAGGGCCCTCAGCCTGAGTTGTCTTCTTCGGGCAACTCTTAGCTCGCGTCTTCATTCGAAACAAAGTCATTGTAGTGGGACTTATGGGGGATTCCGGTTCTGCCGCACAGTATTTCTCCTTGTATTCCTGCGGCTCATTCTCGTTCCCATTGTCCTTAAACGCCCTCTTTCTCCGTCGCACAAGCACTATAGTCGTAACAAGAGCAATTGCTCCTAAGCACAGGCCAACTACAACACCGGCTATTTGGTTCTGCGTAATGCCTTTTGACTCTTCCTTGATAGGGGGTCCAGGATAGGGGCTATTTAGTGAGTGGGCAATGGTAAAAATCGACGTGTTCCTCAGTGGATTATCAGGAAATCGAGCCTTATGGATTGAGAACGTGCTTGTCTCATAGTTGGTTATCATGTAAGCCTCCTGCAAGAATGAGCGTCCTATAGTTAGTTGGCTACTATTCTCGGCTCGTTTTAACGGGAAGTACGGAATTGCTGGTGCGCCGTAGTCTATGTGGTTCATGAATGGATATTGAAGACTTTGTATAAACGCGTTTGCAGAAACCGTAATGTTGACTATGCCAGTCATGTTTGTTGGCGCCCCAAAGTTACCCGTGTTGTCTGCACTTGAGAACGTAAATGTGAACGATAACCCAGGCGCTGATCTATAACTATCCAAGACGTCGTTGTTTGAGAACACGTATAGCCCGAGAGTTTCGTTCCAAGTAAGATTGAGAGCGCTGGCGAAGCGATCGCAAACGTGTGATGGGAGCCACAGGTAGGGAGTTGAGCTATCAATCATAGCCGTGACAGATTCATTGTATGACAACAAAGGCATCGATGCGGTGGACCACTCTGTGGGTGCTTGTTCGACATCTGATACTGATGCTGTGATAGCTCGTACCAGAACCTGAGGCTGTCGTGTGGTAGAGTTCAGACTGAACCGAGTATCGTGAGGTTCGAAACGGTTGGCATCGTAACCGCCTAATGTCAAAGACATTGGGACACCGTTCGCGCCAGCTTTTGTTACATTAGCATCTACTGGCCGATGAGAAGGGTGATCAAATATTTACCATAATAGGCTCCTGGCGTGTACCCGTAGCTATGGCTTGGTATTGTTCCACTCTGTTGTACTAATGATGTAATTGGACCTTGTGCCACGACACCACCGAAGTTTCCTTCTGTTATTCCGAGACCAAAGAAACCTGTATAAGCAGAAGTGTCGTTGATGCCAGCAACAAGTAGTTTGTCAAATGACGTTTGCCATCGCCGAACACTATCGTATACCACAACCGTCTCCTTTGCGTAGTCTCCATTGGCGTGTATGCCAATCGCCTTCAGTCCAAGTTGCCATAGTCCCATGGGCGACCAGCTTGTTGACGCGTTTCTATCGAATACACCTCCCCGAGCATCATTACATAGAGGACCTGAACGAATTAGTCAGCACCTACACATTGAGGAGTTTACTTTGCCGGGTCTTAGAGGTATCTGTCGCCTTTGTTGCACATTGAAACACTTACTTGCACACCCACTATTCTCTACCACCCATATTTCGGATAGACTTGTGCTCACAACAACATCAACTTCCTGAGCAGGCTCGCCGACGAAGAGCGTTGTTGACGACCAATTACCATCGATACCATGCCTATATTACGATTAGCCAACGGGTCCTTTTCGAGTAGATCGGGCTCAACATGCCAGTGCAATGAGGGTTCAAGCCATACTGCGGCAGGCACATCGGCGGCGCGACCAAGACTGGGTATGAGTGACAGCGTCCCGACGACTGCCAGAATAAAATGCCTCCTCGACATTGTCTCGCGGTCGTCGCACCACCCAACGGTCGTACACGAACCCGAGGTCACCACTGGTCCTCCCGATGCTTCATGGGCTGCGCCAAATCCCCGAGTCGTGTGTAGTCCAAATCCATCCGCTCCCAATCCAAGTGCGCAGGGTGCGACGGCAGTCCTGTAATCGTCTGGCTCGGGAACCACAGCTTGCGGCAGTCTACTCCAGGCAAGGTGACGAGTTGATTTCCTTGTTGGAAGTGGTGATGAGGAGTCGAAGATAGGAAGTAGGACGGAATAGAGCAAATACACAGTAGAGCAGCAGTGCAATGGGAGGCAGGGACCGCTAAACTTAGGGACCGCAACTCCAAGCAAGATTTCTGGGGCCAGTACCTGTGCCCCAGAAGTCCCGAAGTACTGTACCACTATGTAACCTTGGTGGCAGTCCCGTTCTTCGGGTGTTCCGCTTTAGGGCATGGGCCAGGACAGGGCCCTCACCTGGGGCTATGAGATAAGTACACCGTGTTTCTCACAGTGCAAGACCAGCTGGCTGGGGTGCGTGTACCTGACCATGTCTACTTAGGTACTCTTCCTTGTGCCAGTACTCTACCTACCAGACCTACTACTGCAAGTGATTATGCTACGTCAGTGCGGGTGGGTATCTCCGCTCCTAAGTACAGGCCCAGCTACTAAGTGCACTACCTACATGTACATGTGCCCTACCTAGGTAGGTACATACCTAGGTAATGGACTTAGAGCCATACATCTGAGTCCTACTGTAGAAGTGGTACCTCGGTCTACTCGGTATACTACCTACCATAACAGATAAGAAAATGGCCTGTGAGCCAACCTGCTATTGCTGCACCAAACGGCTTGAGCAGATCTCGCACGATACAATCGAAGGTACCTCGATGTGTTATGGAGTAGGATCAGGCATATAAGTAAACTATCATGGTCCCGTCGTGTGCCAATGTCTTGTTACCCCGTACTTCCGAGGTGAACCGAAAGCCACCGTGTTCTACATACCTACCACCCATCCATGGTTGACAGAGCAGTGTAGAACACTACTATGTAGGTAATCGGCTGCACATGCCTAGGTACCGGTATATATGTATGTACACCCGTGTATTAGCAGGACTGCAAGCAGACTCGGTACCTAGCGTTAGTTTTGTCTCTCACATACCGGTACTGTAGTACCTTCGAGCTGTCAACTAGGTAGGTAGGTAGGTAGGTAGCCTCTCAAGGTGTCTGAAGACGCAAAACGAAGAGGAAATGGACTCAGTACTCCGCAAAAACCGACTCTTTGAGCATATTCGGGCCCAGCTATCCGGCCGCCATAGCAGTTGTCTACCTGCCTGCCTACCTACCTACCTACCGTACTCTACATGTATGTAATCCTCCTGGATCACCTACATATGCTGAGTGAATCTGTCAATCCATGGTGGAGCAACAGGACTAGACTAGACCGTCTGAGACCTCCAACGGCAACGACTTCCTAGGTACCTATCGTATGGTATCATACACGTACTAAGTCAAGACGGTCGTGACGGTGCCGTTGTGGGGTAGGGTGGTTGGTTCGAGCTTCCAGTGTCAAATCCCAGCTCACGAAGCGACTTGGCGTGAGGCATTCTCTGCCTTGGCTCGCTTATCCAGTAAGCCAGCTAGCTGAAGTAAGTACGCTTCAGTGCTCCTCTCACCTTAGAATTACAGATAATGTAGGCCAATTCTCGCCAGAATACACTAGACTAAGGCCAGCGACATCAGAAAGCTCCATCTTTATCGTCTTTTGGAGGAGTGACAGCAGCGGCCGACCGCCACTCGGCGAGCTACTTGGACGCACGATGAAATAGGCAAGTATAAGCATTACGAGGGTTTGGGACGGACAAAGCGAAGCAATGGCCGTTCATCGACTGATCGAGCATGTTCTCGATTGGAGTAGAAATTGTGATAATCTGGTTCCCATCACGGGATGTAGTGTATTTGATATCTGGATAAATGAGAGCTCGATAGTCCCGGCCGATTTTGCCGGTAGGTAGCGATTGAACAGACCGACTCCAGAGTACTGCCAGAGCACACAGCCCAGCCAGCGTTCCACGGCCCTGCCAGAAACCACGTGAATACTAGCATGCTTTCGAGGCTTTGCTGCAAATCATACCACCCGGAGTCTGTGGCGTCCCCGTTTCGAGATTAGGATATTAGATATCAGCATAACACGAAGCCATGACATGACCGGCGGTTTCAGAAGGGAAAACTCTGAGATGAGGCGCTGACAAAAAGTGGTTGGTGTTAAGACTGAAGAGCTCTCTGCACACCACAATCAATTCTACACACTGTACACTCTACTGTTTAAGATGATGCCCAGGGCGGTAGGCGGTTTTACAGTGGTGGGTAATGCGCTACATATATGCTGTGTACGTACCTCCGAGCACTGATATTTAGTCTAGCACAGTAATTTCTCACGTCTCTTTACTGTAAGGCGCTCAACCTGAGCAGGAAGCATGAGGCCTAAGTACAGTTAGAGATCTGATATGGTACTGGTGATTACAACTACCTTCAACTTGAACTACGCTTGGGTCTACATAGAATACTAGATCGAGCACCAGTCTTGAATCTCATTGGCCCCTAAACGCGATTCGAAGATCGAACCCCGTTGGATACATACGCTTGCCTACTGTAGATTATGTTTCAGCTCACCGATATGTCTTGGTTCAAATCTGCCTACCTACATAAGTAGAGGGAAATCGTGTTTCTACCTAGGTACTACTAAGGTTAGAAGACAGAAAAATAGTGGCGGCTTTCCCGAGCCTGCATTTCACTAAAGGTCCAGCGTGTTAGCTAATGTGCGACTATTGGTTCAACGAGCGTAACTCGAGCTAGTGTAGTGTGTACCAGTTGATTTCGTACGATAGGACTTACATCTCAAAGCGAAGGGAACGACGTCAGTTAATGGATTCGACAGCTTAGCGACTCTTTTATCAGATCTCCATATTGTTGTGCGTGCATTCAATGTTGGTAGGAAATTTCCAAGGAGCCCCGAGTCTGTGCTAGGTACCTATTAAGCCACACGAAATACGTGGCGCACTCTCGCAAGAAGTAGGTAACAGCCACAACATGGTTGTTCATAAAGAAACGGAACTCAGCTAGATGATGCCTTTGCCGAGTTGTTGTCACATGACTTCAATCGCAGAATCTCTGGTGTCGAGATCGTTCTATGCCAAAGTAATGCCTGACAAGGTTCTTATTAGGCGCCTGAGGCTGCATAGATTGGCTCCGAAGGCGAAAACTACCTAGGTAGTAGGGAGACGGCACACGACAGCCACTCTGCGCGTTGCTGCTATGGGTATACTGTGGTCAACGTCTGTAGGTGTCGCACGGGAAGTGTAGTAGATTTGCCGGGTAATAAATCGCTGTTCCCAATACATATCTTCATAAAGATTAATTCCGGGGGGGTTTCCCCTCTGCAGATCACTGAGGTGTGCTGTATCGTATAACACGGATAGCACCCCCCTCAATACCGTCTTCTGGCAAAATCCGCGCGTGGAATCATGATCACAAACATTCCCAATAGTTCGCATGTCTCAAGCCTCGTCTGTATAATTCAAGATGCACAAACAGAGAGATACTGCAGTCTCGATGGGGCGGTCATAGACGCCGATAGCCTTGGGTATTGCGAATACTAGGGCGGTTGAATATCCAATCATTAGAGACGCCATGACCACAGTCAGAATCGCATTTCTTTGGTGTGCGGTGCTTTTGTCTTGCCTTGCACTGCTACATGGTACAGCAGGTCTGCCACGCCTGAATTTTCCTTTTCAAGATATACAGAGATGTGGGAAGATGAGGGCCGCTGACCACTTGTGTAGGTCATCGCGCTGTAGACAAGCCCTACAGAAGGCTCGCAATCAGGAGTAACACGACTATAAGCTTAGGGGACGTGCATCCTTTGGTTACTACCACGAGCAGTTCATCATCCACTCGCACTACGGAGGGCATATTACCGCCGCCTGTGTCATTACATTCACCTTCATATGAAAACCCGTCAAGAAATGGGTCGTTGGTTAGTGAAGGAACTAGATCTACGAAACCGCCGGATGGCAACCATGGGGAACCATCTACAGCCGAATTGCGAAGCAGCGAGGCCAGGATTATCGGGGACACGTTTATAGCCAGTATTACGACGCTTACAAGACCGCCTCTCACAACACCAACAGCCTTGACAAGCCAGACGAGCTCTACTACTCATCGTGTGTTTCCCACGGTTTCGGCGAACACAACCAATCTTACCCATGTAGCAACACCTGGAAGATATACCAACTCTTCTACAGCTGCGCCTACAACTAGCGCGGCAGCATCTGTAGTCACGACGCCCTCTACCAATGAATTCTGCACGACAAGCTCTCATGGTCCCTTCACTACCGTCATAGAATATTCGATTATATATACATGGACGATAACGTGGTATGGTGATCCGGCCGACTACACACCCCCTTTTCCTACTATCAGCACACCTAGAGCATGCACGCCGACAACGAGCGCAACGGGCAGGTTCACCGTCTCGGTGTGTGATAGTTCCGGGCAGTCCTGTTCACTCGTGCATACCACGGATGACCCTAGTGCAGCCGCGCCGTCGAGCATATCGGAGCCATGGTGGGTCACGGATACGTCGGCCATAAGAGGCATGCAACCGACGCTCACTTTCGTGACGACGGACAAAAACCCCGCCGTGGTCTTCTCATCCTCACCACCCCCCGATTACGGCGGTTCCCCTGACCCCATGGGAAATGTGCACAGTGCACCCTACCCAAACCATCTTGGGTCCTCTGACGCGCCTAGCTATGGCGACGGAGCCGCGACAGGCCAGGATATCAGGTCAACGCCGGTTACCACGCCAATTACCACAACATCGCCCATCACTGTCACTGTGAAGCCCAGCGTCGTGGTCATTGACGACCAGACGTTTACCGATGACCCGGCAAAGCCAACATCAACAGTCGTAGTAGACCATAATACTTTTACCATTGACCCAACGCGAATTGTGGGCGCAGGTGCTACGGTGACACGGCCATCTATTAGTCCCAGGGCATCTTCACCGCAGCCTACGAAAATCACCACCATAGGTGACATTCCAGTGGATGTTGAAGGATCAACTGTGATTATCGACCAGACAACTTTCACTATTGGACCCAAGCCGACCACGGTGGTGATAAAGGGGCAAACCGTCACACTAAGGCCGGGCGCCATTATCTTTCCGAGCCAAACACTTGTCATCCCGACGGTACAGGACACAACGCAAGTCGTATTCGGCGCAGAGCTAATCACAGCCATCGGCTCGGACAGGGCTGTTATTGAAGGTAGAACAATAACTTACAGGCCAGGCTCAACAACCGTCACAGAGGAAATTGACGGAGACACGATTCTGATTGGACCATCGGGAATCATCTTACACGGCGAAACATATGGTGGGGGCAAAGCGGCATCGACAGAGGTGGAGTTTGCAGCCGCGGGCGGCGTGACGATCTCACAGATTGGGCCTACGGTGGTCGTGGTGCAGGGCGTCACATACACTCTAAGCCCACTCTCCCCTGGGCAAACTGCTACGACGATAATCCTCGGCGATGAGACAATAACGATAGGATCCGAAGGGGTAGCTATCGAGACATGGACGCTGAAACCCCCTTATATATCGACGACGACCATCACGCCAAGCAACGGCGCGGCTGTGGCGCTGGCTCCGGCCACGGCCACGGCAACGGCAACGGCCATAAATACTAATAATAACAAGAAGAATAGCGGATCGTGCTCAACCCTGACACGGCCGCACTGGGCATTAAGCGCCTATGTAGCGACGATAGCTTGTATTATCCAGCTTGGAATCCTCTACTGGTTTTGATTGGATTGGTCAAAGTTCGACTTGCATGTATTCTATATCTACCTACCTGCGTGGGGAGGGGTATATAAGGGGCTTTCTTCCAAGTTCCGACCTAGACTTGGAGATATTAGTGGCCATCAACAAGCAACCCTTTGTTTTTCGTCTGTGGGAAAAAAAAAACCCCCCAGAGTTTATCCGATATACCCAGGATTTCATGACATAGCTCAGATCCAGAATAAAATAAAGTAACCAACTATCCATAAGTACCTATGCGACAATGTTAGATTATGTCAGAATGCAAGTCAGCCGTCGACCCAGGTACTTTAGATTATGCGTGTCATTATGGGTCGCACCTATACATAGCGTACAGTTACCGTACCTTCGTTGAGCGCCGCATGGCCATTCAACCCATGAGCACCATCGGGCGTCAGCTAAGAGCACCTACCACGTGGTAGTCTCATGTAAACAGAAGTAAGCACAGTAAGTATAGTAAAAGGGATTCGCAGCACTACCACAACTTCTCATTCCTTCGAAACCAAAACTATCGACAGACGCCGCACTACGGTAACAGGATCTCGAGACACGTTTGATTCGATGCTTCTCAGTATGGGCAGTAGGTACAGCCACAGTCGGTCCCGGCGCGCGCGAGGTACTATGTACAGTAAACACGCAGAGACGATCGGCGCTGATCGTGCATTGTGCGACAATCAACGATGATGTACAGTAGCGAGTACCTAGGTAGGTAGGCAGTGCCATGCGCCCTGCGATCTGCGAGCTGAGGAGCGCTGATCGTTGGCTCTCCCACGCCAGACAAACATTCTCAGGAACACCCTAACATGTACAAAGCAAGTACTGTATGTAAGACAGAAGGTAAGGTACATGTATCTAGGTATCTGGGTGACGATGTAACATTGTACCTACAGTAGGTACCTACAGTAGGTAGGTCCCATGACAAAATACCACATCAGTTAGCTACGGTACTTAGGTATTGTAGGTACCAGTAGTGCCGGACAGTACGAGCTGTGCCACCTTCAGAAAAAGGTACATGCTTTTCTGATTCTTGTGATTCCTAAGGCTGTTTAAGGTTATTTGGCGGGTGATTTGGTGCGGATTGGCGGTAGTGTCGGTCTGCGGCGCTGCACTGTGCCTACAAGTAAGTACTTTGCCTGACTTCGTTATCGACTTCGTCTTGGCTGTCTTGGGCGGCCCCCAATCTTGGGGTCCATTACATCCCACTAGACCAGCATAGGGAGGTGAGGTATCCCTACCAACTGCTAAATACCTGTACTGTACAACGTCTGCGACACTATCTACAGTAGTGAGGGGCACGTGGATGGGGTACTGCCCAAGTATTTGAGAAGAGGCTTGTGAAGCTCAAGTCAAAGTCCTGTGCTCCTGACGGTTTGCTCCTTAGAAATGAGATGACAAAGGTACGACTACATGATCTATCTATCAAGGGATGTTATGCGTTTCGGTGTTCCCCTCAAGCCTCCCGAAATGCCGAATTCCTGGAGAAACACGGCATAATATTTCATAGGAGCGCACTATATAGGTACCTAGAGTAAGGATATGTTCGCAGTACGGTAGGTAGGTCGAAGTACCCAAGTAAACCGCTGTCCACGGCGCTGCGCATGTGTAAGCTGGAAGGGATCATCAAACACGATGCTGTACAGTCTCGGTCCCGGGTTGGTCTGTCGGAGGAGGTAATTACTGCTTGGCCAGGTAAGAATGCTCACTGGATAGGTGGAAGGTGAGGTATCGCTGACAACATTACATCGCACAGTTGTAGCCACATACAGACCACATACTACCTTGGTTCCTGACCATCGGGAACACCATATGCGTGGTCCTTCTCTCGCGCTGACCGTTGGGGGCCGTTGGGCTACAAAAGCCTGCCTGTACTACCTCTTACTACATACTTAGTAGGTAAGTTACTTTCCCAGACTCGCCAGAGTGCGGTAGGTACACTCCACGCCGATCAACAGCCACATGAACTTCCATTGTCGTCAATCAGCCAGCCGTACAGGGAACGGAGACGCTCACCTACAGTACTCCTTACTATGTCCTTCGTAGGTGTCTCGTTCCTGGGAAATGTAGGTACAAATTGCATCGTCTATTGACCGTGCCGGGTACTGAGTAAGCCTTGATCTTCTAGGTACCGTAGTGCGGTAGCCATCGGGCGCTAATTTCCGCTCCCATCGTGTCCGGCCGAGACGTTGGCTCTCCTACAAAGCAAGATCCTGTTCGGTATCTACACGGGAATCACATCGCCGTAACATAGGCCCAAAGACGACTTGGTTCCCATCGCGACTCTCGAGTATGGCGATTATGCTCACACTACTTGTGCGTCCCTATGCAAGGGCAGAATAGCACTCTGTAAAGTAGCCATCGTTCAAGAGCCAACCAGGTCACGACACAATAACCGGCCCTCGCACTATCGATGCCAGCGCTAATAATTAGTCTACGCGCAGCCAAAGCAGACCGCTGAAGCTTGCTAAGGGTCTATCGGGAGGGGAGGGCACGATCCTGCGGACCGCTCGCTTTACCCCAAACTTGCGCGGATTTCCTTTATTTTCGCGCGATCAACTGACTCGAGCGTGCGGCCAATGAGCTATCCACTCTAACCGAAACCTCGTCCCTTTCAAGCTTCTGTACAGTACATGTGTGGCCGCCTAGGCAGCGACTAAAACTACTCGGGTGACTGATGATGCAACTGCACATCGACTATCGGATTTCGACATGCAATAGCAACATATATCCGATTTCACTCATACATGCCCGACATGTTAGCTTCTTAGGTTAAAATCTTACATATGTATGCACGCATACATAGTATACCTATACGTCCCTTGGCGTGGAGTTTACTGCTGGGCGTACTGTAGACAGTGATAACCTACCGTTTCTGTAGCGAGCAAATGGTGAGGTGTCCTGGGGCGCACCGTTTGTCCGCTAGGATCCAGTCTATTGGGTTCGATATCAAAAGGGCTTCCATTTGTTCGATCGCCCGCCGTAAGGTCTTGTATTTGCTTACAGTAGCCATTCGCGCCAATTAGTCCCTCAAGCTCCGTGCACGTTCGGACATGTTCATCAGCCACCGTGGACCTACAGAGTGTAATGTGCAATACGGCAGCCATCCTCCTTGCCCAGAACCTGCTCATGCTAGTTGTCGCGTGGTGGATGAGATGTTTGCTTCCTTCATATGGCAAAGCCAAGCGAGCGACAAGCGGTGAACTTAACAACCAGACTAGACACCGCCATTACCTCGCTTGCAGTTCGAAGTCAAAACTGGGAAGCACCCTGTCCCCATATGTATATGTATGCCGGAGTCTTCCCCTCTCCCAACTTTTTGTCTCTTTGCTCTCTGGAGCTCTAATACAGCCTGCCGGCAAGAAAAGCCGAAGAAGCTGGGTAGACGTGACTAAATAAGTTGATACCGCGTCGTAAATAGCCCGCCCTGGTCTCGATTCAAATACTTACAGTGCTGTGTCTAGCGTGGCGTACCTAATCGCAGTTGAAATGAGCAGTAGTGGTGGCCCACCACTTAGTACGCTGGCCTCTTTCGCTCAGCATTAGATAAGTTAAATCGGCTCACTCTCGCCATCATGTCACGGCAGACATGAGATCCGGACCCCTCCAGCCCTCTACATGCCACTCTCGTTACCCATTCAATCGACGAGAAACAATCGGGTGAATCGGCACACGACCTGCGAGACAACTTTTCGCGAGCAGAACGCGGGTCTGGATAGGACTCGATCGTCATCGATGCGACGCTCGTCAATTCCGGCATTTTGGTAGATATATTGACTCCGTGTCGAGGCACCAATATGAATGTCTAGCGCACCCTCCTTGGCTTCCCCTCTCTTCAAATCTAATGGCTCGCCAAGTTGATTCGGTAGATGGTGGTGCCCGCTAGTTCGCGTTGCCCGTGCTCCTTTCGTCTCGAGCCAAGTACCTTGGGCTTCTTGGGTTGCCAGAAGGAGGGGTGGAGAGGGGGATGTCGAATTGGGACAGTCCCTTGGTTACGGCGCGTTGCTTCCGCGGCCGATATTACTCCAAAGAACATGGCAGGCGATGCCGTTCCTCTAGTCAAGTATCATGCTGTTCGCTTCGTTTCGATATCTCAACTCGGTAGCTGTATATTCAGACATGTAGGCAGCCACTTTAGCTCAGGATTCGACGCGCAGAGTGGGTTCCTATTATGGACACGTCCCAAAAATATATCCATACCTACTTCTACTTGTATGTACGTCCCATACCTATGTTCGGAATCACTTCCGAAAGAGTCGTCCTTACAGTACGATACTTGTCGGCTATCCCAGGGACCTATTACAGACAGATCGTGCGAGGTTACTTATGAGACCCGAAGGACTTAACAGGACTGCTACCATACCTACCTAACTCGGCGTTAATAAATTCAACAAAAGTCTAGATCGTAGCTAGTGTACGCAAGCGTCGAAACACTGATGACATGGTCAGGGCGCTATGCCAAGAGATCTACTACAGCCGCCTATCTACATAGCTACTTACAGACCTAACACTTGAAAACAGCAACGCAAGCATGAGAGAGCTGTGCCGCCGTTTCACATACGCACTCAACCCCATAGAAGGAAGAAAAGAGAGACAAAAATACCTACGAACGGTTCTCAGCCTCAAGAATCCTATGCTGACAGGGGTATCCAGGTGGCGGTGATTCCCGTTTCGAGAATCCGAAACAAGGCGTTGCGATGCGCGTTACTATAAGCGCCGGCGACCCTTTTTTTTCCTTCAGCGGAATAGACGCCGGTCTTACTCTGACTACCTCGCAGCAGCTGAAGTAACTACATAAGTTAACTCATTTGGTGACCGCTTACTCACGCCACATACGCGCGTAAAGCCGGACTAACTGACCAACCTAGGAGCTATTTACAAAGCAGAAAACAATACATTCTGGTGTAGCCAGTGTAGAGCGAGTGTGCTCAGTCCTTCATTTGTTATCTGGCTAACTACCTATGAGGTTGGCGGAGTTTGGGGACCTCGGCGTTTATTGACTGGCTTACACATATCCACGAGTATTGCTGATAATGCATGGCGATCCTCCAGTTAATGCTCGTGCGAGTTAGACTACGTTAGCTTCTAACTCGTTGGTAGCAAAACAGACTGGAATAAGTACGATGTCGAAAGTATCTAGACGTCCAATATACGGGTAGCAGCAGCAATCTCATTGCGCTTCAATATAGACTGCTATGTCGATACGATTATTTGGAAGCTCGTGGCCTTCTCGATGGACCATCCGAACGATAGGGCCAGGTTGATCAGTTACGGCGCTTAGCGACGTGTATGTACAGCGCACTAGTCCATAGTTGTAGAATACATCAGATCCCAAAAAGAGTGATAGACATTTTATTTCATTTACTCCAGAGATTCGATAGATACCCAGTAACTGTTCACTTAATGTCAGCGGTGCACATGATGGAGAGTATGATCTGGTTGAGATGAGACTCGATAAAAGCGAACCTTCGAGTTCTAATTTTGAGATGAAAACATAGCATCTTGTCCCATCAACTCTAAGTGCTCGAACGTCGCCATCAATGCTGGATAATTACGAATAACTGAAGCCTCCACGGCGATCGTGAGTGATAGAGTATAGTGGTATATTTAGATTGTTAAAAACAAGCTCAACCTAAGAACCAAGCCGAGGTAAGTCAACCCGTTACTGTCTATTGAGGAAACGGATAATCCAAGAATCATACCATACGTTCCAATACCGCACTAGTTGACGAGTGATTCTATCGAGGCTTGTGAGATGAGAATCGCACGTGGCGATATCAAATATCCAAAGGGCGTAAACGTATGGAAGTATCCATCTATGGCATACAAATATCTCATACGTTCGTGGGATGTTAATCTGCATACGATACAAGTTTCATTAACAAGAAGAGCTGGACAACGAAAAAGCCTACCATCATCTTACAACAGCTAGAACAATACTCTTGGAATTAAAGTAAACCAATACTATCACTTCGGATCACGGACAGGCGCTGAATATAATACACCGTATTGTATGCTGCCCCGAGGCAGCGGCTTCGTATAGCGTAGAATTGCACAGATATAGACGGATGTCTTATATTACACGTGGTGTTTTGTGTGATACCTCGTCCTAAGTACGCCAATATTACAAATTTACTCTCGCCATAGCACTCCTATGAGCCTACCCACGTACAATGCATTTAGATATTCCCATGAGGGTGTTCCTTCCACGATAATCAGAGCATGCCAAGAACTACCTGACCCCGAGAAAGATAGGAATAAATAGAAATCGAATCAGAGTTCCTGTTGTCCCCTTTACTTTATGTGGTGTGACAATAGCCACTAAGATTGTAGGAGGAGCGTGGTAGCCATCTTGTCGCAAAGTGAGCATATGTCTCGCCAGCCTTTGCGCCCAAATAAAACACATCGCTCACCAACTAAACATCAAGCACAAGATCTATTATTTTAGCAGCTGGATATCCAGTAGTTCAACCAACTGGCATTTTCCCCGTGTTAATCGGGACCCAGGATGGTATCTCGCTTATTAATAAACCGTCAAAATTGAGCTACGAGGTCTCTTTTTTTGCTTATATTTCCCCTTTTCAATATTACGCACGAAACATCAATTAAAGTCTTTTGAATGCTATTCAATCTCGTAGTAACTGTTGGCATGCTTCTCTTGATATTATTCAACTTGATATGACTACGAATTAAGGTGAGCAACCAAGTCGATGAAGTTCCGGAAGGATCTATCAGTCTTGAAATCTATTTGGGTAGGGAAGAAGGTAGATACTCTCCAATCTCACTGGACCTCACGTACCAAGGCAATCTGGGTACGTTATATGCTAAACTAGAGTAAAATGGCACCATTGGGGGACCAGTCTTTCTATACATTACAGATACACATGTTCGCATCCGTCTCACTGGCTGCGCTGAAGGTCACTGGACCCAACCAGCCACGCTTTTCAGGTCTAGGAGTAACTCAACCTCTAACATAACGCCTTGCCTTCGTCCCCTTTCTAACCACAGTTATATAGCCCTTACCAAACCTCTTCCCAGAACACAAAGGTTTTGTGAAATTTGCTCTTCGCATCTTCACGATCAGTCGCAAGCTCTCCCTTGACCATACAGTCGTATAAAGCAACCCTGACAGCCTCAGGCATTTTCCCAGAGCTTCCGCATAAGCAAATGGCGCACCCTTTGGCAAGCCACTCACAGACTTGTTTATAATTTTCAAGGAGACGATCCTGGACATATATTTTGGATGTTTGGTCTCTCGAGAATGCTGTGAAAACGTTGGTATCCAGCTTCTTCCAGTCACTCTCGAACAAAAAGTCGGCCGAGCGATTTCTGCCGCCATAAAATAGGATGTCTCTAGTGGTGTCCTCAACTTGGTGTTTCTTAATGATTGCCGCACGGTGGTGAAGAAGAGCACGAATAGGTGCGATGCCCGTGCCTGGGGCAATAGCGAGAAGTGGCGTAAGCGGATTAAGAATTATGCTTGGGACCTTATGGGATATAATTTTAATGTTAATTTTAGTGCCGGGCTTCAAGGAGGCAATGTAGCGAGAGCAAAGGCCTTGCCTGGTCTTGCGCAACACTGTCTTATACTTGACCAAAGCAACTGCTAGGTCTATAACGGTGTCATCGTGGTGCCGATAATCGTTCATTAAATATCCACCACTTGCAATACTGTATTCCCGGCCGCGGATGACGGGGAAGACCGATGGGATGTGTTGGTAAGGGATTCGAACGCTTGGGAAGTCTTGGAGGACCTCAAGTATGGATCGGCGTGGTCGAGACGTATAGTCCCAAAACTCATCAGAATGCCTAGGATCAGCAAACTCTCTGAGCCTTTCTTTGTGCGTTGTGTCTTCCGTGTAGTGAGCGATTTCCATGAAGAACGTACGTCTAGGTATACAGGTGATATCGTAGTTATGGGTCAGAAGATCCCGCAGCGTACTGTGCTTCAGTGGAAAGCAATGCCTGGGTTTTTTGCGGGGGATATCATCACTTTCCGGGATATGTTCAAACGTTCGGTCCGCAAAGTCTCCCCAATCCATGATGTCAATAAGAGTCTGAACATCCTGCGTGAAGTTTTTCGGATAAATGACTGCCACGTCACCAGGTCTATAAACAAGCCTGCCAGTGTCTCTATCTATGTCATAATCGCAAATTTTGCCAGAGCAGTCGTCTTCATCAAGGCGTTCGCTAACCCGTAAGACAACATGTCGAACGTCTTGCCAATGAGAACCAGGAGTCAGTCGGTCATTTGCAGTTACCATGGCCTCCCACGACCTAGGTATGGGGAGTATCGCAGTAGGGGGGCTCTCGTCTAGGCTTGTAGTCGAGTCGTCAAGAGAATATTTCGTTGGAATATCTCTCAATACATTGGGCCTGTCAAGTATGTCTACACCGCCGGGCCAATTCGTTGCCGTTTTATTCGATACACGAGCCATAATGTGCTGCTCTGGCATTCGGCCTTCGACTTCATGCTCATACCTCAGTGTATTGAGACGAGGTAAATGATCCACATGGCTATAAATGGCTGCTTCTCTATCGAGAATTCGGCCATGGTTGTCAATCTCAATCTTAGACCTGGGCATTTTTTCATATTCGGAGTCAGTAACTCTGTCTTCTTCTACTAGCCGAATGGTAAACTTGGGAGTGAGCTGAACATCCAACGGTATTGGCGACAAGCCGAGAGGTAATGGGAAGACCTTTTCAAGATATGTTCGTAGAGTAAGACACCACGCCAAAAAGGTCCCGTCGATGCTTTCAACCTATCAGTATTGTAATACGAATTACTTATTCGGTAAACGGAGCAATTCTTCATATCATGCTACTTCTACTAGGGATGAGATAGTTTGGGATTTCGCTGCTTACCCGTCTTCGTGTCGCTCATCAGCCTCGCCACGAGGCAAGCATTCAACAGCACCAAGTTGTTCAAGGCGCTTGTGGAGTTTTCTTGCAGCCCAATTATACCTGTGGGATTGGAGTCTGATGTTAATTAACTATTAAGAGCGAATAGGATGGCAACTGCAAAGAAAACATGTGAGAAGGAAAGGGAGAATGGCGCGAAAACCAAGATTACGCACTGGAAATATGAGCTATCACCAAGACCAAAAGTGGTGAAGTTGAGCTGGCGAAGACAGTTAGGTGGAAGTCGCTTGCGCAGTAGGCTCTTCCAAAATTTGCGAGCGTTTTTTGGCAGTTCTCCTTGGCCGGTAGTGGAAACAACGAAGACGACGAAGGGGTATTGTAGGAGGTCGCTCTACACAAGATAACAGCGGTTAATGAACATTTCCCTCCCGGTTTCTCAGTGCGGGTCATGGATTGTAGCCTGGGTGACTGGCTGGACACCGAGAAGGCACTGAGGAAATCAAAACTTTGGAGGATGTCGTGTATCACAGCCGATAATAGCTGGGAATAAAAAGACAAGGCAAGTGAAGGGGGGCGAGGTAAGGAAAAGATGCAGAGGAGAGTGGAAGAAGGGACACACAATGCAGTGAACTACTGCTTCCCTTACCTACTACCCGTGCTACTTAGTTGTAGGCAGCGTTGGTTTGCGCTTCCTCCAGGTGGGTTCAACACGGAAATATACATTGCATTCACATACTAGCTCGACGTCGTCCATCTCTTCAAGAACGGTCTGAAAATGGAGCCTCCGCGCGAGACGCTCGATGTCGCCGGCGGACTCTTCACTATTCCCCGTCTCGGATCCATAGAGAATGAGAATCTTTCGATGGCCGAGGGTATGGTCTTCATCGCTCCGGACAATAGTAGGCTCATCCATGGCCATGGGTAGAAACGCAAGATTAGAAGATTCGCAAGGTGGGGTAAGGTAGTCGTGCACTCAAATAACCGCTGGATTTATGAGTAGCCTCGTCTTCCGCATTATCTTCTTCCGTCTGTGGTCTACCTTAAGTAGCTACATGCACTTCTGGATCTTTAGATGTCTCTCGTCCTTGGAACTGGGCAGGCTTATGTCATGGTGCATGCATACTGTACCTACCTAGGTACATATAGGTACCTAGGTAGTCCCATCGGGCAAGCTGTGGCGAAAGCTTATATGCAGTCTGGTGTGGCTAGGTGTGGCTAGGTGTCCAACTGGTCTACCTATGTACCTCTACCTAGGTAACAGATTACCTGGGCACGAAAAAGCCTTTCAGTAGGTACTTAGTGAGCCCAGTCTCTAAAGCGAAGACTTACAGATTAAGGTACATAATAGCCTGATAGTAGGTAGGTCTTGAAGGCTCGTGCTGAAGGCCTTGCTGCGTAGATCAAAAACGAAGATCTGCAGCGAAGGTCTGATCGTGAAGGCTACCTATACTACATGTAATGAGGCTCTCGCGACCCTGCAGACAACCGGTTCTATGTTTTACCAAATGCCAAGCATGCAATGAACTAGGCTTAGCGCACTTGCCGCTTTTTCTCAAGCTCGGCTCAGCCAGTCATCAGTCAGGTGACTGTAGAACGGTCCATATACATTTATGCATTGTTTTATGCAGAAATAAATAAACCTTAAAACGGTTCGAACTCTTAAAACCGTTTTAGCATATTTTAACCGTCAATTAAGGATTAAGCCCATTAATCGATTAGGACAACCTATAGGCGTAGATTTTATAACTAACAATCTTTAGAACTATATCTTCGATAATAAGTTACCCCTATTAAGAAATTTCGCAACTAATAAAAAATTAAATAATTAATTAATTATTAAATATAATTAAATATTTAACTAATTAATAGTAAAAAAGGAATAAAATATTTATCTTTAAATGTTAAATAAAATCTTTATATTATAAAACTTTACTATTTAAACTATTTTATTTATATATATAACTTTTAAAGCTATTTATATTATTAATATATTATTTTTAATATTATTTTAAGTATATTTATTATTTTTAAATATTTTTAAATTAAATAACGTTTTTTATATTTATATCTTTACATTTTAAAATTTATTTTTAATACTTTAAATTATCCTACTTATCTATTATTATTTTTAAATATATAAAGGAATAAAAAAAAAATAAAAAAAAATAATAAATAAAAAAAGCTTAATATATATATAAAATGTTTAATATTTTATATATAAAGCTTATTAATTTATAGCCCTATAATTAAAATACTTTATATTTATAACCTTATAAATTTTAACCTTTAAAATATATCTTTTTATATTATTAAATATAATATTAATTTTATTTAATATAATATAACTTTATAGCATTTATATTTTTTTTATTATAATAAAAAAGAATAATTTAAATTATTTAACTTTAAAGTTATATAATATAACTATTATAATATAATAATATAAATAATTATAGCTTTACTTTAAATTTTACTTTTAATAATATTTATCCTTATATAATCCTTTTTTATATATAAAAATTTAATAAAGTAATTTTTATAAATATAAAGGATATATAAAATTAATAATATTAAAAGATTAATTATATTAAAATTTAATTTTATATTAAATAAATAAAATAATATAAGTTATAATACTTTTAAATTAATATTTATTATATTAATAAATTAAATAATATTAAACTTTAAATAGCTATTAATAATATATTTTAATAATATTATAATATAAAGATATATTATATTTATTTATTTAATATTTTTAACTTTATAATAATTAAGGTATAAAATAGCTTAATAATTTAAAAAATAACCTTTTAAACTAATAAATAATTTATTTATAAATAAATATTTTAAAAATTTATTATTTTTAATATAGTTAAGTTTTATTTTAAAAAAGGTATTTAAATTAATAATAAATAATTTTTAAAGCTTTAATTATATAATATTATAAATATTCCTATAAAAGCTTTTTATAAAGTTCCTTTATTTAACTTTATAATAATAAAATAAAAAGTATAAGCTTATAGTTATTAAATAAAATATAAAAAGAATATAATATATTTACTTTTTAATATATTTAATATTTATATATTATTAATTTATAATAAAGGATAGTAAAATATATAAAAATAATTATAAAAAAAGGTTAAAAAAGTTATTAAAGGTAAATATTATTTTAAAATGTTATATTTTTATAATAAGCTTAAAGCTTATAAAAATAAAAGCTTAATATATAAACTTTTTTATTATATTTAGCTTATTTAATATTTTTAAGATTTAATACTTTATTATAAAAGAAGAAGAATTAATAAAAATATAAAAGAAATTAAAATTAAATAAAAGCTATTATATTATTATTCTTTATAGCTTTAATAATATTAATAAAATATAATTTATAATTATATATATAAAGTAATATAGGGATAATTATTTTATTATATTCTAGTTTAATATTAAAAATAAAACATTTATTTAATAAAGTTTTATTAAAATAGTTAAGTAAATATTATAATAATATTTTAATACTAAATAATTAAATACTTTAAATTTATAATAGGATTATAAAAAGGTAGCTAAAGTTATATAAGTTTAATTGAACTTATTAAATAATATTAAATAGCTTTTTATATATAATAATTATAATAACTTAAAAGTAGGAAATAATATAAATAATAAAGAAATTAATATTAATTAATTTCTTTTTAAAATATATTAAAGTTTAATTATTATTATAATATAATTTTTATAAATTAATTTAAATAATTGCATTTAGGTTAAAAAGCTTATATTAATATATAATAGTTTTTAAATCTTTATAATAACTTTAAGTTATAATTGTTTAATTATAAATATTAATATTAAAAGGTTTATAAAAGAGCTTAATGGACTTCCTTTTACTTTTATTATAGTTAATATATATTTATAGCATATTTTAATTAATTTTATTAATTACCTTTATTTTTATAAAGAATTATAAATAAGATTTTATATAAATATATTAAACTTAAATTTATATTAAAACTATATACTTTATTTAATATAGCAACTTTTATATATATAAATATAAAAATAGTATTTATTTACCGTTTATTTATTTTAATAATAGGTATATTTTAATAATAAAAACATTTAGTTCGAATTATTTTAAATTAATAATATAAATAGTTTAATATAAATATATAAGTTAATTAATAAATTAAACTTTAATTAAATAATTAATATATTATATAATTATAAATTTATTAAACTATATATTTTAACTTTAAATTTAGTTAAATTAATAAGATATAGTATATATATTTATATATACTTTTAAATTATTTTTATATTAAATAAAAACTTAAAAAATAATTTAGCTTAAATAATAGTAATTTATATAATTATAAAAGTTTTATTATATAATAAGTATTAATTTTAATTATTTTAAAATAAGCTTTTATTTTATATTATAAAATGCTTTATTATAAGATTAAATAGTAATAATAGTATAAAATGGGCTTTTTATAATTTTGGGCTCCTTTACTTCAATTAAGGTAAGCTGGTAAAGGTTGAGGCGATATATATACGGGCGTTGCGAGGCTATAAGAAGGCGTAGGGCCTGGAGTATATATTAACGTTTAATATAGTTAACAATTTTAAGCTCCTTTATAACAATTAAGGTAAATTAATAAAAGTTAAAGTAATATATATATAGGTATTATAAAATAAAGAAAAGGTATAGGGCTTAAAGTATATATTAACGTTTAATATAGTTAATAACTTCGGAGCCCTTTATTTTAATTAAGGTAAGTTAGCCAAAGTTAAAGCAATATATATATAGGTATTATAAAGCTATAAAAAGGCAATTAGCCCTTAAAATATTATAAGCTATCGATTAATAATTAATACATTATAAAACTTAAAATTTTTATTATTTATTTAAGGTAAGTAAAACAAAGTTAAAATTTTAATAAAATAAGTTTATATTAACCTTAAAGCATTATTTAACCCTTTATATAAAGATGTTTAATTATTAAAGAATACTTTTTAAAATATAATTTAATTATAATAAGGTAAGTTAATGCTACTTACTTTTATTACTTTAAAAATAATTATTAATAAATAGTATTTTAATACTATATAGGACTTTAAAAGATTTAACGGTAAAATATAATAAAGCATTATTTAATAAACTTACTTAAAAAATAAATATTAAAAAAGCTATAACTATATAAATTTTTATATAAATATAAAAGACCTTTAATCTTTATTCTTTTATTTTTATTACTTTTATTAAAAAGGGTTATAGGGGAATAGGTGAATTTATAGTCTATATTGCCTTTATTTTATACATTTATACTGCTATATTTAAAAATAAGTCTACTATTTTAAAATCTCTTATATTATATTATAACTAAGGCTGGCTAACTAAATATAGGGTTAATTATAAATCTGAAATCCGGTTTCATTTAAATACAATTAAGTCTATTTATAATTTCTACAAAATATATTTATAACTTTATAAAAGGATTATATATTTTATATATATATAGTATATATTTTATATAAGTAATTAAACTTATTATTAAAGCTAAATTATTAATAGGGTTTAATTTAGCACTTTTAATATAATTATATTATTAATAATAGTTTTTAAAAATATAAAGCATTTATTATATTAAGTTAAAGGTATTTAAAATTAAAGCTTATTATAATAGTTATATAACTTAATTTATAATACCTATTTTACCTTTTATTATATATAAACCTTATTAATAAACTATTTAAAAAGATTAAATTATATTTTTTAATTATTATTATTATATTATTTATAAGATTAAATTTATTGGAAACCTATTTTAATTTATATTTAAATATATAAAATTATCTTTATAGGTAGGATATTGCTTTATAGTTATACCTTAACTATCTTTATTATATAAAAATTAATCTTATTTTAGGTTATTATTTTATACCTTTTTTATAGCATCGATAATAGAATAATGCTAATATTTTTTAATATCTTTTTATTTTCCGTTTCGTTATATAAGAATTATTATTTTTTAATTATTTTATAAAAGGTTTAGCTAGTTTATATTATATAACTTTAAATTGGGAGGGCTTAAGATAAAGGTAATAAGGGCTAAGCTTCTACCTATTAGTAGTATCTTTAAAGAAATATTTTTAAGCGCCTTATTTTTCTTATTTAATTAGCGTATCTAGATCCAGCGTTATAATTTATACCAAAGTATTATTATTTTATAACGTACAGCTACCGGCTAATCTTTTATTTTATACTTTTAAATAAAAGCTAATACGGAAACCTATTTAATAGGGTTAGGGTTATTTACATTTTAACCTATTTTATTATCTATATTTAATATTTATTAATTTTATATATTAATATCCTAATTAAAGTTTTTATCCCTATTTATATTTAGTATTTATTAATCCTATATATTAGTA